TCTCCAGGGGTCCCAGGGAATGGTCCGGGACCACGCCTTCCCCCAGAGCGGGTGTTCAGGCTCCGGACTCGGTGGCTGGACAGCTAGCACCACATCTAGGCTGCTGCTTCTGACAGCTCTTGCCTCCTGAGCCACCAGCGCCCAGTGCGGCTGGAAGTGATGCTCAGTGAGCGGTGCTTGGTGGCCACAGTGACGGGGTCTCTCATTGCCAGCTCGCTCCCACCGTTTCCACCAATTAATCAGCTCCAAGTCGCACTGCCCCTCCTTTTACGGTGACCTGTCTTTCTTTCACTGCTCAGAACTTTTTATCTTACATCTTCAGCAGTCTTAGGGTACGTTTAGGTATATTTTTTTGCATCTTATTTATCCTGTGTGGTGTCTGTCTAGCTTTCTGGTTGTTGTCAGCAGGAGTGCTGGTCTGAGTTCATGTTTATTGTGGTGAAATTATTGCAGTAGGCACTTGGTTTTCTGTAACTACCAGGTACCGTTTACCTGCTGTGGACAATGTGTGGTCTAGCATTACTGATGCTGTTGACTATTTCCCACTATGTTCCTCATGTGTTTTCGGGAGTAAACCGGAGGCTGGATGGACTCCGAGGTGGTGGCCAATGGCCACTTCTCTCCCGCACAGCTTCTCCTGCTGCTGCCAGGCTAGAGGCTTCTGGGCGTCTCCGCCACTCATGCACACCTGGTAAGAGATGCACACAACATGCAAGTGATTCTGTTATCTTTTAATTTTGAATAAAAAGTTGGCTGGGATAACAATACTAGTGGCTCTGCATACAAAACACATGTTTGAGGTTATTTCATCACATTTTTACAAAACTGCCGCTATGTACAGCACTAGATATTCACAGCAACTTTACAGATTCTAAGGAGTAGAATCCGACAAGCAACAGGGAAATCCAAAATGGAGAAAGGCTAACCACCAGTGGTCTGTCGTCAGCTAGGGAGTTGGAGGGCAGCTGACTGGTAGAGACAGCGGGTCTGTGGCGCCTTCTTTAGTGAAAATGGGGCTACACATGGGCAAACCCCCTCTGAGTCGTCCACTCCGTTTTCTCTACTCTCCCCCCGACCTCCCCACCCTGGTCAGCCTCCCTGGAAACCACGGCCCCGGTGAGAGCAGCTCAGGACGCGGCGCCTTACGCGCAGGAAGGAAGGCTGCTGGTGCTGAAATGGCACCCTCCGGGGCACCCCAAGAAGCTCAGTTCAGACCCAGGAAAGGAGTAGACCCTCTTCTGGTCCCCAGCTCTTAGCAGGCTTGAGCGCCTCTTACAGGTGGCAGGAGCTCCTGGGCCTTCTCTGGGCCACGGCAGTTTCCTGTGTGTGGCGCTTGACTTGGTGCCGCGGGAAGTACCGAGAGGAAACGGACAGTTCCTGCCCGCGAGGAGCTTACAGTCTAACAATGAACACCATGTACACGTGTGCGATGGAGGAGCGGCCATTTTTCTGGATGGCGGGACATTCCAAGCAAAAGGTGTTATTGTTCTTAGGTTATCATTTAAACACAAAGAGTTAATAACACACCACCTAGTCAGATGGCAAAAATTTTTTAAAATCTCCCTTGTATAACCTTACGTTTTTAAATGCCTATTCTTTTTATTTCAAAAAATGTCATCTGTAAACATACAAAAATTCAGAGCAGAACACAAAGATTATAGCATGGGCACTGGGTAGACAAACTACATATCAGTACACACAACACAGACTTCCTTCTCTATACAATTATATTTTTATATAAACAAGTCTGATATTCCCTTTCATACATTAAAGTACAGATCTGGAAAAGACTTCACTGATTTTTGCCTTTAATTCTAACGAGTACCCAAGCACCTGACCCCACGGATGAAGTCAGCCACGTGACAGACGGATGAAGTCTGACAGCCTCAAGGCCTCACAGCCTCTGGGGCTCTAATGCGACCACTTTACGGATCTTCCTGTGCAGGCGGTGAGGTAAACAGCTCTGCCCTTACAAATACACACCTCCAGAGCTCTGAAATGTACCCCCCCCCCACTGACAGCATTTCAACCAGACAGCCTGCACCCCTGCTCTGTGGGCATGAGGTCCACCTGCCCCTTTTCAACTCCCCTACTCCTGCAATGCACGGACAGACAGCGTGTGGCAATCTCAGCAGTACTGCTCGGACCAAACTCACTCCCCGAGAGGGTCCAGTTACCACTCAGAGGACAGGCAAGCTACGAAAAGCTGAGCCACCCCGCTGGATAGAGACTGGAAGAGGAAGATTCATACACCGAAAGGATTAAGTTCTTCACAGGACACCTTTAAGCCATTCCCCTTAAATCTGTACATTTCGGCCTGGCCAGTTTTGCTCGGTGGATAGAGCATCGACCAATTCCGGCCAAGGGCACAGGCCTGGGTTGTGGGCTCGATCCCCAGTGAGGGGGCGTGCAGGAAGCAGCCGATCAAAGATCTTTCTCATTGTCGATTTCTGTCTCTTTCTCCCTTCCTCTCTGAAATCAATAAAAATATATATTTTAAAAAATCTGTTGCTTTCACACCAAGTGTTCAGAAACAGCCGTGTCTTAGGCTATGTCTGCACGCAGCCCCTCGGCCAATGACAGTCCCACACTGACGGAGCGCCGGCCCGGGACAAGCACAACCCCGCACACCCACAGCTTCACCCGGCACCGAGGCTACAGTACTGAGATCCGGGAAGCCATGCTACACGTGCACCTCTGACCTCATAGGGCACAGGCACGTTCCACGTGCTCCGGAATCAGCGTGAGCAGAGATCATGTCAGCAGACGTGACGTTCTTAACTCCAAAAGCCCCTTTCCGATTCCAGAGGAACAGCTGAAGGTGAACATTCTGAGACTTGAGACGGAGTCTAACACCCTGTCAGAGCTGCCAACGGATACCTGCCCTAAAACCAGGCGCGTTAAGAGCCCTGGGGGAAGGGCACTCTGGACACACTGCCGGCCAGCGCCTTGGTGACGCCGGCGGCAGGGGGCGGCTTAAGCGCTTAGGGACAGTCTCAAAGAAGGGCCGCGCCAGGCAGCGGCTCGCGGCCGTCCGGTAGGGCTTACACTTGTCTCATGTGTGTGCTGCCCAAGCCCTAACGAGAAAAAGGGCAGAAGATGCCTGTCCTTAAAGAAATGGAGGCGCCTGCCCTGGCTGGCGTGGCTCAGCTGGCTGGCTGTCGTCCCGTACACCAAACGGTCCATGTTCGATTCCCAGTCAGAGCTCATACTAGGGTGCAGGCTCATGTGCGAGAGGCAACCAATGGGTGTTTTTCTCTCTCTTCCTTTCTCTAAAAAGCATGTCCTCCGTGAGGGTCACAATGCCGTCCCCTCAGCTCCTCCTCTCCCAGGCCGGGGGCTCACCTCCAGGGACGGGGGCGGGAATTTGGGCGGCGGCAGGTGGGGCTTCGGTCCCCGGGGAGAAGCGTGTTCTGGTGAAAGAGTGGCATGATTATTCCTACACAGACACACAAATAATTCATTGGGGCGGCCCCTTCAGTGAACGCCTAATAATTCCGTCTCCCCCAAACGCACACCCGCTTTAAAACAAACACTCAACATCTTAAATGGCAGCAGCGCCACCTTCTCCGACAATAAAGCCACCGGCTCTGAGTAGCGACAAATCCTAAGTGAAACGGCGCATTCATGATCATTAACTCCGCAGTGACTCTTTGACAGGATCCCAATTGTTTCTGTCACGTCTGTGGGGGAAGTGACACGGCTACAGGCAGAAAGCGTCTGCAACCACACACCTGCACTGCGCTGCGCGGAGTTTTACTGCTGACTGTCCTCTTTCTGAAAACCAACTCAACGTGCCGACACGGAAGGCTGGATCGAGCTGCGCTTGAAATTACCACCAGAATGAGAAGCAGCAGGCGAGGCAGACGTTGTTCATGAAGGACACAGTAGAAGCAGGAACGGTGGCAGTCAGGCAAACCAGACGGCATGCAGGATGAGTCAGAATTTCACTTTGCATCTCCCACCCAGCTTCCCAGAGACGCGCCCGTGCCACGCCATGTGCTGGCAGCACTGATGGGCACTGGTCCCCAGGACCTGACCAGAGAGACCCAGCCCTGTCGCTCCAGCATGGCTACTTTTTGTTTTACGTCGTAAAACCAATGAACATCGAACATCTCTTAGCCACAGAAACACCTGTGGGGCCAGAGCAGAGGCTCTGTGGAGAAACTCGCAGCTCGCCAAGCAGCTGCCCCCCTGCCGTGCCGGGCGCAAGCGCCTGCTGTCTGTCTGGCAGTCTCTAGGCAAACTCTGGCCGGACAGACATGAACCTTCTGCAAATGTCCACATTAAAACACCCCAAGATTTAATACTGGAAGGAGAGAGCACTCCTCTGTGCACAGATGGCTCGCTCCGCACCACAGTTGGGTCTGAAGCGGGTGTGGCTGCCTGAGTGAGCACCTGTGTCCTTACACACGGCGCTGGGGCAGGAAGCTGGTGACACGGAAATCATTCAGTGCGCCACAGTTATCCCTTCACAAGTCACTGGGCCTTTGGACACACTAAACCCAGTCTTAGTCTTGGCTTCAACCTCTTACAAATACAGAGTTTAGGAAAATGTTTTCAGACGAGGATTGGCGGATTCGGTTCTGTGGCTGTTTGCTGGGCACAGCAGCGGGCCCTGCGCTCAGACACTGTGAGCATCTGCTGGCCACTGGCCACCACCGCTCTCTGAGCCACAGGCAGTTCCAGACCCGGGCCAGGCTTCACCCTCACGCAGCCCACAGGCCTTCTCCAGTCTCTAGAAATCTGTTCCTGGGACGACAGGGCCTTTGTCCAAACTGCTTCAGTCAAGACGCTGTAAAAGCAAGTACTCCTGCTGGGCAAGGAGGGGGACTGACGTTCACCTCGAAATGACTGGGCTCGGCTCCGTCACGCACAGACGGCTCTGGTCCGCAGAGACAGAAGCAGCGCCCCTCCCTGCGCAGGCAGATCCAGTGTAGCCCTCTCTCCAGCCGAAGTGTTCCCCACAGATCACGCCCTGTCTGCTCCTCCATGGCCGGTCAGAAGACGGGAGAGTCGCAGAACGGGCAGGGGCTCTGCAGCAGCCTCTTGATCCAGTCAGGATCTGCAGGGAAGACAGGCGCTGAGCGGGGGCTCAAAAAGGGCCCGCGGGATGACAGAGCGAGCTGCAGTGTCCGGCGGCATTCTGTCCCCCTCTGTGCCCCTGGACAAAGCCCCCACCCCAACATTCTAAGTGAGGATGGGCTAACCTGTGGCCCCCAAGCTAAGGACATTTCATCCTTCTGTAATGAAAGAGGAAAACGAGTGAATGAATTTCAGCACTGAATTTACTCAGTTCAAAGGACTGTATTTTTTTTCACAGCGTATCACTCATACATTGTTGAAATTAAAATATTTCGTAGGTTGCCGAAACCAGTTTGGCTCAGTGGATAGAGCATCGGCCTGCGGACTGAAAGGTCCCAGGTTTGATTCCGGTCAAGGGCATATACATTGGTTGCGGGCACATCCCCAGTAGGGGGTGTGCAAGAGGTACCTGATTGATGATTCTCTCTCACTGATGTTTCTAACTCTCTATCCCTCTCTCTTCCTCTCTGTAAAAAATCAATAAAATATATTAAAAATAAATAAATAAATAAATAAATAAATAAATAAAATATTTGGTAGGCATTATCATGTGCAGTTTCATTCAAATGTAATGTAGACACACCAGGTAAAGAACTGTGGGCATCTTCTGAATGAATGACTTATAGAAGCAGATTGGCAAACTTACACCTAACATGCAGCATGGACCTGAACAGGACATATGATCACGGTTTTAGTTAGCTGTGGCTGCCTGACCCGGCCGCCATGCCCCCCACACCCCACTGGGGAGAGGCTCACTCACCTTCCGGAGTCGGGTGGCGGGCAATGCTGTCGTGGAGCAAACACCTTCTGTATATCAGGCTCTGGCAGGACTGGTAGGTTAAAAAGCACCTGCAAGAGGGCATGGCAGCGTCAGTTCTACCAACACCGGAAAGCGGCAGTGCTGAGGGTGACGCACCAGCCACACTGGAAGCACGTTCACCAAGGAAAGGGCAGGCTTGTTCACAAATCCATGGCAACCCCACATCTCTCTGCAGCTGCTGGGCCCCCACACTGAGGGATGCGCCTGTCCGTTCCCCAGCGACAGACAGGTGCTAACTCAGCCAGTCACCGTGTTCAGCTCTGGGAAACGTCTGTTCCTCCCTGGCTGTGCTTGTATGCTGAGAGCTGACCACATAACACACTGAAAACTGTTCTTGTGAGTGATGGCATGATTGGGTGCGGGCACTATGTTTAAGAGTCTCACAGCACAGGGGGACCTGAAGGAGGCAGAAGACAAAGCGAATGGTGTGAAAAAGAAGGGCAGGAACCAACGTGCCCAGGCTCAAGCCCCTCCAATGCTGTTCCCAAGCCCCACTTCTCCTCTCCCCCAGGACCAGCCAGGCAGGGCAAGGAGATGGGAAGGAGTGCTTTTGGGTCTGCAGGGAGGTTTTCCCAAAAGACAACAGTTTTTAAGCTGAGCAGCCAAGGAGCAGAAAATGAAGAGGAGGAGGAAGAGGAAGGAGGAAGAGATTCCAGTGGCTCCCTCTGAGTGACATGGGCGAACAGGAGGCAACTCACAGCTGGTGAGAGCAGCGCCCTCTCCCTTGGAGAAAGGATATGGAGGCGTCCTGGCCTGACTCCAATCCACAAACATGAGGCTACCTTTCGTCAGAGAACCCATCGGAGACTGTCTGCATGGCAGTCACTCCTGGGAGCTCTGCAGGTGGCACCAGGCTCTAGCTCTGCGTTCACCACCGTGGTCATTTTTAAAATGTAATGCTACTCCAATGAAACAGCACTTCCCACGGGAAGCAATGCCTGTGTGTGCCAGGCAGGAGGCCTCGCAGCTGAAGGCCCTGGCTTCGGGCAGCCGGAAGCAGACCCCTGTGCCAGGCCTGGTAACAGCAGCTTCTCCGGGGCAGCTACGTCTGAGGCAGGGCTGGCGGGAGCTTACCGGAGCCAGATGTGGCCGTTGGAGCAGACGGCCTGCTTGCGGTCCGTGAAGGGCAGGATCTCCTTGCACAGGCTGCAGTGCTCGGGGAACGTCTGCTTGTTCATCTTCTTGGAGATGTGGCCGATCAGCACCTGGGAGAAGCAGTGGGCGGTTAGTGGGGCACGGTGCTGCCGGGCACAAAGGGAACCCCACGCCGCTCTGCATCCCCGACGGGGGAGTCTATCTCCATCACGCTGCCCGGGAGGTGAGACCAGGCCATCAGCTGTGCCACTGGCTGAGGGGAAGCGGCTTTCAGGGACCTGACAACAGGGTGGATGATACCCACTAAAGCAGTTCTCAACATTCCTAACGCCGCGACCCTTTAATGCAGCTCCTCATGTGGTGGTGACTCCCAACGATAAAATTGTTTTCGTTGCTACTTCATAACTGTCATTTTGCTACTGTTGTGAATCGTAACGTAAATATCTGTGTTTCCGATGGTCTTAGGCGGCCCTGCTAGTGGTTCTCAACCTGTGGGTCTCAACCTGTAGAGCCTAAGGTGGGGGAGAGCCTCAGTGGATCTCACGCTGCAGGCGACCAGACAGCAGGTAGGTAAGACCCCCTTCAAAACGCCGGTCAACTGTGGGGAATGGCAGGTGGAGAGGGCCGTCTGGGGCTTGGAGCTCCAGTGTAAATGGGTTAAAAACGACAAAGGACCTGAACTGCTAGTGAGACAAGATGTTTCTGAAGGGCTGGGGTTCCCATCCCAGTGATACAGCCACGAACGTTTTTCCAACAAAGGAATGAAGTGGATCAGTGTCCTTGAGACTTTCACTGCTGAAGCAGTGTAACCGCAAGACCAAAGCAGAGAAAGGGGAAGCTGACATTGGCCTGTGGTTCCCTCTGCCCGCCCCTTCCCCCCCAGGGTCACTCAACTACCGAAAACACGTGGAAGCACAAGCCGAGCTTCAGAAATTCAATGTAGTCCCACAGACAGCAGGCCTGGCAGGCTCAGCGTTCTGCCAAGCAACACCCACCCGCGCTGTGCGGTCGTCATACTCCTCATCGGACATGAGGAAGTCGCAGAGCCCCCTGGTGGGCACGCTGGTGTTCTCCGTGATCCAGGTGTGCAGGTACACTTCCCCCAAGACCCGCTTCATGTGCTCCCTGGTCAAGTGCATCTCCACAGCTTCGATCTTCCCCTGGATCTCCAGCAGCTTCTCCTCCATCGGCTCGTGGCCTCCGGCGTCCCCAGCCTGGGTGAGTGAGTCATCCGCCGGGTCGTCCGGGTCCCCCTCTTTGCTCTTCTCCTGGAGGCCCTGCTTAGTCGCCGGCCTGGAGGACGTGCCTTCTTCTTGCTCGTCCTCGGCGGGGCCCATGCCAGGGGAGTCGACCAGTAAGATCTTGGAGTCCTCCTTGGTGGGCTGCCACAAGGCTTCGGAAGGGGTTTTCTGCATCGACTGATACAGAATCCTCAGGAGGAAAAGTTTGAAACGCCAAAAGTAGGTGGCCCCGCTGCTCTCGATCTTTTTTTCCAAAGCTTCGTGTAAAAACGGAGGGATGTATTTATCTTTCAGAATCTTCCAGCGTACGAGGTCTAGTAAGTCTACCTGTTTAAAGAGGTTCTGAACCGAAGATTCTAGGAGCTGAGCAGCTGCCTCTTCAAAAGTTTTGAGAGCAACAAACTGGACCTGGTAGTTTTTGTTCACGGGGTGGAGGCCGTTGACCATGCCCTCGGTCGTAATGATGGCCAGGTACGCCCCGCACGGGCTCACCGCTATCCCGTGTGTCCTCACGGAGCCGAACACCTCTGACAGCTTAATCAGCTGGTGTTCAAACTTCAAGGCGACGTCAGTGAAAATGGGAATCAGCTGCCTCACCTTGCCGTCACTGGAGCAAGTGTACACTGTCCCGTTCTGCTTGTCTGCTGTCATGGAGACGATCGGCAGGGAGTGGAGGCCCGTGACGTGGGAGTTGTGGACGTTCAGACCTGCTTTGGAGATGAGGAGGAGACACCAGAACACGTAGGGCCCTCTGGCGGCCACCACCAAGCTGCAGCTGCACTTCTGGTAAGGGTGGTAGAGCGGGACACACTTGATGCTGTGCACGGGCAACTGGTCCATCTCCTTCCACAGGACGACGGGCTGCCTCAGCGTGAAATAGCCTTTAATGGCCTTGAGGTTGACGGGGAGGATTTTCACAGGCCCGAAGGCGCTCCCCACAATGAGGCCGCTCATCTTCCGGTTATTGTGCTCGTATTCCCACCAGAACAAGACGCTGGGAGAGGTGATTCCCGACTCGATGGTGTTGCAGGAGGAGATGGACTCCTTGCCCACGAAAGGCAGCTGGAACTGCCACACGGCGATGTTGCCGTTCTCAAAGAGGACGGCCAGCAGCACGCTGCCCACGTCCCGGCACTCGTTGTTGTGCTTGACCTGCTGCGTGGTGCAGATGCCGGACCACTCCATGCGCACCGGGGTCTGCATGCTGTGCCTCCTCTGGAACTCGGCAAAGTCCGCCAGGTTCCCTCCCGGGGCCTCGCTCTTAGAGAACCTGTAACTGGTCTCAAAGAGACGGTCTCCGTAAATCTCAGTCAGGTCGACCAGCTGGACCCACTGCAGTCTGTTGAGGTTAGCCTGGATGGTCAGGCGATTGTCCATGGTCAGAGCCGCCAAGATGCACCTGCCGTTAGCATCGCAGCCCATGGGGGACCAGCTGGTGTACTTGAACCCTCTCAGTGGGGGCAAAGCCTTCCCCTCTGGGTTGAACGCCCTGTCTAGCATGAAGGTCTGGCTGATGGCGGGGTCAGCAGAGCTGGCAAATTTCTCTTTACACTGGGCAACTTCTGCTTTTGAGCCAACCTGGAAATAAGTATAAAAGCTATCAGATAAATATTCCACTCTAAAAATTATTTATATTACTTAGGCTATATTAACTATATACAAAATTTTACATACAAAAAAACCCTCAAGCCTAAGACATATACAGATGTAATAAAAGTCCCTCTGAGTCTAAGGCCCTGCACCCAGAGCAATTAACTCCAGGACACAGACAGACCTTGGAAGATGTGGAACTCTGCCCCACTAACAGCATTCCTTAGTAAAGCTTGGACAACTGGGAATGTGTTAGAAAACCGGAGTGCAAGAAAGTTTTAAAATACCCCCCAAAACGTAAATAGGTAACAAAAGCCAGACCATTAAGCCTGGTAGGGAATACAATTCCTCAATGTTTTAACAAACGACTGGTTTAGGTAGACAGCAGTGACCATCAGAATCCAGCATAAGATAACTGGGAAAATGTAATGTTATTGTCTCTTCTGCTGAAACTGCCAGGTAACATAAATAAGCATGTAAAATGAAAGGCAGATATAAAGTTGTCCAACAAGTGAATTAGGAAACTAACCTTTCCTGAAGCGTGTTACACACATGACTCCCCTGAATTGTCCCTTGAGAAGGAGCTCTGTGGCTCTAGCCATTTCTCCCTGAGAGTTACAGGGGCACGCAAGACTTGGTATCAAACTTTTAAACCATGCTTTGCTGTATGGGGAGAGAAGGGGCATCCTAAAAAATACTCTGCAACAGTGTCTCAGGCAGTCCACCTTGATTTTTAAAAGGCACTGTAATCTTCTGGATACACTGACGGGCATGCTGGAGACATAGTATAAACCGGAAGTTCCAATGACAGGTGCAATTAGCTGGTTAATAAAAGGATGCTAATAAAAGCTCAGAGCTTCCTTCGGGTAGATACAGTGTGAAAGATGACACAATGAATCCTGGCTCTGTTTAGTAACAGCTCCTGCCCCTGCACACACTGGGTAGACCTTTGGCCCAAAGTGGCTCATTTACAAAGAATACTACTGCATGTCTCATAGAGTTAGGAAGGTTATATAAGTCAATATATGTAAAGTGTACATTAGTAAATGCTCAATAAATGCTAGCTATGGTGATGACTATTAATTCTCTCAGGGGTAAACGTTAATGAGACCTAATAAGAATAGTGTAAAATGTAGGGTAATGTTGTCTACCAAATGAAGGGTAGATATAAAATTGTTCACCAAACCCTATAATATTATAAGTTAGAAAAGGTAAACTTGCTATAAATAAAAGCTACTATAGAACTGAAAGTGAACTGGTGGAATTTGTAACCCAAAGCAGCGGCACAGGATAAAGTTCAGGAGCTCACTCACCCCTTGGCCTTCTCCTGAGGAAGATTGTTGGGAGGGCGGAGAGCAGCAGGGAAATTCTTACGGTTTTGTGCAGTGATTTCTAATATGTTAGTTTGGATGAGCCTATTGCATATCACAATTAGTTAACAGATTAAAATAATACTCAGATGCCCAAGAAACATACCACTTCAAGAGTCCAGCTCCCAGAGGCTGACCCCCCCCCCTCAAAACCATTTAATTACATTCTGCTAGAGGCCCGATGCATGAAATTTGTGCAAGGAGCTCGGTCTTCACAGCAGCCCCAGCTGCCACCTCAGCCCCTGCAGGCCCGGCTGCCTTGAAGCCCACCCCCTGCCCATGGTCATTTCAGAAGGCCATTCTGCCGCCCGGTCTAGTCTAATCAGCTCTTTAGTATACAGGATCCTTTTCCAATTGGCCACTAAGAACCTATCAAATAAAAACTTGAAGCTATTATACAGTAAGCTCCTTGAGGGCAGGAATAAGATTCCAAAGACAGGAAATAGTTATTAACTTCCTGTAGTAGATGAAGCTAATACTTTCAAACGCTCCTAACAACTGGCACTCAATAAAAGTACTTATACATATGTTAGTAGGATTTGGAACTACATACAACTGCATGACTCTCTAAATCAGCAGTCCAATGGGAAGTCCTATCGCATTCTTAAATCACTATTTTATTGCTTTTCAGATTCATGTCACATAGCCCTAATGCCCAGGGCAGTAACTTGAAGACGGTGGCTATATGAACTATTATATAACTGCATGTTTTCTGAAAGGAATTAATAATCTAAAGAACAAAATCATAAGGCTAACCTTCTAGCCTTGCTACACACTCGATCCAGGTGGCAGAATGTGCATTTCCTATGTCAGAGCAGAGGTGAACAATAGCAGTGAGTGGGTTCAAAACCCCAGGTGGTCAATGGGCAGAGCCATCGAAGTACCCACACAGACTTTTTTTATTCTTTATTAAATTATTATCTGTGTACATACCCCCACACAGATTTTTTTACAGCTACCATCTCGCCAGTTTGTCCCAGGGGTCTCGGAGTCGCAGGGACAATCGGGCTTCAGTCAGCAGGCAGCCCTAGGCTACCGAGAGGGCAGCACACAGAGGAAGATGACATTGGTTTCGGAAGCTATGATCAACTATTAGTGTGACATAGAAAGAGTGAAATTGCTGTCAGGGCACTATGGACGCCTCATAGCCACGACCACAGCACTGAGCCACGCTTGCCCTCCATACTTGTATGCTGCATTTTAAAAAAATGTATTTTGCCGAAACCGGTTTGGCTCAGTGGTAGAGCGTCGGTCTGCGGACTGAAAGGTCCCGGGTTCGTTTCCGGTCAAGGGCATGTACGTTAGTTGTGGGCACATCCCCGGTGAGGGGTGTGCAAGAGGCAGCTGGTCGATGTTTCTCTCTCATCGATGTTTCTGGCTCTCTATCTCTCTCCCTTCCTCTCTGTAAAAAAATCAATAAAATATGCATAAAAAACATAAAAAAATGTATTTTACTGACTTTTTTTTACAGAGAGGAAGGGAGAGAGATAGAGTTAGAAACATGGATGAGAAAGAAACATTGATCAGCTGCCTCCCACACACCCCCAACTGGGGATGTGCCCGAAACCAAGGTACATGCCCTTGACTGGAATCAAACCCGAGACCCTTCATTTCTTAGGCTGATTCTCTATCCACTGAGCCAAACTGGTCAGGGCTGTATGCTGCCTGTTTACCTTGAGCATTTACAGTGAGCCAGGAGCTGTGCCACTGATTAATATATGTGTTTATGTGTATTGTGTATACATATGTAAATATCCACCAAAACGTCTAAACCAGGTGGGTTTTATTATCCCGTCATAGACAGGCCTGTCTTGCTGTTTTGTGCCAAAGCCCTGACTCTTACCTCTATTTTATAGCCCCATCGCCGTCAGCTTGCCTGAGGCCAGCCAGCTTCCCTTTCCTGCCACACCAGATCCGTCCACCATGAACCTTTCACAGCACCCCACGGCTTCTTAGGATGAAGCCAAGCTCCTCACCCTGCCTGTCGATGTCACCACACTGGCCTCCCCGCTCTTTCCCGGACTCTCTAGAAGGGCTATTTGAGTTCATCTGTTGACCAATCATTACAGACCAACAGTAGTAAAGGACTGCTCTCACCTTAAATGCATATGCATGAGATGGCCCTGCCCGCCCTCCCTGTAGGACTGCTGCAGTCTCTACAGGTAACTCCTCCTCTGAACTGCTCTTCTCCAAATCCCTACTGTGTCCACAGTTTTCTCTAGCTGAGACGCATGTGAATGTCCTCAGTCAGGAAGGTCCTTTTCAGCAGAGGATACTCCTTCTAAAACCCCTTCTGCCTCCTCCACTCCTGTTTCTCCCCTTCACAGCACCCCGGCACCTGTCCACCTGACCTGCTTCTGTTTGGACCAACTGGTATCTTCTCCAAGAAGATCTTAGAGGGCTTAGGAATACAAGTTTACCAAGGACCCAATTCAACACCAAGCTGTCCGCTTAAAACTCGAATGAATTATGCTAAAAAGTGGTGTGGGCTTCCTGCATTTAAAATGAATGCAGAGTGAGAGGGCTTTGTGTGTTTTTTAAAGTTCACTTTCACATAAATGCATTCTCTGTAGATATAGGATGTCCCCCCAAAAATGTATACACACAACAATAATTTTAATTCCAACGGGTTACATCTGAAAAGAAGCATCAGTTGAGCGGCCAGCTGTTAAAGTATATATACCCATTTCGGGGGGACGCCCTCCAGGAAGTAACTTTACAGCCCCTGTCACCACCTGACAGAACCCCGGTATTTGCTCACCAGCTGCTAAAGAACTGAGCTACCGGGGCAGGGCCTGTTTTGTACCCCGCTAACTTGTCAGCACCCAGCGGACAGGTGGTATCCCAGCGTCTGTCCAATGAGTGAATTTACACTGACAGACCACACACCCACACCCACACACACCCACACATCTTTAACGGACACAGCGAACGTGTCTACGCTGGACTTCTAAACCATGAACATGAACCTTAAAAAAAAAAAAATCTTAAAGGAACACTGCTAGAGTGAAACTCCGGAACCCCCAAGTTACGAAGGCAAACTTCGCTTCTATGAAGCTGGAAGCACTAACGCTACACCAAGACCTGCCTGCTGCCAGGGACTTGACTTTTCATTCCGCTCCCAGAGGGTCTGTAGCCATTAAAGAAAAGCCAGAGGGAAAGAAAGCTCCAGTCCAGTCCTTGCCCATCTGCCCAGGGCGAGAACCATTCATCATAAAGTCGCTGGAGCAGTTAGGACCACGGAAAGGACCAACTTTTTCTTCTCCAAAGCAGAGGAGGAGGGAGAGGCGGGGGCCGCTGGGAGAACAAAGCCGGCCAGGGGCCGCGGGGCGTGGGCCCAGACAATAGGAGGGGCGGCGGGGCGCCGGAGGGTCCGCAGGGGGTGCAGCCTCGGGAGCTCCGCCGCCGAGAGCTCCCCGCACCGCAGCCGCCGGGCGCGGGGCGGGCTCCGAGGGCGCCTGGGGCTGATGTGTCGGGAGGGGTGCGTGACCCTGCACGCTGGGCACAATCGCTGCGGTTTGGGGGGTCAGCCACGGCGACCCCGGCCGCTCCGCCCCGGGCGCTGGGTGCAGAGGGGAATCCCCGGGCTCGGCGCGGGCGGGCGGGGAGTCCCCAGGGGCCGGGAGGGCTTACTTTGAGGAGGCAGCTGCTGAGAGGGGCGGGCACGGAGGTGCGGTGGATGACCAGGTCCTGGCCCGGGTTGTGCACGTCGCAGATGAGCTCCAGGACCGCGATGCTGCGGGCCGTGGACACGGACACGCGGTGGTCCTCGGACCAGGCCAGCGGCTCCAGGCCGCTCACCGGGTGCTGCAGCTTCACGGCCGGCTCCCGCCGGGCGGCCAGGAGGCGGAACGCGTCGCTGGGCCCGGGGGTCGCGTCCGCCGCCGGCTCCCTCCCGCCCGCCTCGCCCCCCTCCTCCTCCTCCTCCTCGGGCGGCGCAGGCCCGTCGGCCGCGGGCCGCACCCGGTCCTTGTCGGCCGTGTTCATCTCCCGTTAGATGCGGCGGCGGATCCCGGGCGCGCCAGTCCCGCGTCGCCGGCCGGTTGCCGCCTCCCGCGCCCGCGCGCCGCCGTTCGGCCCCCAGCGCCCTCCGCGGCGATTTTTCTCCCCTCAGGCCCAAAGCGCCGCCGAGCCAGGAAGGACCCCGCCGTTGCTAGGCGACCCAGCCTGGCCGGGTGGCCAAGGCGCTGCCTGTCTAAAAAAAAGTGCCACCTCTACAAGGCCGGCCCGTGGCGCCTGAACTTGGCCGATGGGTGGGTTGGGGGCAGGAGGCCTAGAGGGTCCCCACTCCGGGTGACCGAGCCTCAGACCCTCCTTAGCGACCTCCCCGGGGCCACTCAACTGCTGAGGAAAGAGAAACACGAGCGCAAACGGAGGAAATGCTGGTTCGATGGCGCCCGGCCTCTTACTCCTCAGAGCAACACAAAGCACCTCACAAGCATGGACTCTGGGGCTCAGTGTCACTTGGCATCCGCTGCCACCGGCCGAGCCCCGAGGGACGCCAAGCGGGACGGCCACCCCGCCCCCCGCCCCCCTCCTCCCCCCCGCGCCGCGGCTGCGGTCACCGGGGGCGGGGCGTGTGAGCGCTCCCGGGCGCTGAGGGCCCGGAAAGGGGCGCGGCCGCAGGCAGGGGGCGGGGCAGCTACGCGGGGTCCTCGCGCGGGTCCCACGTGAGCGCCAGCGGAGCCACGGCCCTAGTTGTCGAGGTCCAGACGCGCCCGCTAGTCCGCGAGTGTCCGTGCCTCCCCGCCCGCCATGGCAGTCACCGACGGAGCGCCCCTCCAGCTTTCCGAGCCCGCCGCCGCCGCCGCCGCCGGGACGTCCTCCGGGCCCCGCGCGGCCCCGGCGAAGCGGGTGAGTTCCCACCCGGCCACAGGCCCGTCCGCACAGGCCCGACAGGCCGCCGGCCCCTGAGCCCGCTTTGGAGTGGTTTCCGGAGGAGGGGGTGGGGCGGGGGCGGGGGAGTCGGGCCGATCCTGGAGGTGTCGCCGAGCAACTGGTGTCCGAGCGCCGATGGCACCCCCCGCCCGCGGGGATGCCCCCGGGGGCCAGAGCGGGCCGCGCTGCGGGCGGATGGAGTCGGAGGCCCGGATTGGAGGCCGCCTCCCCTAGAAGTTAGGATGGACGCCTGGGCCTGAGGCCCAGCCCTGGCACCACCCACGAATCGCAGCCGTCGTTTTCTCGACCGGGAGGGTCTTTCGTTTCAGCATCGAGGATTAGAGACCAGCATTGCTTTTAAGTGCGTTCGAAAAATGGCATCGATGTCGTCCCTGTGCAGGGAGGGGAGGGGGGAAAGTAAATACAAACTCGCCAACATAAGTCCCCCACCAGGGAGGGGAGAGAAGCTGGAAACTGAACCCTAGCCAGAGCGGAAAACTGGTTTCTAGGATGATGGATGGGTTCCCTCCTAGAAAAGGGGAGGGGTTTAGGGCAGAAAATCTGTTGCAAAACCTCGTTACTTCCAACAGCAGAAAAAGCGCAATCTCTTACCAAAACGGTGTGTGTGTGTGTGTGTGTGTGTGTTTTCTTGGAAAAGCAACGGATCGTTCCGTTGAAAAATTTTATTGCCACGTTTCAGTGCAGCCGAAATTCCTTGAGTTCTTATAAGCGATAACACCCAGAGTCTCGCTTCTCTTTGATGATTTATTTTAATTTTGTTTGGGTGTGTGTGTGGCAAACTTTAGGATTTGGACGTTTGGGAGTAAGTTTTCGGCTAGCCAGTGGTGTGGCAGCATGGGGGGCGGGGGGGGGGGAGGAGGAGGGAAGGGCTGAAGGGGAGAGTGTGGTATTTGGAGTGAGAGACCTGGGATTAGATGCCAGCCTTGCATCCCACTAGCTGTGACCTTGAGGAAGTTACTTCACCTCTCTGATCTTTACTTTTCCTAGCCATAAAATGAGGACAGTAACTTGTACTTTATGTGAGGTTGTTACGAGGATTAAAAAGGTAATATACATTAAAAATTGGACATTTCCTCAGAGGCATTTAATAAACGCCAGTGATAAAACATAAACAAGTTCGTATGGGCTCCATTTTGTGTGATAGAATTGCTACATCAGGAGGTGGGGGGGGGGGCTTGTACCATGTACTTGCCTTGTAACTAGTACGAAGGAAGCATTTATTGAAACTGTTGCATAAATAAACAAAGGATGTCTGAATTTACCAGTGTTTGAACTATTGTGTCCAAGGGTGTTAATGAGGTGATGACAAGTGTCTGCAGTGGTCTTGTCTACATTTTCATTTGTGTCTTGAATAAGAATTATGCAGATCAAATTTGCCGGTGGCCTGAACTTGGGGTGGGTAGCTAATACACTGCATTTGGAAAGACTTTGAACTCGGTGCAGAATATTTTTTTTCTAAAGTTTGTTTCTTTCTGATTTTTTAAACAAAATAATTTTGAAAATATTAATAATTAGAAAATTCCAGAAGTAGATTTAAAAACACACACTCATAAGCTTGGTTAACGTTTTGGTATATGTCCTTTGCAGAAAACAACTCAAAACAAAATAGGGATCAAATTATTCATGATGCTTTCTAAGGAAACATCATACAACTAATAAATAGTACGGTAGCATTTTCATCAGGAACCTGGGCTGTGAGTCCATGCCGGGCAAAGCCTGGCTCTCTGTGGTCCGGGGGCAGCTTACCCCACACCTCAGAGTTCTCAGCTCAAAATGAGATGATACCCACCTGTATTGATAAGTGAGTTAATTCACGTAAGCACTAACTACTCAGAATGCTTATTAACATCAAGGACGTGGTCTCCATACTTTGGGCTAGAAGGCCCCCAGAGGCCATCTGCCATAGCCCCTCCTTTTCCGGGCCAGGAACAGCCTCAGAGAAGTGATTTGCTTAAAGCTGTGCAGCTGATTTTCCGTGGATTTAGATAGGTCCTTGCTCCTCTGCTCAGATGCCACCTTGAGAAGCATTCCTGTCCCCTTGCCACAGGCTCTCGTAACCCTATGCACCGGCCTCGCCTGTGGTACAGCTCTAGGCTTGGATTTGGGGTTTTGCACTTTTGTCTCTTTCCTGCATGCTTCCTCACGAGGCTGGCAAATCTTTCAGCTTTGTATCCTGCACATTTCATTCTGCTGAGTGGTCAGTACTTCACGCTGATGTGTTGTGGATTGGGGGGAGCTAACAAGTGGTTGGAAAGTGTCCAGATTGCGGAAAGGGAAAATTCCATTGCGTGTAGTTCGTTCACCTTACATGCATGTGTAGAGCACACAGTTTGTGTCAGGCACGAGCCAATGCAGGGGACGACTGGGTGGAGAGATCGGGAAAGGCTCTTTGGAGGACACGTCAGCCTAGATGTGGAGGGTGAAGATTAGTTGGCCAGCCAGAGGGAGGCCTGGAGACATGGTGTGAGAACAGCATGTGCAAAGGCCCCGAGGAAGGAGGAGCGTGGCACGTGCTAGGAATTAGGGACGGCCAGGGCAGCAGCGGGTACAGCTGAGACTGGTGAGATGGGCAGAGCCAGGTTCTAGAGGGCTTTGTAGATAAAATTACAGATTTTTTATTTCAGCCTAAGAGCCATGGAAAGCCTGTCTCATAGGCTTAACTCCTCTGCGCTTGCTTTTAGAGAGAAGCTGGCATGGGAATAGAGGGCGAGCGGATGGTAAGGGAGCTAAAATTTGTGTCCTACTTGGAATATTTAGCCCAAAGAGGAGGGAGAAAAGCAATTATTGGTGTATGAAGGAATATTACGTGCAGAGCAAGTACTCGTTCTGTGCTGCTGAGATAGATGTTCAAGGCGGCAGATCCTGCCTGCAGGTCAGAAACAGCTTCTAACCCACAGAATCCTCCTGCCTTGAGGGATGAGACCAGAGGGGGGTATTAGACAGCAACTGCCAGGCCACCTGTCAGGGAGCATGGGGCCGAGGGAGTGTGTGCGCTGGGCGTGGCCTTCCTGGCTTTTCAAGCTCCAGTCGCCCATGCTCCATGGATCGGATAAAATCTGTGCATTTCATTCTGCCTTGCAGGTGATTCAACACACCTGAAATTTGACTTCATCTCTTTGTTTCTTTTTTAACCTGAAAATGCATGTACTTGGGACTTTGTAAAAATAAATTTATAAAATGAAGTTTGCCAGTACTTATGATTAATATACTAAATGTTTGAAGTGTGTTTTAAATTACTTAGATATAGAAGACCTTATGGTTGCCAGGAACAAATAGCTATTATTGGTAGGTTAGTCTGAAGTGAGTTGTTATGGCTAAAACAAGCTGGTGTGTGCCCAGCTGGCGTGACTTAGTGGTTGAGCATCAACCTATGAATCAGGAGGTCATGGTTCGATTCCTGGTCAGGCAGGGCACATGCCCGGGTTTCGGGCTTGATCCCCAGTAGGGGGCAGGAGGCAGACTATCAATGATTCTCCCTTTCCTTCCTCTCTCTGAAATCTGTAAAAATATATTAAAAAATAATAAGGGCCCTAGCCGGTTTGGCTCAGTGGATAGAGCATCGGCCTGTGGATTGAAGGGTCCTGAGTTTGATTCCAGTCCAGCACATGCCTAAGTTGTGGGCTTGATCCCCAGGAAGGGCGTGCAGGAGGCAGCCTATCGATGATTCTCATCATTGATGTTTCTATCTCTCTCTTTTTCTTCCTTCCTCTCTGAAGTCAATAAAATATATTTTAAAGCTAAAAATAAAACAAGTTGGTGTGTACGTGAAAGTCCTCATTTCAAGCTAAGAGGAAAATAACATTCCCAGAGAAACCAAAATTCCAGAATAGCAGGCACTGGCTACTCACATGATGTTTTTCTTTCCCTGGGTAAATTGGAAGAGAAGGCCAAAGAAAATGGAGGAATTGGATGCCTCTCCTCCTGGGGGCGGTTGGACGGTGTGTACTTAACCACATTCACGTTATGGAAATAGGAATCACCAGGCAAGGAAGTAGCCTCGTGAGGTGGCTGCAGCGGTGACCAGGTGGAGAATGGGAAGGAGGAGACTTGGAAGTCACTGCCGTCGGAGTGGTGGGTGGGACAGGAATCCCGTTTGGAATGGAAACTGCCAGTAGGAGTTGTCTCCACACCACCTGGATCTGGGGGAGCAGCCCGAGGGGAGGGGGCTGGTGACCAGCTCTCTGGGGCGCAGGGTGGAGGTTCCTGCTCCCTGGGCACGGGCGGGCGGGGCAGTGTCCCGCGTGTAGTCCCCCGGGCTTTGTTGGGAGAAGAGATGGATTCTCTCCCACGGTGCTTCTCAGGGAGTGGCTTCCTGGCGATGTGGCTGACTTAGCAGGCACGCTTCTCCCAACACAAACTCGCTGCTCCCTTCCCGCCCCTCCCCTCATCGTGGCTGAGTTGGTGGTTAAGATGGATGGTAAGGGCTCAGAGAGGAGTGAGCTGAGCTTTGGTGGGGGGTTTTGTGTGTTTTTTTGTTTGTTTGTTTGGAGGGAAAAAGCCGAGGCAAAGAGTGCGATGCAGGCCCTAAACTGTTGCTCGCCATCTGGGGCGTAATGATCTCTGCGGGCTGCCATTCCGCGGGCAGTGACGCTTCACTCCGAGGCCTGTCTTCATGGCCTGATGCACCTCTCCTGCTCTTTCCTCGGGGGACAGCGCGCACAGGCCGCCAAAAGGAAACGCCAAGCGCCCAACGGGGCTCCCGCAGCCAAACGGGGCACCGCGGCGTCCTCCCTGCCCGCCAGGAAAGCCGCCGCCAAGCCAGCGGCGCGGGGCCTGAAGGGGAAGGCTCAGGCGCAGAAGGTGTTTTCTCGGAAGAAGGCTGTGGCTGGTGCGGGGGAGAAAAGCCAGGAGCAGAAGCCGGGCGTGAAGACTTCGTCCTTGTTTAAAAACAACCCCGAGATCCCCGAGCTCCCCAGGTACGGCCGGGGCAGCGCGCCTCGGGAGTGAAGGGCCGGTGACTCGGGCTTTTCTTTGTTGGTTGGAGCTCATGCCCGATTTTGTTGGTCATTTGCAGACCTGAGGTGAAGCAGGTGCAAGAAAAGGTGTTTTCTTCGGACGCTTTTCAAGAGCTGGACCTCCACCCACATCTGGTAAGTTCCTCTCTGCGGTTCAGGGGTCGCTGGTTTGGTGTGCTTATTCACGCAGAGATCAAAACGTCTGAAAGGCAGTCTAGGGGGGACATCCCGGCTCAGGGTGTCTGCTCCCAGTTTCCTGTGTGAGCGCAGATCCATACGGCGCGCTCCCAGGGCAGTGTGGTGAGCAGCAAGCTCAGTTCACTATGTCCTCATTCTCTCACCCGTTCCCCCCTTGTTCATTGTAGGGCTGGGCTCCATCCCCTCCCCAGTTCAGTTAGGACTGGGCTCCATCCCCCTCCAGTTCAGATTAGGGCTGAGCTCCATTCCCTCCCCAGTTCAGTTAGGACTGGGCTCCATCCCCTCCCCAGTTCAGGGTAGGACTGGGCTCCATTTACTGGGCTTTCGCTCAGCCTTCTCATTTCTGGTAGATGTGACTGAGGCGCTCTGGGCACAGATGTCACAGCGGCCATAGTGGGGACTGAACTGCGTCTTGCTGCTGAGGATCGTCTGTGGTTATAGGCATCGAAGGAGAAAGAGACTATTTTAACATGCATTTTCTCCAAACAAACCCTTTTTTCTTTCCCCCGCCTGAGTGTGCCATGCTTATGAGAAAGGAGAGAAAATCCACGAACGTTAGGGATTCCCTTTGCTTGTGGGGTCCTGGCTCACCTCCTCCTCCAGGGTGGGTTCTCCTGGCTCCCTCAGGTCTGAGAGGGTTGCTCAGCCTGGCTGCGGCGGACACACTGGGGAGGCAGCTCATTGTAGGGTGTTGAGCGGCATCCCGAGCCCCTGCTCACTGGGTGCCTGTAACCCCTTCCCAGTTATAACAACCAGAGCGTTCTCTGGGGCTGCCTCATGGGGCAGAGCCACCCGCTGAGCACCACGGCCTTGCTGGAGCTTAGTTTGGTCATCGTAACCAGTCTCACCTGTGGTGGGTTTATTGTTGTTTTTTGCATCCTTATTTCCAAATAAAAATTTGTTTATGTTTTGTATAAATTTATACTAAAAATTTGAATACGTATTTTTTCTTTTCTTTCAGATTTCTACACTGAATACAGTCTTGAACATATATCATATGACCAGGTAAGAGTTCCAGGCGAGTCTTGATTGTCTTAGGACTTAAGTGGGTAAAATTGTATGGAATCTGAATTGTCTGTGGAGGACTGAGCCAGTATGTGTGTTAGTGTTGAGAACACACCAGATTATGAACTGTCCAGGGCTAGCCCTGCCCCTCAGCCCCTCGGATCCCCCACCTGCCAAACGGGAAGCCCTCAGCTCCGCATGCAGGTGTCTGGCCTGGAAGATGTCTGCAGAGACCTCGCCGTTGTTCGTGCTCCCCTGAAAATAATTGGTTAATACAGAGCGGATCGTGCAGTTTCTTAGTAGTAAGAGGTAGTCAACCTAAAAGCCAGAAGTGAGTATTTGGTTGGATGTAATGGGATACTGAAAATTTTAAAAAATGTTAGTAACGAAGACTCAGAAACGAGAGCAGTGAAAGGCGTGGAGCAGAGGCGAGAGTCCCCTCTGAGTGTGCGTGCTTCTGTGTGTAAACATAAGAATGTAAGCCCCCTCACCATTTGTTTTGTTCAGTTTTGTCAACCAAATTTCCATGGTTCCTCCCCTTTCAGTGCTGGTGTTTAGACATACACGGACACAGGCCTCCGTGTGTCCCTGCAGCGAGGCCTTGCTTTTCTGTGGCGGCAGCTGCTGTGCTCGGGGCTCACAGCCCCTCGCTCCTCTGTGGGGATCTCCCCTCACATTGTGCCGCCTTCCCGTTCCCCTCCGCGCAGTAGAGAACAGGGCAGGTGCTTCAGGACAGCTTCAGGCTGCCACTCGCCTGTCCCGTTTTGGTTTTAGTTGGTGCGATGGGATGGCCAGCCCCCAGCTTGCCTCAGCATTTCAGCCGAGTTCCAGAACTTTCACTGAGGGTTTTAGTCTTCTGCTCGTCAGCAATGTCTCAGCATCTTCACTGGAATGTGTCAGTAACTTCTAAGGAGGCAGCGGTAGAGCAGCGCATGGGCAGTGCGTTTTGCGTGTCCTGCCTGTCTGCCGTAACCGCCGGGTGACTGTGGATAACCATGCTCTCTCTTTTGGCGGCCCCAGCGTCCAGAAGCAAAGCATTCCCGCGCTGCTGGAAGGCAGAGATGCGCTCGTGAGGTCCCAGACGGGCTCAGGTCAGCGGCATTTCATTTCTGCCCTCCCTCCCAGCATGCCAGCCTGGCACGGCTAGGTTAGATGGCGAGGCGTCTGCTCGTGGTAGTGGCTGCTTTGTTTTGTGGGGGAAGGGGAGCCCTGGATTAATTCATGTAGTGAAAGGAAGCGTGAGAGTCAAGTTCTGCTCTCGTTCTCAGAGCCTGCCCCCCCGCCTGTGCCGAGCTGCGCGTCCTTACTGCACTGGCCATGAGTATCCTCTTCTGCGCTAAACAGTTCTGCCCCGAGCGCACGCTGCTTGGATGCAGTCGGTTGCTCAGACGTGGAGCACTGCTTTGGCATGTTCCAGAACAGCCCAGCATGTTCTTCTGACCTCCTGAGCTCTTCATCAGCTGTTCTCCACTCCCCCCAACTCAGCTGCCATTCCGGGCGGAGGAAGCCCAAAGTTGTTGCCGTCCTGGGCCTGCCCCCCCTCCAGCGCCACAGAGGACATTTATTGGCCACGGAGCGCATTGGAGAGTTTAGACTGCTTTAGAGGAGAGCCGTCTGGCCTCTGGAGACAGCCCAAGCCTGTGTGTGGTTTAGGGGATGTATCTCCGTGTCCCCCGCGGGAGGGAGGAAGGAGCTGGAGGAGGACTGAGTGCACAGAGGAGGGGAGACAGCGGGCTCCTTCCTGCCTCTTGGCCGGGGGCTTGCTCTTTCCTTTCCCCAGGTCCAGGGCTGCCCGCGGGGAGCAGAGCTGCTTTCCTCCCTGTCGTCCAAGGGGCTCTGGCTTCAATGCTTTTCTCTCTTTTAAAAGGTAAAACTCTTGCCTACTGCATCCCTGTGGTCCAGTCTCTTCAGGCAATGAAAACAAAGATACAGGTGAGTGTCAGTGTTTCTCCGCTGTTCACGGTGCGTGAGAAAGCCTCAGGCGGAAGCACAGCAGCGGTACTGGGACCGAAGACTGCCCCACTCCGCAGTTTCCTCACCTCTTCAATTCATTTCCCACACAGCACGCTGCCTGAGGATGTGCCCGCACACGGCAGAGGAACGGTATTCCCCGTCAGCAGAGTAGGCCTAACAGGGACATGTGTCCGATGCTCCCGGATGTCAGACACGATGCCAGATGCTTTGCCTGTGTGATCTTGAATCTTTAGCTGCCTCGGCCCCACCGAGTTGTCAGTATCACTGTTACCCCGGGTTTACGTGAGAAATGGAGGCTTGGGAAATTCAGTAACTTACCAGACCGTGTGGTGAGTAATGGGGAACTGCATTCCCTCCTCAGTTCTCAGGTCTCAGAGCAGCTCCAGAGACAAGCTCTTCTGCCTAAGAAAGGTGAACCTTTTATGTAAACGTGGTTTGTCATGAAGAGTAGATGTGGAAATAAGCACCCGATTAGTGAGTTGGACAGTGCGCCGCCTGGCGTTGAGCATATTCTAGAAGCTGCCTCCAGATGTGAGCCGTTAGTGCCTGGGCCACAATTGGGTCCTTGGTTTCCCTGGGAAGCTAGTTAACCACCACCTTCCGCAGACATAGGTCTCGTCTCAAAACCCGGCCAGGGTCCCCCAAACACAGCCCTGCTTCGCCTCCAGAGCAAACGCGAGGTCAGAAATGGGAGTGAGGTGCGTTCACAAGCAGATAAGAGCTAATTGGTTCTTTTTTCTCCATTTGGACACGCAGGATTAGATGTGTCAAGCCCATCTGATAGTCGAGTGCCAAAATAAATAATGAGAGTGTTGGATTATAGCCCATAAACTTAAACAAATTCCACGAGTCCAAACTGATAGGAAGAAATGATTGAGTAAATAAATAAATGGTGGAAGGGAAAACCCTTCCTCAGAGTAGAAATGCAAAGGAAAAACGTAGAGTGAGAGATGGAAATAGAGCAGCCGCATTGGCAGGCGCCTCAGTGGGTGTATTTCAGGCAGGAACCATCCAGATGCTAACGGGAGTGGGTGGAGGTGGTAAAATGGGGTATTTACATGGTCTCAGAGCAGCTCCCACAAGGCACTTCATCACGGAGGGAAACAGTAACCTTCCAGCAGGAAGCCAGGCTACCTCCTGACCAAGCCGACCGAGCTGGCGGCACCAGCTGGGGTGTGGGCCTCACGGGGCCTCGTGGGCCACAAGTCCGGAGGACGCAGCTCCACTTCTGTAGTTTTCTTGTCCAAAACACATAACCCGAATGTAATCATAAGCAAACATCAGCCAGACCTAAATGAAAGGATATTCTACAAAGCAGCTGACCAGTAAGAACTCCTGTTAAAAAGTATTAAGGTCACAAAAGACAAAGAAATACCACAAAACTACCCAGATTAAGAGACAGAAGAGACGTGAGAACTAAATGCAGGTCTGGTCCAGAACTGGATCCTCTTCTGGGGAAAGGACAGTAGTAGGTCAGTTAACGGGATGTGGTTAAGGACTACAGATGAGTTAATAGTGTTTAATCAGTGCTAATTTCCTGGTTCTGATCATTGTCTTATGATTTTGAGAATCCATACCCTCTGAGGCAGCGGGGAGAAGGGTTGAAGGGAGTTCTGTGTACTTCTTTTGCAATTTTTATTGGTTGGTTGGTTGATTTGAGAGAGAGGGGAAAGGAGAGAGAAAGAGAAACATCAGTTTGTTGCCCCACTTATTTCTGCATTCATCGGTTGCTGCTTGTATGTGCCCCGTCTGGGTATGGAACCTGCAGCGTTGGTGCATTGGGACAATGCTCTCAGCAGCCAAGCTACCTGGCCAGGGCTGTGAATTGTTCTGTAAATCTGAAAGTATTTCAAAATGAATCAGTTTAAATTTTATTTAAACTATGTAAATGATTTTAAGTGAATAAAATAGAAGTCGTACGCAATCATCCAAATTATGGAACCTTCTAGAGCCAGTAAAAGTGCCTTTTTTTTTCCCCCCCAAGAATTGTGAACTTGTGTTCTTACCATTTGATTGAAATAAGGCAGGTCACAAACGGCACATAGAGCATGACTGCAGCTTTGTCAGTGGTGAGAAAGTCTGTGCATCTCTACAGAAAAGATGAGAAAGACACTTAGCAGACTGGGCGGGCTGTTTTCTTGGGGTGCTAAGTGAGATCTGTATTTCCTGCGGTGACGGCTGCTTCCTTCCCGTGGCGCCCAGCGAGTCAGAGGGCCGCTAGCGTTGCACTTGGCACACGGGAGAAGCGGGTGCCTGGACCTCGAAACCGTCTGGTCTCCTAGATGGTGACTGAGGACAGGAGAGGTCAGAGTTCACACTGGGGAGCCGTGTGGCGGGCAGCTGTGCTCAGTCTGAGCGTGACTCTAGGCAGAGCACTTCACCCTGTGCCCCACTGACTCCATGGTGCCATGGCGACTGCAGGGCCTCTCTCCTGGGCTGGGAGCGAGGCAGCTGGGAAGGGTGCCTGTCACCGGGGAAACCTGCTCGTGGTGGCAGCTGTCAGCAGCAGCAGCTCGCTGCCAAGGCTGTGTAAGGGCAGTGGTTTGATTCGCTTAGATTCACAACCGATAACAGGCCAGGCACTTCTTTTAATGTGCTCAAATATTTTTAATATCAGGAATGACTCATTCTATTAAGGACTGAAAAATTCTGTAGAGAGTTTTCCAAGCCCAAATCTATCTCACTTATTTCAAATGATATCCACGGAGACCTTGGAGTTCACGTGAAGTGATGTGACCTGTGAAAATGACGTGTGCAGGGAGCAGTACAGCCAAGGCCCCACGGAGTCCTCACTTCGGGAAGAAACAGGAAGGGCCGCTCTGCTGTGCGAACTCGCTCAGCCCTTTTGGCTGATTCTTCTGACATCACAACATCCTCCCTCTCACTCCCGCTCCTGAGGATTGCTTTGCTCCCTCGGCGGCTGTGTAGTGACACCCTTTGAAATGTCAGAATCTCCTACCGTCACACTGGGGCGCGTGGATCCCGTTGTTCTAACATGTTTACTGATCCTCGCCCGGCGTCAGCGCAGTCTCGCCGAGTTGATGTAGAGAACAGACGGCTCTAGTTTGAATTCCAAATCCTTTCCTCCTCATGGGTAAATGTCTCCGATGCAAAACATGGCAACCGTGCTTGTGATTGAATTTGCTGCTAAGTCTGCACTTCCCGCTGCCCTGGGTGTTCGATCAGTCACTGTCTGTGGGCACTTCCGAGGTGCAAGGCATGGTGATCTCGGGGCCTTTATCAGATTACTTCGTTTTCTTCGTGCATTGTTATTACTATTATTATTACTATTATTATTACTACCCTGTTTCCCCGAAAATAAGACAGTGTCTTATATTAATTTTTTCTCCCAAAGTTGCACTAGGTCTTATTTTCAGGGGATGTCTTATCTTTCCATGCACTAGGTCTTATTTTCGGAGGATGTCTTATTTTCGGGGAAACACAGTAGTATTACTGTTACTACTTTTCGATATAATGTAGAAGGCAAATGAATGTAAACAGCATCAAAAACATTTAGAGTGAAAATCAAGTCGCTCCCTCCCCTGCCTTCTATGAATGGGATGTTCTGTCGGGACGCAGTGGTCCTTGTCCCCAATCTCTTGCGTGTCCTCCCCGGGGCATCCTCTGAAATGCGAGCATGTTCAGTCCTCTTGCTGCTTTAGCGGAAGCATTTGCTTGTCTGATACACATGGCTGCTCATTATGCTGTTGTCCTGTGCTTTGCTTTTGTTCACTTAATGTGTTTGGGGAGAGTTTATCTGTTGAATAAGTCTTTGCTTCAAGGGCTGCCTCATATCCCACTGTCTGTGGACAGTGAATTACCGACTCATCCCTTCATTGGTGGGATGTGCGTTTTGTTCAGTATTTTACTACAAACGGGGCTATTATAAATACTCTACATTCTGGAAAATACAAGTTTATGTACATGTACCAGGGTATCCTTTAGAGAAATTCCTACAAGTGGAATTTGCATTTTTATTTGCTAGCTAATGTCAAAATTGACCTTTAAAGGAGTTATACCAATTTGCACTTTCACCAACATTGTATGAGAGTTCCTATTTGCCCGTGCCCTTTTCCACACTATCGGCTGTTTAATTTTGCTCATTTGACAGGGGAAAAATACTGTGTAATAGTTGCAATATGAATTTCTCCTAGGAGTAAAGTTGAACATCTTTTCATATGTGTAAAAGCCACATTTTGAATTATTTCCCTAAGTTAACTTCTTATGTACTCCTCCATTTTTCTCTTTGAGTTGTTTTTTTTTATGTTTTTATTTTTTAGTTGGATTATAGAACTTCTTTATAAAATAGGGAAATTGCCTTTCTCTTATGTGTGGGGTAATTTTCCCCACATTGCTATTTGACTCTTGATTTTGTTTGGGTATTATATTTTTATTTTGAAATTTTAAATTTCTATGTGATAAAATTTATTAGTGTTTCATAGTTTCTGAGTTTTATGTCATCTATAGAAAGGCCAACTTAATTCCAAATTAATTTTTTCTAAATTTTTTTCTAAAATGGCCTTTGAATTATCCATTCTTTTCCTGATACAAAATGCTCCTTATTCCCTAAATTTCTCCATGTATTTTAGTCTACTCTAGACCCTATTTGCTGTTGGAAATCTCTATATATCAGTATCAATTTTTCAAAACTATTGTACATTTAAATTGTTTAAATATCTGATGTTTTTCAGAAATGTTTTGATTATTCTTGCACATTTATCTTTTCATATGAACTTGAAATCAGCTTGTTTGGTTACATTTTTTATTTTATGTGTGCATATAAATGCCCATATGAATTTTTATTAAAGATTGCATTATATTTATGGATTGATTAGGAAGAATTCACTTATATATAATAGCCAAGAACAAGATACATCTTTACATTTATTCAGTTTTTATTTCATGCTCCACAGGGGTATTTTAAAATTCTTATTATGTAGATTTTATACCTTTTGTTACGCTTATCTTTTTTGTTGCTCTTATAACTGATTTTTTTTCTCCTTTGGATTTCCTAACTTTCTCTATTAGAAAGCAGTTGATTTTCATAATATATTAATTTTGCATTTAGCTAATTGACTTGTCTTTTTTATAATAAAGCTTCAAATGACTTTTTTTAAGGATAAGATATTTGCTAATAATGACAGTGTTACTCATTTCCTACTTTGCAAATTTTTACACATTCTCTTGTCTGATTGCATCGGCCAGACCCTCTAGAATAGGGTTCCGTGATAATGTCTTTTTTCTTTTTTCAATCTTTACCTGAGGGGGGTGTTTTTATTGATTTTCATAGAGGAAGGGGGAGAGAAACATCAGTGGGTTACCTCCCGTGTGCACCCTGAAGGGTTCAGACTAGCAGCCTCTGTGGACAGGATGATCTGCGCCAAGCCGGCCGCCAGGGCTTGTCCCTGTCCTGGCCCAGACTGCTGGTAGTGTGGTACCGGTGGCCTCTGAGGCCTGGTGTCCGGGTCCTTCATTCAGAGCATTTCTTTCCTCCTCTCCCCAGCGTGGCGACGGCCCCTACGCGCTGGTGCTGGTGCCGACGAGAGAGGTAAGCAGCCCCAGTCCTGATGCGTGTGTTCAGTCCGTCCTATTGGAGTGTAAGTGGATCCCCGTTTCTCTCTCTCTGCGCCAGCCCTCACTGGAGGGCCATGTTTGGGTACAAATCACTTTACGTGGCCCTTTCCTTTGCCCGGGACCATCCTCTGCTCCCTGACCAAAGAAATCCAACTTCTCTGAAAAACCCCAAGTTTCCTCATCATCTAAAAACTAGGCACACTATAAATTTTTATCCTTTAAAAAAAAATTTAAATAATCACATTTTTGTACCCCTCACTCAACTTCATTAAAAAAATAAAAGCATTCGGTCCTGAAAATGAACTTAAAAAAACAAAACAAAACAAAAAAACTGTGCCAACAAATGTTCCTGAAAGTTAAGCTTCTTGGCATTTTTCTTCGTTCTCGGTGGAAATCTCTTCTGCCTGGTACACTTTATTTGCCTGGGAGACAATGGCAGATGGAGTTATTGCTCTGTCAGGTGTGGCCACTTCCCTGCAGAGACTTGCTCATGGACGTGAGCGTCCTCTCACCTCCGTCCTGCAGAGCCCGTCCGTGCCATCCATGGAGCAGCAGGCATGAGGCTTAGATTTTGACCGCAGCGAACTGGCCGCTGCCCACTCAGGACGCTTTGTGAATCCCGAACCTGTGGGAACTCTGGGCAAAGGGCTGTGGGCAGGCGACATGGAACCCCGTTTATTTGCATTCGATGCCGCTGCTCCATCCCCCTTCCTGTGGTTCCATCTCTCTCTAAAGAGTCGAGCCCGGGTCTGCGCCTTCCCATCCCCCCTTGTGTTCGACTCGCTGCGCTCCGGGGATTGGGGCCAGCAGAGGGAGCACGCGGCACTGCCTGTCCGTCCATGACAAGGATGTGTGTCTGCCCACGCTGCAGCCACAGCTCTCCCCGTTAGTGTCACACAAGGTGTATGTTTCCGGTCGATTCTGTGCTGGGACTAATTTTTTTTCTTGAATCTTAACTTGAGGTCCAAGTTTGGATAGGAATCACTTTACATCTAAATTTCACAGAAAGGAAGAAGATGCCTTGCTCATTATAACTTTTTAATATTTACAGCTGGCGCTACAAAGCTTTGACACTTTCCAGAAACTGCTCAAGGTAAGGCACGCCAGGACCCGCTTTACCTTTTTCCCTGACATTTGGAGGAAAGGGAAACATGCCGCAGCCTTTCCTTTGTTCTCAGAGAGCCAGCAGTTAGTCTGCTTCCCCTCCGCCAGGTGTCTGCCCCTCCCGGGAATACTGCGGAGGCTCCCCCTGGTCTCACCCTCACTAACGTCCTGCTTCTGCTTAGCTAGGGTGCTAGTGTTTCCTGGAGCTAAAAGCGCCATTGTCTCCTTAGCGTAGGCGCTAGCAAGCCACAGACAGTCACAGGTGTCCTCTCTGCAGCCCGGACTGGGCCAGTGCACAGCCACCTGAGAGGCTGCACGTGGGGTTTGTGCAAGAGAGAGAGGCTCCAGGGCCAGGCCGGCCAGCCCCCGGTTAGGTGGAGAATGCCCTGTCCTTTTTATGGAGGCGGAGCTGTGCCTAGGTTTCATTTTAGCCCCAAAGAGCACACAACTTACTGAGATGTGTGTTTATTCAGGCTCCGTGGAGCAAGGCATGAGTCATTCCCAAAGCTCCTATTTCTGTCTCTGTTGGGAGGAGGCCACACAGCCTCAACTCCGGCTATTGCTGACGGCGACCCTGGTGTGGCAGTGCTAACATACAGTCCTGTCTACGCAGGAGCACCTCCTGCCGTGAGAAGCCCGTGCCCCCCTCCTGATTCCTTATTTAATAGTTTTATTGATTTCAGAGAGGAAGGGAAAGGGTGGGGAGAGAGAGAAACATTAATGATGAGAGAGAATTACTGATCAGCTTCCTTCTGCACACCCCTACTGGGGATTGAGCCTGCAGCCTGGGCATGTGCCCTGGACTGCAATTGAACCCAGGATCCTTCAGTCCGCCGATGCTCTATGCACTGAGCCAAACCAGCTAGGGCCCTTATTATTATTATTTTTTAATAGGTTTTTATTGATTTCAGAGAGGGGAAGGAAAAGGGAGATCATTGATAGTCTGTGTCCTGCCCCCCTACTGGGGATCGAGCCCGCACCCGGGCATGTGCTCTGACCAGGAATTGTGGTTCATGGGTCGATGCTCAACCCTTGAGCCAGGCCGGCTGGGCCCCCTCTCCTTCCCTCCCCTTTGAGGAGGAGGAGGCTAGACCTGCTCTGTTAGTGGGAAATGGGCTGTCACGGATTTCTGCTCTGTGTCTTCTCAGCCTTTCACCTGGATTGTGCCGGGAGTGCTGATGGGAGGAGAGAAGAGGAAGTCCGAGAAGGCCAGGTAGGGGGTTGTTTGTTAATTCCCTGGGTAACTTGTCTGTCCTTCCTTCCTGTTCAGTAAGACTTAGTCCTTCTAAACCTGGGCCCATGTGTAGGGACAGGCTGAGTCAGCAGGGAGCAGTCACGTTCAGACAGGGCTGTTTTTTTTTAAGGTGGTCACGAACCTGCGGGGGTTCCCTTCTGATCTGGTCATGACCTTCTTTAAAAAAAAAAAAAAAAAGTTATATGCAATAAACATTGATATTTTAAGAAAATGATTTTAAATATAATAATGTTACATGTGGTCATGGCCTTTTTAACTCCACCCACCCGGTCCCCGCAGTCCCCCTCCTCAGTGCACATCCCCTGGTGATACTCTGTGGGCACATTGGGAGTTAGGTGTTGGTTTTTTTTGTTTGTTTTTTATTAAGCTTACATAATGTTTTGCACCTTGCTTATTACATCCCAAAACATTGATTTCTAATTGTATGTTAGAACTGGTAATGGGTGTCAGTAGAAAATTGTTGGGACCAGTAAATTCCAAATGGTCTGCATTCTTTTAAAACAACTTTTATTGTATTTTAGTGTTGTGCTTAGTAACACCCAACTATGTGTGTGGCCTGTTCCTGAGGAGTAAGTTTTAAAGCGGAAATCTAAAAATACTGGCTAGGGTTATTTTCAGCAAACAGTGCCACCAGCTCGGGGGCAGGTGTGTTTTTCCTTCACACATGCTTAAGCCCGGCCGAGACTGACATGTGCGCCAGAGTTGGGGACTCAGGCTCCTCTTCTTCTTGTGCCTCAACACGTAGAAGGCATCGGATTACATATAAAGCTTTCATTTCCAAGGCCACCTCCCGTGGAGATCCGCCCCCACAGCAGGAGCACAGGGCACCAGCCCCTCCCTCCGCAGGGACTCCGGGTTGCGCCTCTGTCCTCCTGTCTTGTTCTAGAGCGTAGGCTGGGGTCATGCTAACCTGCAGGGGAAGCTAGACAACATACTTAGCTGGAAATGGGAGGCTTTGTTACCAAGGTAATGGGGTGAAGGATGTGTGGGGAGTCATCCATTAGATTTATTCTACTGGTTTCTGGGCCAGGCCTGTTACATGGAAGTCACAGCAAGGGTTCAGTGTAAGAGAACATTCTGGGACAACTGGTTCCGCTAAGAGGTTCCCTGGCAAGAAGCCTCAGGAGCAGGCTAGACGACCCTGTGTCTAGAATGTGCGAGAAGGGATCCATGGGCCAGGTAAAAGGCACCGGCTTACCTAGTAAAGATTCCTTTCAAAGTTAAGGTTTTGCTATTTTAATGTAATTGCAGATCTTAATACTTCTATTCTATGGGAGCGAGAAACTTGAGAGAAAAATAAAAACCGATCTTTGTATTCACTTATCACGCTGGTCATGATTTCAGGCTGTGGCACCTGCTGCTAGACACACATCTGTCTCCTCCTTCTCCTCCTGTGTCTCCCATTGGTACAGCCCAGTGTGGTTTACTGTCTGACCGCATGTCATTTCCAACAGGCTCCGCAAAGGAATCAATATCCTTATCTCCACTCCGGGGCGCCTGGTGGACCATATAAAATCCACAAAGAACATCCACTTCAACCGCCTCCGCTGGCTGGTGCTGGATGAAGCCGACAGGTGAGGCTGATCGGGAAGCAGGAAGCGCACGGGGAAGGCTGGCTGTCCATCAGGACTGCAGCCCGGGCTACCTGAGGTCTGCCTTCGAGTAAACTTCTTCTCCCGAAACCGCAGAATCTTGGACCTGGGCTTTGAAAAGACCATCACAGTGATACTCAACGCGATCAACGCGGAGTGCCAGGAGCGCCAGAACGTCTTGCTGTCGGCCACTCTCACGGATGGTGAGCGAAGAGAATGGGTGCAGCTGCCAGGGGCATGTGTGCCGCTGGCCCTCAGCCTCAGGCGGGGAGGAGTCTCCGGGTCCCAGGCTCAGGGAGAGGGCCAGCAGTGAGGGCAGTGCTGCAGGGGCCCCTGTCAGGTGGGGAGGACGAGGAGCTGACAGCCACCTCCTGTGCTTGCGGGAGCCTTTCCCTGTGCCCTGACCTGCCGAGCGCCAGGCTTGGTCCTGACACGGACAGCCTCTTCGCCACGCGCACCGGTACAGCGATCAGCCTGCCTTTCTCCTAAAGCGGCATGGGACCTCAAAGGCTCCTGTCCTTTAGGCTCATGTCTGTGTTTCCTCCTCGTAAGCTGGAGCTTCTTAGCTGCCTTTTGTAGACGGGACGCTGGGCTTGGCCAAGTGGCCGCTCTGCACCAGCCCCGCAGCAGGCCCTGTCTCAGCGGCAGGACCGCTCCTGTGTCGTGTCTGCTTCACTCGGCACACAGCTGCCACCAGCACGCCTCACCGGCACTTCGGAGTGTGTTCCAGAGAGCGTTAATTTTAAGATGATCGTGGAAAACAGATTCTGCACTCAAACAGTTTGGGAAATGCCACACGTTACCTCCTCTTGGAGATTCGTGGTGCACTTCACACAGTGCAGGTCCCCAGAGGCCTGTCAAGCCTGAGGGAAGGATTGGAGGGCCTTTTTGTCCGGCGTTTCATAACCATAGAATCCTTTGGGGGGATCAGAGCCCTGTCAGTGTCCCTCCCTGGCTTCCCACAGGTGCGAGCTTAGGAAGGCCGGTGTGTGTGTGTGGGGGGGGCCTGGGCTGTGGGAAGAAGTCCGGGGCCCACCCCACCAGATGGACATGTGGGCAGATCAGTGCGGCCCCTGGTGAAACCCGTCGGGAGTTGGCCTGGTTCAGTGGTCGGCAAACTGGCTCAGAAGCCGCGGTTTGCCGCTCTATTGATGAATGAGTTTGCCGACCACTGACCTAGACTCTCGATTCCAATAATTGCAGGCTGTTGTTCCTTGTGATTAAGCCCCTATTCTAGTGGCCGGCAGTTTGCCGACCACTGGCCTAGTTCGCGCACCTCCATGTGTGGTGTGCCAGGACGTGCACAGGGACCAGCTCCCAGCGTGGCTGTCACCTGTTATGACTTCTTCGCTTTCTCCAGCTGTGACACGGCTCGCTGACATCAGTCTGCACAACCCAGTCAGCATTTCTGTGGTGGACAGAGACCTCCGTGAGCTTTACCTGACCGATGAGTCTTCTGACGACTCTGACTCACTAAGTGACGACAGCGACTTTGACGATGATGACGACGACGACGACGACGATGATGACGACGACGATGATGATGAAGATGAAGAAGAACTGGAAAGCTTTGCGATTCCTGAGGGTCTGGAGCAGTACGTGGTGGTGGTTCCCAGCAAGCTGCGGCTGGTCTGCCTGGCGGCCTTCATCCTGCAGAAGTGCAAGGTAGGACGGGCCAGGTCGGCTCCAAGGGAGGTTGGTGCCGTGTGTCTCGGGCACTGCTGGCAGCCACTGAGACACAGCTCTCCGACCTCACTGCCGGAGGGTGTAGTGGTTCTAGGTTGTGGGGAAGCTCGGGCCAGTGGTTGCCATTATGTTCTGCCTGAAGTGTCTTTCCTGGGACTGATGCTGGGTGTGAGCCAGAGCTAGGGGCCTGTGCTTGCGTTTTTACAGGACGCCCGGTACAGGCTGTCCTCGGGTTACGTCGGATGTACATCATTTCATAGTTATGTCGCCATTTCCCATTTATTTATTAAAAAAAAAAAAAAGTTCAGTCATTTCTACGTACATATGTGCTTTATGTTTTTTATTATTTACGACAAGTAAAGGTCAAGAATCGTCCGTTACCTTTCTTTAAATTTTTTTTACTGTTTCACTTCATTACTGCTGTGTATGTGCTCCGTGAGTGACGTAGGTGGGTTCCGACTTACGGCAAAATCGCGCCGTAGGAACGGATCTCCGACATAACCCGAGGACCTGCTGTATTTGTGTATTTATCTGCTACTCTCGGTGGCACTTTCTCTGGGGAAACGGCAGGGAGCAGGCTTGAGAGGGAAGCTTCCAGATGCACTGCACGTGGTGTGTGTGCTGAGGCCTGAGAGGACGAAGAACAGCGCTGATAGGCAGCCTCACCCGGAATTCTGCTCTTCCCAGTCTTGGGAGTGTGATCAAGGTCATGGCTGTCAGTTCCCTCTCCTGCAGTCTGGTAGCAGGGAGCCTCCATGTTAATTCTGGAAATAACTCCAAGCCGTCTGTCTTCCGTTTCCAAACAGGGCCAGTGTGACTGTATTTTAGGAAAATGCTGGTTTAGTGTCACCTAATAAACCTGTGCTGCTTTTCCCCTCCTTGTCCATGCAGTTTGAAACAGACCAGAAGCTGATTGTCTTTTTCTCGAGTTGCGAGCTGGTGGAGTTCCACTACCACCTCTTCTTCCAGACCCTGCTGGGCCTCGCGGCGACAGGGCAGTCACCATCTGGCGGCCCGCGATTAGCATTCCTGCGGCTGCATGGCAACATGGACCAGGAGGTGAGCAAGCCCGGGCCGTCCTATTTCATCACACCCTCCCCGCTCGCACTGGCTCCTGCGGGGCTCGGGCCGGGGTCCCCTCAGATGTCCGAGGCAGGCGCACGGGGACTAGGCACGGGCCTCCTGTGGGCGATGTGGGCGAGGGGAACCTGTGCCACCCGCCTGCTCCGGCCTGGGCTCGTCCACCTGAGAGCTCGCAGGCCCTTGGCCTGCATCTACCTCCACCAGCTGTTAAGGCAACAGAGCACCACTAAGTAGCTGGCACCAGGGAAGGGTTTTGCCTTTTTAGTACCCAGTGTGTAATTAGGGCTTGATGTCTTCAAATTAAGAGCATTAATGGAGCTAAATTGTGGCTCCCATATGGTACCGCTGAGCGTGACTGCTGTCGTTGTCAACAAGATGCAGCGCTCTCTCAGCACTTGAGGTTGCGAGAGGGTCTGTGTCTCGCTCTTTCTCGACTCTTGAGTACCATTGTGGTCCAGGAAGAAGAGGAGAATGTTGGCCTTATTTTAGGTTCTAAGCTGCAAAACTCGGTCCCCTGGGGAGTTGAGGCAGAGTGTGGAGTGGGATGAAGTCACTGCCTCGTGCAGGAAAGGATGCACGGGGCCCAAGATCAGAGCCATCTTGTCCCGGAGGCTGTGACCAGCAGCTCAGGAAGAGGGTGGGCTTGGACCAGAACCACATTGAAAAGGGGTAACGTTTTAGAGTATACGAGACCTTAAAGGCGTCAAGTCCTTTTCCCCTTTGGTTTTTGCTCTTTAGGTTTAGTAATTCAGGAAATGGAGGTTCAAAAAAGTGACTTTGCTCAAGGTCGCTCAAGGACACAGCTTCTTATTTGCCACGGGATAGCATAGAATTTCCTATTTGAGCCTTTGTGAATTTTATCAGCTCTTTCTTTGTACCTTGCGGGTCCCTGAGTCAATCGAATTTGTTGATTCCAGAATGCAGTACATTGATGGTGTTTCCTTCTTTTCTCTTTTAATTAGCTTCCTAGTCCTCTGGGTCTGTTGTCACCAGAGGCATTCTGCAGGGGAGTTGGGTGACAAAGGAGCTGGATGTGGACTCAGAAGATCTGGGAATTTGAATAGATCACACAGGAGATTCTGTAGTCAAATTAGTTCGAGCTCTTACTGTAATGGCAGTCTCCGTGCTCATGGCTGTGTGCCCTGGAGGCAGACCCCTGGTCCTGGCCCTGGCCCTGCTGGTCCCAGGCTGTGTGACCTCAGGGAACTCTCTGTGCCTCAGTTTCCATGTCTCTAGAATGGAGCCAATAGTCCTATTTACTTCATGTGGTTGAGATGATTCACTGAGTTAATGCAGATAAAGTACTTAGCACAGGGCTGGCTCATAGTCAGTGCTCAGTAAATGTTAAGGGTCATTATTGTTATTTCTCCTTCAGGAATAGTTTCGCTCTTCAGCTTAGTAATTGTTAATATTTTATTTATATTGTTTTGTTTATTGAGTAGTAGCCTTCACAGCCTCCCCATGAGTAGAGGATGGGAGGGAGTATCTGTATTTCATCTGATGAATACCAAGGTTAAGTGTCTTACCCTAGACTGAGCTAAAACAGCCCCAACCACATACTCTTGGCCACTGTCCCACATGACCTGGATCTCCCTGAGTGATTGTCATGACCCCACCCAAGGTGACGGGCATTGGAGAGAAGTGAAGCTTGAAGTTGCTGCCTGGTGCTTGTGGTGGAAGCTCAGGAGTTAGGATCCATAGGCGGGCTTTCAGGCGAGTCCCTGCTCCCAGGAACTGTTCTGATTGGCTGTGCTCTACAGCTGTTACAGTGGCCCCTTAGAGACTGCTCAGCAAACCGGACCAACCCGGCGTCCTCGGGAGGGTCTGAGCTCCAGCTCCGGGCCAGCTCCCTGGGTCCAAGTGCAGTCGCCCTTTGCTGTGTGTGGGTGCCCGTTGGCAAGTTCCTCGGCCCCCGTGCCTCGGTTTCTCTGCCTGGAAAGGGGTGGTAATGGTTCCTGCTCAGAGGGCCGTGGGGATTGGATTCGTGCAGACGTGTAAAGCTCAGGCCAGCGTTGCGCTCAGTGCGCTGGTTGTCCATGTCCACGTCTGCGACGTCACGGCAGTAATTCGGCCACTTCCCTTTTTTTGTTGCCGACAGGTGGACATGGCCATGGGCCAGCGGCTTGCGCCACTGGCTTTGCAAGTTCCCAGGAGAGCCTTTAGGTGGCACTCCTTTGGCCAGCGGGCTGCCTGTAGGACTCACCCGGAGGGAACAATTCCGTGCACAGGCCTTACCCATAAAGGTTTATCACAGCGGGTCTGTAGCGGACAGCAGTTGGCCACAGCCTTGGCCAACGGGGCATTGGCCACGAAAATGGTGGCACACCCACCCAGCTGGTTACTATCAGTGTCATCACGAGGAGAGGGTGTGGTGGGAAAGACGTTCACGGATATTGCTTTCTGATAAGAGTGTGCTGCTAGGAGAGGGCGTGTGGCCTCTTCGGTTATGCCGTGCACGGCCCAGCATGGGGTTGCCGCTGGTGGTGCTGGTGGTAGTGGTGGTGGTGTGTTTTCAGCGGTGGCAAATTGCATTTTCTCCCTTTGCCTTAAATGTAATTTTTCTACAGTTAAAATATATGGGGTTTTATATTTTTTTTTACCTTTTTAAAAATTAGTCGTTAACCAAACTCCCCTTCAGGAACAGTGGGTTCTTCATTCCTCTCGCTCACCTGCAGGGAAGTGTGTCCCTTGGGCTGTCCCTGCTCAGGGGTGGCCGATCTGAAGGTTGGGCCCATCCTGGCGCTGCCCTCCTGACAGCCCAGAGTCCAGTCCGGGGCCTGGTAGCTGTGAGCACTCATTGCTTCCTTCCTCCAAAGCCTCTCTGTGCTGGGCCCGATGCAGCCCCAGCAGAAGGAGACTGGAAGCACGGACCTGCTCGCTGGCCTCCATCTCAGCTGTGTTCCCTTGTCCTTGCAGGAGAGAACTGCAGTGTTCCGCGAGTTTGCGCAGCCCGGCCCCGGCGTCCTCTTTTGCACGGTACGTACCATCTGTGCTCCGGGGAAAGGAGCATTTCTTCACTTGGGGGTTGCAGTTTCTCTCTGGACGATTTGCCTTGCAGCTGCCCCTCAGACAGCGGGAACCCCAGGCTCTTGGTGTGGCGGGGCCCTTGGCACCTCTGGGTGTCACCTGGCTGGGTCACAGATAGCCGCACCACTGTGCAGAAGACTCAGCTATTTGCTCACTAATAGTGGCAGCTGTTGGTCTGAAAACGTGTGAATCTTGCTGATTTCTAGCCACCAAAAACTTGTAAATTACAGCTATCGGGAGTAATTAGAGCTGGGAACGTCTTTCCACAACAAAATCACTCGACGCACCTTGCTCACCTCCTTCCAGGAGCAGCTGCCCGTGGGCAGTTGGTCTGCTGGCGGCTGTCACGTGCCCTCCTGTGTGCAGGCAGTTGCCTCGCCCCGATGCTGCCACCCTGGAGGCTGCCTCCAGCCCAGGGCTGGCCCTTTGAATGCACTTCCCGGGCTCTTTCAGGAGGCAGGTCCCGCCTTCGACGGCCCTCCTCTGGGGACGCACTTCAGGGGCTTCGCTCGCTCGCTCCCGAGATTACAATCCCTTCGATGTGTGTCGTCGTGGAGATGCAGCTTAATCCCTGCTGGTGAAATCCCTGTCCACACGCAGGGAACTGCGCTCTGAATGCAGTGACCCGGGGATGGCGTGCTGTTGAGAGCAGATGAGTAGCTCTTTGGCCACCCGCTAGGCCTCTAATGAATTACTCTTTAAGGAACTCCCGCTCCGGGTTCCGTGTTACTGAGCGGTGGCTTCTCCCTGAACTCAGAGTATGGGTGAGCGCTCCTGTCTGTCCTGTGTGAGGTCATATGTAAGACGGCCCGCCGGCCAGCAGTGTGCCAATTCTCGTGCGGCACCTGCTGTGCCGAGCTGGTTGGCCAGACGGAGCATAGTTCCTGGGCATGCTGGCCTCAGAGGTCTTGCGTCCAACCAGCAGCCTCTCCAGGAGCCCGTCCACAAGACAGGTGCTAGTATTCGCTCTAAAACCTTCACAGGTCCAGCTCTGCCCTGAAGACAGCCCAAATAATCCATGTGATAAACGTGTCAGTTCTCATCACGTCCACTAGTACCTTCTGGGGCCGGACCTCTTCCCGTCTCCTCTGTCCCCACTTGCCTGCTTGTTCCTTACCCTCACCCAGGCTGGCCCCTCTCTCACGTCCTCCATGTGTCATTCTTGCTTTCCCTGGGGACTGGCCCTGCCAGCAGAGCTCCCCTCCCCTGGGTCCGCACGGATTGTTCGGGACTAGCCACCTGTGCTGCTCTCCACCGTCGCTTATTTGCATGAAGTCCGCTGTTACCTGCGGTTCTTAATTCCTTCCTCCCGGGGATTCCCGCCGCCAGGAAACCGGGGACAAAGGCATGCACTCGGGAGCCATGAGCGCATCCGCAGCCCAAGTGCATGGTGGCGCTCGGTTTTCTGCGGGGCCTGGTCTTTAGGCGAAGTTTCTCTCCCCTGTATCTCATTGTGCTAATGGTGAGATCCTTGGGAGGCTGTTGGCTGTTTACTCGGTTACGCTAACTCATGTTGCCAGTTTTTTGGCGGCTCCAGCCAAGATCTCTCGCCTCTGACAGCTTCTGCGCGCTCTCCTTCCTCCTCTGTTTGCGCAGCCCAATCTGTCACCCGGACAACGGGGGCCTGTACCCCGCTGATGGCTCCCACACACGGCAGTAATGACTTTTGGCAGCCCGGGACAGCGCAGAGGCGAGCTTGCTGCGTCCCTTCCTCAGAGCGCCGGCGGCCCCTCTCCCTGTTAGTAAAAGCACTTTGTGAGGATCTTGGGTAAATAAATGAGTCATTTTAATCCAACTGACAGGCTGGCACCTGAGCAAGCTGCCTTCCATCTGTGCTCCTCCGTCTCGTGAAGGCGGCCGGTTGTCAAGCTGGGCCCTCCCAGCCTCTCCGCCGAGTGTCTTTCAGAGCTGACTTTAACGCTTCTTCTGCCCTAGTTAGGTTACGGAGTGCAGGGGCTGGCCTGAGTTCTGACGGGGCGGCTGAGGCTGAGGCTGAGACTGAACCCTCCACAGATCCGCTTCCTGGTGCCCGCTGATGCCACTGCAGGAGCGGGGAGCAGGGTGCTGCCTGTGCCCCTGCCCTAGGGGGAGGGTGTAAGCGGGGAAGAGAGCAGGGAGGCTTTCACCTGCTGCCTGGTCACCACCATCCCAGTCCTTCCTTCGTCAGGGAGTGAAATGGGATTGCTCCTCAGTGTCAGTGTGCCGGCCTCATTGATCTTCGGTCCCCTCTGGAGAGAGAGGGTGGGCCTTACAGCCATTCTTCGGCGTGTGCACTGAGGCTCGGGGCTCAGTTGACTCCCAGATGGAATGGCAGCTGAAGTCCACCCTCAGCTCCTGGAGCAGGAAGAGGACTTAGCCCCCTCTCTGAGGCCGCCAGGCCCAGGATGGAGAGACGTGCTTGAAGGCACAGCTGATTAAGGCTAAGGGGGGGGGGGTGGCTGCTGGTGCGGACCCCCACCCCAACACAAGAAGTGGGGTGCAGGGAGCACAGTGAGCTGGTGTCATGAGCCAGGCCACCAGGTGGGGGGCAGAACCTTGACCGGCTGGATGAGAGGCTGCTGTCTGCAGTCACACCTAACTCACCGCTTCAGCGCATATGCACTCCGTGACATGTGTGAATGTCAGACGCTGTGTTAGAGCTTCTGATTGAATTTACTAAACTAACGAGCATTAGATTTTCTGCAAAGCCCTCCTGTCTGTCCAGCTCCAGCAGCCCCTCTGCATGCACCCCCCGCGGAGCACGTTAGTTACACGTCATTTCTCACGAGCTTAGCGCCCTGGAGCCACCAGCTGCGGTCAGGGCAGAAGCAGGGCCCAGGCCCGTTCAGGAGAGTGATGGCTTTCTCAGAGGCAGTGCTTGGACGGGCCTGTGGGCGGGGGGAGCTGCCTGCAGCACCTGGTGGGCGCTCTGGACCCTTCGTACATTAAACTCCTGCTCAACTCGGCGGGAAGGCAGCCTGGCGCCGCTGGGAGAGAGCGGAGCCGGGCCAGGTGGCTGCGGCACGGTCTTCCTTGGTCCCAGGCAGCGATCGTTTCAACATGCTTCTTGCAGGAACTTCATAGGATTGGCACTTTTCAAAAAGCCCCCTATCCATGTGACCCCTTAAGAGGGGAGAGAGGAGGCTGCTCCTGCAGAGGGTGCCAGCTCAAATGGGAGGAAGGCGTGCGAGACAGGAAGTCACCTCTCAGCCATCGGGGTCACAGATGGGCGGCACCCACAGGGGCTGAAGCCACTGGAGGAAGAGTTTGGGAAACGGTCTCCAAGTTCCATTCTCTAGTCTCTCACTAACTACAGAGGCAGAGCTGGGGGTGCCCCTTAGGCGAGTGGACACGGCACCGCCATACGGGACGGACTGGGCTGCTGGTCTCCGATGCTGGACACCACCCCCATGGCCTGCAGTACAGCTGGAATAACGGGAACCGGGATTCTTGGGAAATTGTGTTCCTCCGCACTGAGGGTCCTGTGAGGAGGAGGCGCATGCTGGCGTCCCAGCTGACTCACAATGGTTCAGAGAGGCGTGTGTGGGGGGAGGGAGAGAGGAGGCAGACGCCCGGACCATCGGCAGCGGCGCTTCCAGGTGAGGGCAGGCAGGCGCTCGCGCTGCTCCAGCTTCTCCATAGGTTACATTCTTCTAAGTGACAATCTGGGGATAGATCCATCCATTGTTAAGAGGAAAAGAGAACAAACGGAAAAACACAAAGAGAAAAGGAGAAACCACCCAACCCCTCTGCCAGGAGAGAAGTAGGTTGGCAGTTGGGGTGACCCTCCAGGTACTGGTTCTCAGGTGCCTGCTGCGCCATCTGTCCGTTCTTCCACCCGAGTGATGCTTCGCTTGGGTTTGGGTTTGACCTATTTCTCCTTGGAGTTTTTGGTGGAGGAACCAGACCATTTGTCCCATCCGGATTTGCCCAGTCTGTCCTGGTGCTTACCTTGCCCCGCCCCCAATAGTTCCTCTACGCTAGCAGTTACGCCCAGGCCCCAATGAGCCCAGGTGCTGGTCTGCTTTGGAGAGTAGGTGACCTGCACTTCCTGTGGCACGAGAGCTGGTCCTCTGACTTTCTAGCTTGCAGCCATTTACACAGCCTCCGAGTCCCAGTTCCAGAGGCCACTGGCGGAAGTTAGCCCCTCTTCCCTCTCCCTTCCTCTCCCTTCCTCTTCAGGTAACTATTTTTTAAAACTTGTTGGGGTTCCCCTTTATTATTTTTTATAGAAATGTGGGCAGACATACTTTATTTTCCTCATTTCTTACACAAAAGGGTCTTACACAAGAGGGTGTCACACTCAAAATAAACCCCAGTGAGTCTCCCTGGGGACCTCCCTCTCAGGGCCGTCCATAAGGGGTGGCAGTGCCCCATCGGGGTCACTGTCCCTGTAGGCGTTGGGGTTTTGCCAGCCCTGCAGCACACGCTGCCAATCCCAGCAGCCTGTGCGTGAGAGTTCGTTTGTATTTTTGTCAGCGTGTCCTCAGGATGGACTTCCAGATGTAAGATTGCTCTGGGTCCAGGGCAAGTATGTAGCAGTTTTGCTGGATGTTACCGAATTCCCAGCACAGCGCAGGCAGGTGTGGCTCCCTCTCTGAGGTCGGAGCAGAGAGTAACGTGGTCCTGGAACCCGTTGTCAGGATAATGCAGGGGACGTGCCGCATGGGGTCGGCGTGTAGGAAGTGCCCAGGACGCATTGGTGGGGCTCTTGCTGCGATGGCAGCGTGAAGAGTCCAGTGCAGGCTGGTTGCTGAGGCCGGAGGAGCTGGAATGGCCAGAGTGGAGTCCGCCTTGCAGGTGGCAGGCAGCCGGAAAGAAAGACGTCTCCATGGCTTTCACGGTTCGCCTGTCTGGCCCATCTTTGGCCCCATTCTGATTGAGACGCCAGAGGCAGGCGCTGCCTGGGCCTTGCTGCTCGGGGGCTGTTGGCAAAGGCGCAGGAAATGCTTTGCGGCCGCCTCCACAAGGGGTGCTGGGTGACCTTCCAGAAGCCCGCCTCGGCACAGGTCGTTCGCTCTGCTCTTCTGGTGGACAGGGATGGGCTGATGACCCAGGAATGCATTCCTCAGTGTTTCAGACAAAAGGTAAAAGTGGTAAGACACGCGGGAAGCTTTCAGAACCCTCCCAACGCACAACTGAGAACCACACGTAAGGACCCGGGCTCCCTGTGGGGACGGTCTAGTAGGGAGTGTCTGTGGCCACTTCACCACGGGTTCCAGTACTTACCCTGAGTCAGAACTGGGAACCACACATGGACTGGTGGCTTCCTGAAGCTGTGTGCAGACGTGTGTGTGTGTGTGTGTGTGTGTGTGTGTGTGTGTATGAGCCCTCTTCCTCTGCATGAGGTTATCAACAGATCTGTGACCCCCACATGGTTCAGAAACTCAGTCCTAAGCCGCCTTCTTTTCTGTTTTGAAGGATGTTGCAGCTCGAGGCTTAGATCTCCCTCAAGTCACATGGATTGTTCAGGTAATTTTTTAGTTGTTAAGGTATGAGCTCGAGGCAGAAATATATGATCTTGAGTAGATGCGCTGGCTTTAAGTAGAATAATTATTATTACCCTCCTGGGTGTTGCCCTGGTAACCAGGCAGCAACCGGCCTTATCTGCACAATTCTCCTGACATCTTCCTTGACTTGGCCCACCTGGCTGCCGCTGCAGCAAACAGCCCGCCTGCAGTTGGGAGGGGCCCGCTGCTCCCAGCTCCAGACCTAACGCATGTCACGCAAAGTTGCAGCAATTTGAAAATTACAGGCGTTACCTGGGCCCCTGGGAGGCCTCCTTGTGTCCAGGAGGAGATGGCTCAGCTGTCCTGAGAGCCGTGTCCTGTACATTGACCTGCAGGGGGCAATTAAGTCCCTGACAGCCTCTTACACAGACGCAGCCTCAGACACTTTGCCAGAGGGCATGGGCATCAGCGCTAGGGCCTGGCGGTTTAGTTGCTTTTTCTTTTCGTTAGTGTGCAGAGTGGTGTTTTCAGGCCCTCTGAGTGCGGCCAGGGGACACATGCCTGTTTATGTGAGTCATGGTTTATTCACCTCCCGGTGCAGCCACACGCCTGTCACCGGCCGGGAATCTCTCCTCCCCGCAGGTGATCACTGTGACGAGAGGGGCCAAATCTCTTCCTGCTGGCCTCAGCGCGAGTTAAAGACGAGGAGGCGAGGGTGGCTGGGATGTGTGCAAGGCCAGACACGGGGCCGGCATTTAGAGCCCTCTATTGTGAATATTGACTAGTCTGACCTGCCTTCTGACTTTGATTCATGTAGCAGCAGAGGGCAAAAAGGAGAAAGAATATAGGGTCAGTTTTGACGATGGTGAAGTTCTTGCCATAGACGACATAGGATGCTGTGCGGAATACATCCCACTGAGTTCTAGGGCCCTTTTCCCTGAGGCAGGAGCACTGCCCGTGGGGCAGGAGCAAGTTCCTTTGGGGGGAAGCTCCGCCCCACTGGGCCCAGCCCAGAGCTGACCTCCGGTCAAGGTCATCAGCCCCTTGCTCTTTGCCTGTCAGGCTCCTCTGCGGCCTCCCCTCCACTGCTGTCTGCCAGGGAGCAGGCCAAGGTCATGACGTCTGCAGAGGTTTGCCCCACCTGCCCACGCTTTCACCTTGCACAGTTCCCTCCGTGAAAAGATGCAAATAGGAAGCTGCAGAGACCTGTGGAGAAGTAAAATTAGAAGGGAGATACTGGGACGAGGAGACATCTCGTTTATCTGAAACTTGGCCGCTGTTCACGCTGGCCTGTCAGCCTTGTTATTTCCAATGAAGCAGGAGTTTCAGGGTTGAGTGACTTCTCCTTGTGTTGTGTTAGGGTAACCATAGCACCAGGATTTAATTCCTGGGATACCTGGAGGCAGGTGAGGGGTATTGCACTTCCAATTAATGGCAGTCCCTTGATCTGTGAATGCCTTCATTTCTGTTGCCCTTTTTAGTACAACGCTCCATCTTCAGCCTCCGAGTACATTCACCGCATCGGGAGAACCGCCCGCATTGGCTGCCGCGGGAGCAGCCTGCTCTTCTTGGCTCCTTCGGAGGCAGAATATGTCAGCTCGCTGGCTTCTCACAAAATCAAGTGAGTCAGAAACCCGCGCGGCTCCGGCTGATCTCACCTAATTAACTTTCTGTCGCTTCTTATAGCGGCTGGGCCTTGTAAGCTGACGAAGAGCCATTAACCCTTGTGATCCCTAAATGAGTCCCAGAATAGCCAGTGGCAACAGCTAAAACCCTTCATGCCATCAGCACATGACAACTCCCATTGCGTCGTGAGACTAAGTCATAGGGACGATCTGTCGCCTCCGTGTTCCTTGCAAGGAGGCCTGTGCTTCGTTCTCTGACAGCCGGCTTCTTGTAGATTGTTCTGTTCACGGTTTTTATTTCTTGCAATTAATGTTTTGTACCTTTAAAGGCGGTTTATCTTTGTTTTATTTTGTTTAATTTTTAATCTTATCTGAAGATATTTTTCCCATTGCTTCTCAGAGAGAGTGGAAGGGGGAGAGAGAAACATCCATGTCAGAGGCACATCAATTGATTGCTCCTGCTCACGCCCTGACTGGAGCAGGGAACAAACCCCATACTCTTTACCCATCACACGGTTCCCAAGGATGGGTAACAACCCTGGAGGAAGTGCTTGTGGCCACTGGAGCATGTGCACACGCACAGGCAGCTCTGGCCCGTCTTGTCAGGCCTGGTCAGGTGGCAGTGCCTCCCTGTCCCCCACCTGGAGCCCCGGTCCAGCCCTGGTCACGGCACAGAGGACTCAGTGGCGTGGGAGCTGCGCCAGGGGCTGGTCAGGTTCACGTGGCTCATTTACTGTCTCCTCCTGACGCAGTTTTCCATGGAATGGTGGGTCCATTCACGTCGGGAAGACCTGCTTACTCTATCTTACTTAGGAGAGAAAGCTCGTGCTGGCCACTCACTCATCACCCAGAGCTTCCTCTCGGCCTTGGAGAGGATGCTCAGAAGGATGAGGATGGGATACCGAGAGAGGAAGGGACTGTAGTCTGTGGAAAGAGAATACCAGCTGGTGAAGAACAATTCATTTGGGGGAAAGGGCTGTAGGTCCAAGCTCTCGGGCTTCTGCCCTGGAAAATCACCATGGAAGTTCCTGTGCCCAAACCCTGACCGCGGCCAGTGGGAGCCGCTCAGTGGCGCTCAGACCCGGGTCACAGTGCACAGCCAGGCGCCAGCGTCCCGTATCCACGTGAGGAAGGATGTAATGTATGTTGGACGTCTACTGGAGGCTTTCCTCAGTCTTAAAACCAAAAAATGGAATCTCATAAAAAAACTAATGGCAGAGTGTACTGTGAAAAGAAGCAGATGTAAACATTTTTGGAATCCAAAAGATACTCCTAAATATTTATTATTTGTTTTTAGATAGAATCTTTATGATTGATTTTTAGAGAGAGGAAGAGAGAGAGAAACAACGATTTGTTGTTCTATTTGTGCATTCATTGGGTGCTTCTCGTATGTGCCCCAACCAGGGATCAAACCTGAAACCTTGACGTATAGGGATGACACTCTTAACCAGCTGAGCTACCTGATCAGGGTAGAACTCCTAAATATTTTTTTTTAATTTAAAGGAGGAGGATATGTGTGCGTGTTTTATGCCCAAGCACCAGAGAACCAGGAGCGGGCTGCCGGGCTGCTGGAATGGCTGATGAATTGCAGGGGAGAATCTGGAGGGTAGCAAGGCCCTCGCACACCTTGCTGCCTGCTTCACACTCCAATTCCCTGTGGCAGATGGGGTGGGAGACAGGTGCCCTGCCCGTGGCTGCCTCTTTCTAAACGCTGTGGACGTGGTTTCTAGTCCTTTGACTTCTTTGTGCTTGCCAACTCCTTCACTTGCCCCACTTTAATGAAAGGAGAAGTTTCTAAGGAAAGTCATCATTGGTTTATTAAAATGTAAGTGCTTCATCAAAACGCGTGTTTCTTAGATCAGGCATAAGACAGTTCCCTGAATTTATTTATCTCCCTCTTCTTGAGTAAGGTGGGTGTTCAGATCTGTTGATAGAGCCATCAGTAAGCAGAGCAGATGCGCTTTGTTCTCAGAAGCAAAGGTTTCTGAGATGGGAGGAGGGCCCTGCGCGCGGTAAGCTGCCCCAGTGCACGCTCAGCTCCTGTTCCCGGAGGTCAGCGGTCCAGCTTGTCCCGCGGACCCACGCACAATGTAGCAGCGGCCCTGGCGGGCAAGCCTGCGCTGGGAGAGCTGGCCGCTGTGGCTTGTTCAGTTCTCTGTACCCCTGACTAATAGCATTACTCCTTTCTTCTGCCTGTTCAAGGTTTGACCCCAAGTTCTCAAGCCGCTCTTACTTTTGTATTCCTCCTTTATTTGTCCGCCAGCAAGAAAGGGATGAATAGAGCAAGGCAGACAGTCAAAGGAAGGATGGGATTGGGCTGTGTTTCACCTCCTTCAGACAAGCAGGCACAAATATGGGCAAATTCAAAGCTGTAACGGTCCTCTCTCCTATGAAAAATAGATTTTCCAAGACACCAGGGGCCTCCCCGCTCCTGCCCTCCATACGCCCGCCTTCCCGCTCCCTCCCGCTGCTGCACAAGCTCTCCGGATCCGTGGCCCGGAGCTGCAGCAGCGGGGCTGCGGGCTGGGAGCACGCGGGAAGCGGTGACACATTTCAGGTAAATAGCTGTCAGCGCCGTGACATTTTCATTCATGGCTCCGGCAGAGTAACCTTTAGGGGAAAGGGGGAGCAGCGCCTGGTCCCACATAAGAGCTTGCTGTTCGTGTTTTAATCTGCCACTACATTTTTTAACAAACAACAACGTGTGAGAAAAGCACTTATTTTTTTATGATCTGTTTCCTGCCCCAGAACTCCCCTTCTTTTCCCTTCTCCCCGGGAAGTGCCGTCAGCCGCTCCCGGTTCCTTGGTCTCTGATGCGTGCCGCACATCCCACGCTGGGCGCGGTGGCCTCCTCTGCAGGCAGGTTGGATGGCTGTCTGGCCCTCGTGGCTCTGGCCGAGACTGTGCCCACATTCTGTTCTCAGCCGTTGGCACATGGCTCTGCCTCTGCAGAGAGCATGCTCCTCACTTGGTGTTAGGAGACCATCGCGAGACCTTCGGGTGGATTGGAAGAGAGCAGACACATTATCACCTCTTGCTCAAGTCAATATGTCAATAGCCAGGCCTGCTTATTTGGTATTTGAGGTTTATTAAGAAATAATGACATCTGCTCTGACCAGGTCACTTATTTGGTAAGAGCGTCGTCCTCTTATGCCAAGGTTGTGGGTTGGATCCCTGGTCAGGGCACATACAAGAAGCAACCAATAAATGCATAAATAAAAGGAACAACAAATGGATGTTTCTCTCTTTCTCCCTCTCTAAAATCAGGATGAAGCGAGAGAGGGAGGGAGGGAAATTCTAAAAGCAGCCCACTGAAAATTCCCCTGGGAGGGAGGGACTTACTGGGACTAGTCCCCCGTCCCTTCCTTCCAGGCCCCTGGGGGTGAGGCCAGGCCCTCCCTGTGGTGCTCCTGCGGCACGTCTGCCAGGAGTTGGGAAGAAGGAGTGTTTATTTTCTCTGCTCTCCTCTCAGCACTTCGGAGATGAAGATGGAGGATATCCTGGCTGTCCTGACAAGGGATGATTCTTTCCAAGCCAGACGCAGTGGTGGCCAGGTGAGTCTGGCTGTTTGTTGTTTGCTGCTGACAGATGTGACTCACTCTCCACTGGGTGGCGGGATTCTGTACGGATGGTTGTGTCCTGTCAAGCAAAGTGCATGTGTGAGGACCAGCAGGTTCCGATGAGGCAAATCTGACTGAGCCTTCTTTCCGCTGCTCCTGGGCGTTGGGTGTCCTCCTCCAGTGACTGGGCCAGCGTCCTCCTGGACGTCCGCCGGCAGGCAGGCTTCCCGCCCAGGCCACCCCTCGGCCTTACCGCGTCCACAGGCATTTCCCGCCCAGCCTGGCGGGCCCCGACCCATTGTCACCAGTGACAACTGACGAGGTCGTCCCCCAAGACGGCAGGTCTCTTCTCAGACACACTGAATTCATCGTTTGCTTAATGTGTGCACACAGAGGAAGGAGAGAGCAGAGGTCGTTAAGAAGAAAACGTTCGTTCCTCATGCAGCCCGTACGGGGTCCTGGGGCTGTCTCCCCGCCGGCAGGCCTGCCCGCCAGCCCTGCCCCTCAGCAGCACACGGGTGCGAGTGTGCGAGGGAGTGTGTGGCGTTGCTGTCAGTAACTCTGTCTGATACACTAATTATTTGGATATTTCACATTTGTTTTCTGGTGCCTGAGGATAGACTGGGAAATCAGGGCCAAATAGACCAAGCTTAAAGAGGTTTTTATCTGTCAGTGTGGTTCTAATTTGGATCGATATTCTCCCCAAGTTGGGGACTGGGTTTGACTGGCCCTGACGGGAGTTCTCTTGGTCGGAGAATACAGAGGGAAAGGAGAGGAAAACCACAGCGCCTGTCGCCTGTGAGCTCTGGACTCAGGACTCCACTGGGCTGTGCACAGGCTCGGTCTCCTTTAGCCTCCCGCCTGGAGAGGAGGAAGCCGAGGCTGCGGAGGTGAAGGGACGATGACAACGGCACATGAGTCGTTGGTCCTCCTGGGATGCGAGAGCAAGCAGTCTGATTTCACAGCACACACCTTACACACCAGCATCCTCCCTGGAGCAGCTAACCCAGGAAAATGGCTGCTTTCATTTTTATACAGCTCATGGTACCGTTTTTATAGACCGAAACTGGTCGGTAAATGGTCCACAACAAAGCTCCCTGTGTGTAAGAAAAATGGTGAAAGACTCAGCTGATCAACAAGCTGTGTCCGGCGATGTTTGGTGGAAAACCTCCCAGCCACGGTGGACTGAGAACCACCCTTCCTAAGCTGTGCCATCAGGACAGCTGACCAGGGACCCAGGACACGCCTGGTCTTGACACGCCTCTGCTCTTCTAGTTCGGGTTTTTATTTTTATTTTTTTTCTTGGTGTCTGTAACCGTATTTATCCCTGAGGCCCAGCAGAGGGGATCAGGGCCCATGAGTCACAGTGTTTCTATGGCAGCCGTTTGGGCCAGTGTCTGCCATGGATGGGCGGCACCGGATTTGACATGGCTGCAGGTAGTTGGGGTTTTAATGTCCCCACAACTTTCCTGATGGCCCCAGAGAGCTCTGCGGGATGTGCAGGGCCCCGGGCGAGCTGCTGGAGGGGGCCGTGGGGCAGAGTGGTTCGGAGCATGGTCTCAGGTCACTCCTGGTTCCCCTTCCCAGCGGTGTGACTGGGCACTGCTGGCTTCTAGTCCTCAGCTTCTCCGTAGTAAACGTAATGGTGGTTTCTTCTCATGAGGACGCTGGAGGATGGAGTAAGAAATAGCCCAGACCCCAGCCCAGCTGCCGTAGGGCATTGGCTATTTTTGCTGTGGTTCTTACCAATCATTGCCATATTGTCACATCGCTTCATAGCAGATGTGGCACCAGAGCCCGCTCAGTGACACCAAGCCTTCTGCATGGCACCAGCAGCTGCGGCCCCTCTGCTCTGCAGGACACGGGGCCCAGTTTTCCTCGAGCCTGGCCTTGGCCCGAGGCCAGCCTGAAGCCTTGCTGAGCCCAGAGGGCCAGACCCAGGGTCGCACACTTGGGTGTGTATCCGTGCTTCACAGCTAGTGGCTCTGCACTGGGGGCCCGTTGGCCTCTCCCAGCCTTGGGTTTTCCATCTGTAAAATGGGGAGAAGCAGAGTGCCCATCTTGCAGAGTGGTCAGGAGATTTAAATGAGTCGAGGCATAGAACACCCTGCACACACTGCACCGCAGTCTCCTGCCCTGATATTTTTAAAGTTTGATGGTCTTTGTTTTTAAAAGAAAATGCTAAGCATTCATGGACCCAAAACACCCAGGTAACTTAGGAAACGAGCTCCTCGGGGTCCTGGGTTCCTGGTCATGACAGGCTGACCTGTTTGACCGTTTTAACTTGAATGCAGAGGACAGGGAACAAATAGACTAAACTGACTGTTACTCCTGATCACGCGGACACACAGCCTGAGAGCTGTGAACAGCAAGAGGAGGGTAGTGGAGGCTGGGTCCCGCTTTGGTTCTGGTTGCCGTAGGAAGTGCAGGAGTCTTGTTGGCTGTGCGCCCTGGGGCAGCACGTGGCCGGTGCTGGCAGGTAGGAATGGGCCCAGGGGACGGACCTCCCCACGCGGAGCCGGGCGGCTCACTGCCCTGCCCTCCACTCACCTGGTTGAAGCCTGTTGTAAGTGTCCCCTTTGGCACGTACGCTTCTGGGCTCCTGTATACAGAAAGCGAACCAGGGAAGCATCTGTAAAATGTATATTTCATATTTAGGCACATAAAATATACATAGCTGCGCCTGGGCGTATGAGTTCACCACCTACAAAGAGAATACATTTGATCTCTCCACTTTTCCGGGAAGCCCTCAGAGGTTTCTAGGGAATAAAACTCAGCTTGGCAATAAAGTGATTAAAACAAAATCCTTCCATTTAGTTTTAAAACGCTTTAGAAGTTAGCAAGATCAAGACACATGCTTCCCCCCGAAAAACCCGCTCCCCGCTTCCGCTCCCACATAGCACTGTACACGGACAATTGGGCGCCAAAATCTCCAGCTCATCTGCTGGTCTGATGGGTGTGGGGTTATCTCCACACACACGTTTCTCCTGTGCGGGTTTTGTCCTGTGAAATGCGCCGTAAACTCATCCTAACAAACACTGTCACTGCCTCGCAAGACTGGAATTAAAACGAGATCACCAGCCCTTGTATCGTGCCCTTTGCGTCTGTCCTCCCCAGATCAGTAGTGTCTCCAGACGGGGGCCGAGTGCTTGCGGCTGCTGGGAATGTGTCTCCAGACGGCCTCGTCCACTCGGTGCCGCTGGCTTCATTAGCCAGCGCTGAATCCGTGCCTTGGGGGTGCCGGAGCGTCCTGTGGGCCCCGTGCCCCCGGGGCCTGACCCACCCTCATTAGGGGAGCAGCTTACCTGTCTGGGCTGAGCCGCCTGCGTCACTCTGCCCCTCCGTCTTCGGTTTAAATTTAGACTGTCCTCCCCACAAGACAGCTAGAAGTGCCTCGCTCACTCTCAGGGGGGGCAATTTTAAGATGGAGTGTTTCTGGGAGCGGGTGGGGGTAGGAATGCATGCTTTTCCTAAAATATAGTATGTTTTCTGCCAATAACTTTTCTCATTTTGACTAAAACTGACCTCATCATTTCAGACGTGTGAACCCAGTTATAACGCCTCTCTCTACATATTCCACTCGTATACACACACACATTTTTATATGTGTGTATATGTAATTTTTTTTTTTTTTTTTGGTTGGGGAAAAAAAGATGCCTCATTTTGAAACCTAAAGGGGGGAATAAGAAAAGCCCTTTGTAATATATTGCCATATTATCACTAAATCCCCTGACAGTTGTGTCACAGAAGCAAGTCACCTGTCACTTAAGCTTGAGGTCTCTTTAATTTTCTCCTGGAATTCGCACCAGGCTGTCTTTAATTTGAGGCCTTTATTGGAATTCTGAACCCTCTCTGCCTCCCTGGCTCTCAGATCTATTCTGAGAGCTGTTACAGAATGTATACAATAACCAACAGAGGGATTCGGAGGCTGAGTCTGTTTATTTAACACTCTGGAGGGATTTTGTGCTTATTCGGTCCTGGCTGCCCGGCTTTCAATATCGCTTTGACAGCCATTCTGCCCTTCTCATTAATTTTAAACAGTTAAAACACAGGAAAAAGAGGGAAAAGTTTTCATTATTAAAGTGCTTTACTTTTTAATAACAGAGGATTCTGTCCGCCAGGGGAAAGGGCATCCTCGCTAATTTCACATTCGTGTCTTTAAGAAACGCGAGGAAGGTGACAGTCGCGCTGCGGAGGCGGCTTAACGAAAGGAGGGCAGCACAGAAAGTTTGCATTTCACATCAGTTAAGCGGGAGAAGAAATCCTTGTTAATGACAACAGCAAATGTCCACTTTCGTAACACGGCTTCCGAGTGACTTTTCTCCTGACATTTGAGTGGAGGATACCCTTAGGGGCCTGTGCTGTGAAATCAGCCCGACTGTCATCAGCCAAACAGGAGCAGGGATGATGTGATTAAACTAAAAACATTTTCAGGGTGTTCAGGCTCTTAACACAAAGGTGAGTGTCGATTGGGAAGAAGGGGGCTTTTCTTCTCTCCTTTGTTCTCCTGGCGGCTCTCAGAGCCGAGGCTCAGGCGTCTGGGGCAGGCTGGCAGCCAGCCAGGCGCACTGTCCTCTGCGGTCAGAAGGACTGGGCTGGGCCGCCTGGTTCTCCCCGTTCCCTCCTCTCCGGGGGGCGCAGCAGAGGCTGGTGGCCAGTTCACAAGTCACCGTGTCAGCCACATGGGGCTGCGCAGCATGCTCTTTTGCATCTCAGTTTCTCCTTCAAGCGTGTGTGTTTGTTTTAAGATGTGTAAGGAACAAAACACTCATTTGGGGGGTGGGGGGGTATAAGGAAATCTTTGCGGTGGTTAAAGGATGAAACCATTTTATTAACCCGTCCCCTCTGCAGGGTCTTTCGGTGCACACAGATGCGATTTCTTATAGGGACAGCCGGGAGGGGGGATAGGGGGGCTGAGAGAAGGAGCTGCACAGCCTGAGGGCGAGGACGTGTCTCTGGGACCCGGGGGAGCTCACCCAGAGGAGCAGCGGGGGAGCCGGGAGATCTGGGCCTCATTAGGAGGTAAAGAGTCTGTTTGAGAACAACGTGGCTTCATTGGTGTTTTAATGCCGGAATTGGATCTGGAAAATTCCAGAGTCTCCAGTGGACTTCCAATCTGAGCATGCGTGCTAAGAGGCCGGGAAGAAAAGTTAGTAAATAAGTGAATAAACACAGACCGCATCTGCCCCGTCACAGCCATCCTTGCCTTTGCCCGACCTGAACACCTTCATGGCCCCTTTCCCTGGTAATATTGAGAGGATTACCCTGCCGGCCCCGAGGTGGTTACTGTGATTCGCTGTTATTAAATCTATTATAAACTGCTTCATTATGCCTGCTCTGACTGTCTCTCCTCTAATCCTCCCATCACCTCCAGCAACCCCAGGCTGCTGGCTCCCAGGAAACCCAAGAGCGAGCCACGGTCTTGCAGACGTTGTTCGAGGATTACGTGCACTCCTGCGAGGGGACGGTCGCCTGGGCCAAGAGAGGTCAGTCCGGCTCCCGGTGCGTGTGGGTGGCCAGCCCGGCGGGAGCACGTGCACGCCCTACAGACGGATCGAGAGGCCGAGCTGGCGTCTCTGCTCACCGGCAAAAGCCTTCAATCTCCCTAATGCTGCGGGGCTGGGAGACAGGCACGGAGGGCTTTAACGTGATATTAAATGTTAATTTCATCCTTCCGCGCGGTTTGCACAAATGAGGCTTTATCTCGGCTTACATCACGACCAGAGCTCTGACCCAGCAGCGTGGGGCTTAGCGATCCATTTTTCTCCTTTGAAAACCGGATAGGGGAGAGATGACCTGTCAGTAGAAATACCTGAAGAGATGGAAATTAGAGGTGAAGGACGGGCTGGCGATATTCGACCTGAGCAGTGCCTGTTTAAAAGGACAAAGAAAAATGAGAAAGCACCACTTGGCAGGGCGTTTACAAAAGAGTCGGGCATTAATCTGACATTCAGACCCTTTATAGGGTAAGTTCCGCTGGGACCCCAGCATGAGGTGTGGGCTCGGCAGTTCGCGTGAGTGCGGAGCGGAGTAGAGGGCTGGCGGCTTCTGTGGTGGAGCCTCGTGGGACCTGGCTACTGAGGCTTCCTCTGTGGGAGGGCCACAGTTCTGGGTGGTTACCTGCTGGCTTCCTGTCTGTTTTGTTCATCTTTACACGAGGATACTTTAGGGGGGGAGAGAGAGATGTGAGAAAGACATATCTATTGGTTGCCTCTTGAATGAACCTCAACCTGAGGCCAGGGATCAAACTTGTAACCCAGATACGTGCCCTTGATCAGGAATTGAACCTGAGACCAACACTAACCACTGAGCAACTGTTTTGAGAAAAATGCCTGACTGGTGTACCAGTACGGCAGGTCCTCAGATAGCATCGTTCTGTTAAAATGTTGATGAGATGCTGCAGGAACTCCATCTTGTTTAAGTCAGTAAGGCTGTGGTGAAGCCACTTTTGTTATATTTCGTTTTGCTTAAAGCCGCAGAGCCTGTCCACGACGTTAAAGGAGGACTTACTGTCTACGAGCCCCATGGCATCCTTTCTTTTCTTCTTCTTAGGAGTTGGAATTTTTTTTTAAATCATTTAACAAATCTGCATTGAGCTGGGCACTGTTCTAGGTGCTTGGGATACACCAGATCAAACCAGACAAAATCCTTACCTCTCTGGCATTCCAGCAGGAGGGCGATACGTTAAGTAAATTACACACAATCGGCCTACGAGAAGGCGATCTGAACTGTGTGGAGCATGGAGCAGAGGAGGGCTGTGGAGGGGTGGCAGGCAGAGCGCATTGTAAGTGGGGTCAGAGTGAGCGTTGTTAAGGTGACGGCAAGAACTCCGAGGTCAGGCCCCTGGTGGGATTCCAGCCCGTGGGACTCAGGAAGGCCGCCAGCGTGGGGGGCTGGGGCAGAGGCAGATCACAGCAAGGGTCTGGGGCACCTGCCTCCAATGGGGCTGTCAGAGGGCTCGGGGCAGCTGTGTGTGTGGCCTGATGGGGGCTTCAAAAGAATGGATTGGGGGCAAGGGGGCAGTGGGGGATGGGCCACAGGCTGAGCACGGCATCAGGAAATAGCTGGTAAACATGGGCCGGTCAGCCGGGTCACCTAGTGCCTGTCGTGTATTAAGCTGAGAGCAGGCCAACTGCACAGGGTGAAGGTGAAGTCCCAGTGTTCGCCCCATAACCGCTGGTACCCAATCAGCACGCTTCCTTCCAGCCGGGCCTGGTAATAGCCTGAATACAACCCGGGCATTTCCCTGACTGAATCCAACAGCTCCTAAGGGGTTTCCGAAGGGCCTACCTTAGAGCTCCGCAGAGTCGGGCTGTGTGCAGCGCCTCAGGCACTCAGCTTGCGGCGCTGCACATGCCGAGGCTCTGCTGCGGGTGGTAGGGTAACGCACGCTGCGGTGAAAGGTCAGCCAGGCCACAGGTACGGGCGGCGTTCTGGCGTGAACGTCACAGGAACTGAGCCTTAGGGAATGTGGTTCTGTGTCTTCCATCACTACCACTGACCTTGTTACACCAAGAAGCAGAGGCACTTGTCTTCCTGGGGGGGGGGGGGGGGGGCACTCGGAAGTAGCTGTATCTTCGTTCTCACTGGCTAATTGGTTTCCACACCAGATTCCTGTGGCCAGTCAGTCACCCCTTCAGGCCTCCGGCTCTGCTCCCCCTGTCTCTGCTGTCACTGAGGCCTAGGCTCAGAGGGTTGGGGGGTCTGCAGGTAATCGCGCTGCAGACATGTTGAATTTACAACTTGGGCCAGCTACCACACCCCCTAAGTGATGCTCTTTTGCATTTCAGTCTTTGCATATGCAAAACCCCACTCCTGACTCGCCTCCCTTTATGCCTTTTCAGAACCCACCTCATGAATAATTAACAAAGCAGCTGGGTTTTGCCTTTGTGGCAGAAAACTAGTTGGAAACTGGGCCAAGTACGCATTTGTTTTCCTTTCGAATTTTCTGACCCAGTCCCTGTTCATAACCAGCGTTAATTGTTGTCAGTTTCCAGAAGCATAACCCCCTTTCCCCTCATTTCTTGCATCTTTTTAACTAGAGATTCAAGTGGCAAAAATAGTGGTAACGAAAGTTTGAGCTCCAGACCCTTTCCCTGCAAATTCTCACTTCTGCAGTTTGCTCCCCTTCCCCAACTCCCACCCCCACCTTCGGGCCTCCCCCAAGAGCAGGGGTGCTGTGCGCAGGAGTTGTGTTTGGCTTGGGAGGGAGCTCTCAGAGTCAGGACAGCCGAGGCCCTGGTGGTCAGAGGCGGCCGGGCCGGGCCTTTGTCGCTCAGAGGAGGACACCGAGCTGCTGTGTCCCCCTCCCCGCCCCTTCCTCTGGGTGGTGGCCTCAGTGATGTCAGGGCGGGAGGTGTGGGTGCCGGACTCTGGACAGACAGGTGCTCGTCTGGGGCCAGACTGCACTTGGCTCCCTGCTGCCTCCTTGACCCTAAGCGTCTATAAGGCCATCTTTCCTGATCAGATGCCAGGAATAAGTGCCATTCTCTGAGAAAGGGCAAGATGTCCACGCAGCGTACTTCAATCTAGATTTCCCTTCATCAGCCATGTGGCTCTGATCCGGGACTCCTGACTGGAGTGCCCCAGCCTGGCCACAGCTTCCTCCCTCGTCCCGAGTAAACATCCGCTTTCATGCCTTCTCTGCTCACCCTTGTCCTGCCACACAGCCCGCTCACTCTGCGGTCTGGACAGGGCCCCTCGGAGGGTCCTGCCCGAAGCTGCCTGCCCCTGAGCTGCCTGCTTCTCTGAATCATCCAAACACGAGCACCCAAGCTAGGGTGTGAGGACACCAGCCGTCCCCTCCCCGGTGAGACGGGGGCCTTGGGGACAGGGAGGTTCAGAAAGAATGCTGCCTGGCCAGAAAGCTCTCCCGCCACCTCTGGGCAAACTCAGTTCCCATGTAAGGCTGTGGCCCCACGCCCCCTGGGGCACAGGCTCTTGGGGTTGGTGTGGGGCGAGGAGGAATGGGAAGCAGGCAGAGGGGGCTGGTCTGCCCCAGCGGAGGACAGGACTGAAGGAGAGGCTGAGCTGGCGTTGGTTATAGACTTGAACAGCGCGCTTCATTGGCTTGGCTTCCGTCTGGTTTCTTAGACAGTAAGCGGTGGGGCTGGGGAAGGGGGAGAAGAGGCCTGGGCTCCTGGGCCGGTGGCATGTGCTCTCTCTCTGAGGGCGGGCTCTGTGCTCTGCCCGGGGCCTGCCATCAGCCTCCAAGCAGCAGGAGCCATCGGGAGCGTTAGAGTGTTCTTTGAGAAAAGCAGCAGTCCCCAGATATGAAAAAGGGGAGTAAGCACAGACTTAGAGAGGGTGCAGAGGAGTTGCCTTGGTTATTATTTCTCATCGATTGGGAAAAGGAGTTCACTTTGCTCAGTAAATAGAGCTTTGATGGATTCCCAGGACCTTCCCGGAGCTGATCTGCTAAAATGACACTTTTTATTACTGTTCATAAACGCCAGTCTCCGGGTGCTGCTGGGATATTACGGTTAAGCTGCGGGCAAACTTGCCAGTCCAATGGCTCGGCAAGCCAGCAAGGGAGGCTGCTGTTCAGTGCCCGCCTCCCCAGGCATGCCCGCTGGGCTCTGGTGGCAGGAGACTGGCTGGGAGGTACAGTGAGCAGCAATGGCCCGGACGCTTTGAAAGCAGCCCCGCCTGCCCTGCCCTGCTATGCCCATGAGAACGGCAGACACTCCGTTGTCGCTGTTCCTGCAGACACTCAAGGGGAAGTCTTTCCCCAAAGGGGTGTGAGTGGACGTGGCCAGAGCGGCATTCTCCTGGGACTGAGTCACCAGCGGGGCTGGGTCGGGACCACTGCCTGCTCTGTAAGACTGGAACGTGCATGATAAGGTGTCGGATGATGGCCGCTAAGCTGTTAGCAGTCCCCGGGCTGAGCTGTTTGTAGCTTGTTTTAGAAATGTAATCCTTTTCTTCTCCTTTAAAACTTGTGCTTCACACCCTGGCAGGGTGGCTCAGTTGGTTGGAGTGCCATCTGTATAGCAAAAGGTGGCGGTTCGATTCCCAGCCAGGGCACATGTCCAGGGTGCGGGCTCAATCCTCAATTGGGGTGCATGCAGAAGGTGGCCAATCGATGTTTCTTTCTCACTTCAGTGTTTATCTCCCCTTCCTCTTTCTAAAAAAGAAAACCAATAAAAATTGTTTCATTTCCTTTTGGGCATTCTTTGAATGCGCAGTGTCAGTCAGTCCTGGATACTTGAGAATGAATTTGGTTTTAAACTCCCGTGAGTGCTGGATGAAGTGGTACCAGTGACTCCTCTGGATTGGGGAGCTGGAGGCGGGGCTTGTGGTGGAGGCAGCACTTAACCAAAATTTACACACTCTGTGTGCCAGGTGCTGTGCTGGGCCGGGCCTAATGAGGAGGCGGGTCCTGCCCTCTGGAATTACTACGTGCTCAGTCAAGTCTGAAGTGATGTTGGGTTTATCCAAGTGATAATCGGAGCCTGTAGGTGGTAGTTGGGGGTTTTGTTTGTTCCTGAGGGATTGAACAGCACGCAAGTTTAGGTTGAGGTTGCGGTGTATATTGTACTGCTGACTGGCCTGGAGAGGGGCCCACCCAGGACAGCCTCTGGCTGGGGTGCGTGCAGCTCGGGACCCTCCTGACAGCCTCCCTCCCCTCCTTTTCTCGCAGCCCTGCAGTCCTTCATCCGGGCCTACGCCACCTACCCCCGCTCGCTGAAGCACATCTTCCACATCCGATTGCTCCACCTGGGCCATTTGGCTAAGAGCTTCGGGCTGAGAGACGCCCCCCAGAACCTTGATGGCCCACCTGAGAAGAAGAAAGTGAATATGAAAAGGTAAGATGTGCAGATTTGCCCCAAGTCTGACGGGTATGGCGAGCCGCAGCAGGCCTTCTGTGTAACCTGCACTCTGATTTCCATGGTAAGTGACCACCAGTATCTGTCCTTCTCTCAATATAAGTGCTTGGAGCGAGAGGTTTCAATACCTAATTGTGACATTTTTAAGGCCCTGGCAGAAGTTTAGTGGCGTCTTCAGTCGGGTCCTGATTGGCGGGAGCAGCAAGACAAATGTGTTGCTATCCTCGCTGCCTGTGTGGAGTGCCTGGGGGCTTCCCACTGTGGGAGCTCCTCCCAGGACAGCCTCGGGGGCTGGTACGCAGACTCCTGGTGGTTCCCTGAGGCTGAGCCTGGTGGCACACCTGGCCTGTGGGCGAGGCAGGCAGCTCTCCCCCTCGCAGGGCCCGGCCAGCAGCCGCAGTGCTGAGCGCTCCGAGGTGAGCACGGGGACGCCCTCCCTCAGAAGCTCGTTCAGGACCCTCCTGGTCCGGGGAGAGGAGAGTCGGTGAGGAGCATTGCCCTGTAGGGGCTTCGGGCTCTGAGCCCATCTTCACACATCAGGAGGCCCCTCAGCAAAGCCCATTGGTAACTTCCTTCCCCAGACAGCGTTCCTCCAGCTGGCCCAGCCCAGGCAGAACCACGGGGTGGGATGCCGTGGCCGAGGCGAGCACAGGGTTGGGTGGTGGCGTTCTTGCTCCCGCAGCCTGTGGGTGGGACACAGGGCACAGATGTGTGGGCACAAGAACCTTTGAGTGCTCGGGACAGGCAGTTTGCATTGTGTAGCCTTATTTTTGCACATTAACCGCAAATGCCCAGACCCACGTGCCCTCTGTCTAGCGGCAAGCCTGCAAGCAGCGCGCTCCGGGACAGTGCCACCGCGAGGGCCGGTGGCATTAGCCTTGTCAGGGCCGTTTCTCTGGCGTGAAATGGCAGGGAAGGGCCATGGCGTGGGGCGTGACGTTGGTCTTTGAGTCACGGGGTGTGGGCCACAGGTCCAGCCCCGTCTGGTGTGTGCTTGTGAGCTCTGGGCCCTATTTTGCCTCCATTTCCTCAGTGACAGGGGAAAAGGAAATCTCTATCTCTAGCTACTTTACAAGATTGTCTTGAGACCCAGAATGAGGAATTACGTGTGCATTTCCTTTTGGACCATAAAGGGCCAGACACAGGCCATAAAGGGCCAGAGCTGGAAGCCAAAGGGTTAAGACTCTGGAACCTCTGGTTGATCTGAGCAGGCGCTTGGCATCCACAAGGCTCTGAATAACGGGTAAGGTTCTGCCTACTTCAGCTCCAGCGTTGGTGTTGGTAAGAAGCTGTTGCTTCCTTCATTACCAGCTCCCACTCGTGCAGGACAGTGTCTGAGGCGGGCGCTCCTCCCCGCGCTGCAGCTCTGGGCACCCGCATGCCAGCTGTGCGGGCCGGGCTCGGGGCACCAGAGGCTGCCCGCCTTTGGGTTCGGGTAGCGTGTATCTGGGCATGTTAGTTCCGGTTACAAGCATGTGACAAAGCCCGAGGCCTGCCCTGCGGGAGTGGCCTGGCCATCGGACAGCATCAGAAGGTGGGGGGACCTGCCAGGTGAGACTGGTCAGAAGCACATTCTGGGAATGGCTCCCCCTGCACCTCAGTGGAGCCCAGGACCCCATTGTCACAGGTGCAGCCGCCTCTGGAGTGTCCTTGGCAAGTGTTACCCAGGCAGCCGCTCTTCAGATTGGCATGTCCTCGGCTCCCACCCAGGTCCTGGGGGGCAGGGCGGAGGCCGGAGGCCGTGGGAGGGGCTTGGAGCCAGCATTGTCCTTGAGAGGCCACTGGGGAGAGCGGGCTGCCTGCTCTGCCGACCCTCCTGGCAGATGGCACCGGGCGGCGGTGCCCTGCGCGGATTTCACAGGCTTTCTTCAGGGAAGAATGGGGTGATTAGCCGGCACAGAGCGTGTACGATGGCACGGGCAGCCTTTGATGTCTGGCTGGCGCGGCAGGGAGCGCGGTGAGCGACAGCAGTGTGTCACGGGATTACGGCGCCGTGACAGTGCGGCGCTCTGTTCTTGCCATGTCACCACCGGCACAGCGGCTTCCCGTGGTCGTGCCCTTCTCTGGAAGGCATTTCTCTCCGCTCCTTACATCCGCCCACCCTGCCCCGCCTGCCAGTGCAGAAGGCGCTCGGACACGGCGGGTCCCTTCTTTCCTGGGAGCTCCTGTCACTCCCGGGGAGGGACCGCTCTGCGCGATCTGCCTGGGCCGGATAATTGCGGACGATGAGCAGTGCAGCAACCTGACAGGCGTTCCGCACTCTGTCGGGGACAAGCAAGTGTCCTGCTCTCTCTGAGGACGGAACCTACACAGTGCCGGGAACGGCTGTGGCATGGCTTCTGAGCTGCGGCTCTCCGTGGACCCGTCTGTCCCAGAGAGCGGTCCTCTGTTCTGTGTGGGCGGCGAGGTGTTCTCCACTGTCCTCGGTCCGCTCCCTGTGCGACTGCCCAGCGTGAGTGCGTGTCCTCCAGACCTCTCTGCCAGCGGGCCTCTCCTGCTCCCCAGCCCAGTCTCTGCAGCAGGGCAGGGGGTTCGAGGGGGTTATGGGGCATTTCCATGCAGTGACAGGGCAGTCTTACCTCGTCTCTGTGCTTGCCTTGACCACTTCTCAGGAAGAGAAAATCGGGTTCACATCCCCAAATGAAGTCTAAATCACCAGGTGTCTGCTTTCCCGCCTCAGTCCTGAGGGGGAGCACAGAACCTCTTCTGACACCTACACACCCACCAAACAGCCCCGCCCGGCAAACCTACACACACGGGGGCTGGCGCTGTGCTGACACACTGACTGGGCGCCTCCCCCCACACACACCCGCAATATGCGGTGCAGACACAGCCTTTCCCTCCAGGAGGCAGTTGGGGGTTTGAAGCCGTGTGGGTTCAGCAGAGCCTGAGAAGCAGAGCTACGTTCCTTCCAGAGCTGGTGTCTGCCCAGGAGACACTGAGAGCCAGCTCTGTCTCCCTGAGGGGCAGGGCGTCCCTGTGTAACCCGTCACACACGAGCAGAACGTGTTCAGGCTCAGGGAGCCGGCCCAGGTCCTCATCTGTCCGACGCTCCGGAAGACGGCTCAGGAGGAGAGAGAAGCGGTGGGCCCTGAGGCCGGGTGTGGTGACGACCTGCCAGGCGTCTGCTGCCCCCCCCCCCCCCCCCCCCCGATCTTGCGCGAGCTGGTGCGATAATGACAGATACGAGAGCGCCATTTCTCCCAGGTGGCTGAGTCGTAGCCACTAGGTGGCCTTCCCCTCTAGTGCCTTGCCTTCTACGCAGTCCCGGAGCCGCGTTCTCCACCCACCCCTTGGGCCTCCTTGAATCACGCTCTTCCCAGCCGTCTTCATGGCTCTCGGTGTCTCCTGCACTTCCAGAACAGTAGTCACTGGCCACTTGGTTGTAGACAAGAACACGCCTGGCCTCCAGGGGCAGCATGGGAGATCGTGCTGATCATGTCTTTGGGACGTTTGTGCTCAGGAGCGGCGTCCAGACGGGACAGGGACAGGAGTGCTGTGGAGGTGGCGAGCGCCCAGCACAGCGTGGTCTGGGGCTGCATCGTCCTTGCTGATGCTGCGTGCACAGGCCGGTCCGCGCAGTGGCCGTGGGGCGCAGGCTGCAGTGGGCCTCGCTCCTTCCCCTCGACGCCAGTGCACCCGCTTTCCTTCCCTCCGCGCCAGGGATGGCTAGTGGCCCCGCCGCTGGCTCTGGTGTCACTACACTGAGCCCGAGCTGTTCATGTGGCCTTCTGTTCCACCGCCTTCTCTCTGACCCTGCAACTGCCTGCTCTCCGCCGCCTGGAACAAGCACCCCTGCTTCCCCATCGGCTAACGAGGCGATTAGCAGCTTTCAGGGTGCCCGGAGCCGCCTCACACCTGGGTCACTGCAGACAGCGGGAGCCCCGGAGCCCCAGCCTGGAGGTGGGCCAGCCCGGACAGGCCAGTGTGCGTCAGGACAGCGCCCCGCGCTCCGGTGGCTGGTCCTTGCCGAGACCCTCCAGTTCATGCCGCCTCAGAAACCAGGAGAAGCATGGCGGTCCCGCTGCCCTTCACCTTAGTCGTCCTAACCCTCCCTCAGAGCCGCTGTCTGTCTCCTCACCTCCCCACACCTCACCTCCTTTTTGAGGGGCCGTTCCGCCTCTCCCCGTGGAGTGATGCCAGAGGCTGTGACCAAACCCACGACCTGGGCACGTGCCCCGACCAGGAATGTACTGTGTCCAACCACGGAGGCACTCTGGCCCTGCTCTGATTCTACCTAAACTAGGCTGAGTTTGACCCTAAAGCATAAAGGAAACACTGGTGGGCCTGAAAATACAGATAAAATTAAAAATCCGCCCTGCCCCAGAGCCGCGTCCTCCTTTCCCTCCTCTCGCTGCTCTCCCGCTCACCTGCAGGCGCTCTGTCCTCCTTCTCTCGCTGGAGGGGCATCTGCCCGCCCTGCAGGGTGATCCAGCCCTGAGGGAGTGAGGGGGTTGCTCAGCCTCCACTGCAAGGGCTTCCCTGTGGTCAGATAAGCTGATGTGTTGCCTGGTAACACCAGGCGGGTGGATGCTCAGGAAGCCCATTGGAGGGGGGGTTGGTATTTGGGGGGCGAGGAGGGCAAGGAAGATGGCAGGTTCCGGGAGAAGGACAGCTTGCCAGGAGGAGGGCCGCGTGCGCCCACCCTGTGCCTGGGCTTAGCGTGTTTCATCTCCCATCTGCTCCTGGCTCTCCCGGCTCAGCCTCAGAATGAGGGAGGGACAGGGAGCCTCCGGGGCGGGTGGGAGAGTGGGTCCCGCTGGGGTGGCCCTGCAGGTGGCCTTGGGGTTTGGGTCCCACCTTCCAAGTACTGTTGACCTTGAACAAGTCAGGTCTGAGCTGCGGGCACTTTGGTGTGGCCCCCTGTGTAAGTCAGGCCCGTACTGTCCGGGGCACAACTGTGTTCCATGGCCGCTGGGAGCTGGCTGTGCCCAGGGTCAGCGCCCTGCCCACTTCTTCAAGGCCAGCTATCCGGGGACTGGGGAAGGTCATAATGGCTAGAAAGGCCTGAGGTCATACCCTCAGAGCGAGCAGGGCCATCTCCACTGCTCCTCCCAGCGGGCCTGAGGTCCCCATGGCCGTCCCCCTCGCCCCCAGTGGTGTTGGCGAACAGGCCCAGTGGAGGGTGTGGGTGGGGGTGTGACTGTGGCCTTGGCACTGTCTGCTGGGCCGCCAGCTCCATCGGCGCCAGTGCACCCGCCCGGGTAGAGTCGTTCTTGCCGTGGCTTCACGGTGACAGGAGCAGCCGCTGAGGTGGTGGGGGAGCGTGTGCTGGGAGGCTATTTTGACTGAAACTTTGCATATTTTGAAACTCTGGTTGTTACATTTAAAATTATACACATTGTGAGCGCCTGGTTCAAACGAGGGGGAAGAGAAAGCATGCCTTCCTGTCACACCCTTCACTGTCTGTCATGTCACCGACTAAAAATACCTGCGCACCGAGTGGCAGCCTTCATTTCAGGGGGTTCGGTGCTCAGCAGGCGGCCTGTCTCCTGCACCACCAAACCCACACCAGCCCCGGAGGTGGGGCGTCCACCCGGGGTGGTCAGTCCCCTTGGGACGGGGCAGGTCCGGGGCTCACAGTCCTGGCACAGCAGGGACTGGAACAAATCGCACGGGGCTCAGCCTGGCTCCTGTGGCTGCACATCTCTGAGCCTCCACCTCTTCATCGCAGCCCGCATGCTGCCAGCAGGCGGCACCTGTGTCCTGGTTCACTTGAGCCTGCGAAGCCCTCAGAGCTGCATCGTGAGCAGCACCCGTTTTCCTGTGGGGGCGCCACAGAGCCAGGCCCTATCCCCACCTGCCCCATCGTCCACTGAGATGTTTCTGTGCGACCACATCATGGTCCTTTGTCCCTGTGATCGAGCTGGCCCTCCTGGCACACCGGGTGGTCCGTCCTGGACCAGCAGCCTGGAGTCCCCCTGGCCGTCTGCATCTTGGCTTCTGCAAAGGTAGGCTTGGGCGAGTCACCCGCTCCTCAGGTCTCAGTTTGTCTGTAAAGTAGGAGGACCGCCTCCCCCGCCTCATCGAGCAAAGGTGGTATGAGGCAACAGAACCCAGAAAGCGCTTCCCTGGCTGCCTCTGACCCCGGCCCTGCAGCACGGGCCCCCTCCCCCCGGCTCAGTGCCTCGCTCTCCCGGCTCAGCTGCCTTTGCTTGTTTCCCGAGAGGATGCCGGTGTGTGGCCGTCACAGGCGGCAGCCGGAACCCTGCATCGTGTGGTTGTGGCTGGGCGTGCCTGTTACACCTGGTGCTCTTCCGTCTGATCAGTCCTGGTTTAATTGGGGGTTTTACAGGAGTCCTGTCACATTTAGTCTGGCTTACCCTCCAATTATTACAGCCAAAAAAATGTTGCAAAGATAAGTAGTGGAAGGCAACATCTACCTCTTGGAAGCACCCCAAGAAACGGTGTTCCCCAGAGACACTGCCACTTCGGTGGTGTGGGCTCAGAGGTAACAGTGCTGGCGCTGGTGCTGTTTTGGTTTAAGTCCCAAATCAGGAAACATTCTTTTATTCTCCAATTTGCATCATTATTTTCCCCGTGTGCCGTTGGACTTCCGCACATCCCCCCTGATCCCTGGGGCAGGCCTTTGAAAGCAGCCCTGGCGCGCTGCTCACTGGGGCTCCCTTTGTGGGCATCTCAGGTGGGTGTTCTACACACTGAGCGCAGGACCTCCATCGGCAGAGATGCCAGCCTGACCTAGGGCTGAACCCAACCGTCCCGGGGCCTGGCTGCCTGAGCTGAGACTCAGCATCTGAAATGGATGCTCAGCCGTTGGCCTTGCCCACGTGGGGCGGGGCGGGGAGAGACCCCCTGGGTGCCGAGCGCATGGGGTGGGGTTTGTCAGCTCAGAGTAATGGCAAGGGTCCCTTCAGCCGCTGAGAGATGTCTGTGTGGTGCCCGCCCTGGCTGCGGCCCCTGCTGGGCAGTCAGCTCAGCCCTGGAGGGGGGGCTTCAGGTGGGTTTCTCCGTCCTCTGGCGAGCTGCCGTGGCGGCCGCCGTGGCGGCCGCCTTGTTTGCCATCAGAGTGAGTGTGTAGCGTTCTTTTTTCCCCGGAAAACAACACAGAACAAAGGCTCCCTTTCAAAGACGCCTCTACTCTGCCACCTTTGTGAGAATCTGCCATTGCCGTGTCTAATCTGTGGCGCTCACACTATCAAAACAAGCGTGGGAGGACCACTGCGCATACAGCGTGCGGCCCCGTCTAACCAGCCGCCGCAGCCTCTCTGGCGGCAGCAGGAATAATCAGCTTCTCTCTCTGCGTCCTGTTCTCTAGGCCGGACCTGGGGAGGAAGGCCCAGCAGCAGCGCCTGGCCGAGGCCTTGCTCTCGGAGTACGCCAGTGGGCTGGAGGCTGGCGGTGCCAAGGCGAGAAAGCAGAGCAGACAGGCCGAGCCAGACGGCGAGCCGGACGAGCCAAGCAGCGCCGACAGCTCCAGCGACGACTGAGGCCCTCGCCAGCCCGGGCCATGGAGGAAAAGAAAAAGTGCCCCCATGACACAGAAATAAACCCAGAAAGTGTTCTCAAACTCCTGCCATGGCCCGGCCCCGTCCTGTCCTCTCTGACCTCCCAGTGCGCCTTCCTTCCCCTGACAGCCCACAGCCTTCCCTGGGGTAGTGGGGCCCCGGCCACACAGTGTAGCTTAGCAGTTAGCCCGTATCTATCTGTAGACCATAGGCTGCTTACCTCTCCCTGCCCCACACCCTCACCAGAGCCCTGTGGCCACCCGCTGTGAGGCCCGGTGCTGCGGCAGCCGGCCGGCTGCCACCTGCCTCACACGCTGACCTGAAGAAGTTCCACGTGTACCCGTATTGGCATGCCTTTTGTAAACCGTTTTCAGATCTGGATTTAAATTTGTAAACGAATAAAAAATATTTATCCAACCATTTGGTCGATGTCCAAATGCTTTGTGGGGACCCGAGGGGCTTGGTGGGTCAGCAGATCCTGTCCGCAGCCGCCCTGGCTCCGTGCTGGGGTCACACATTGCTCGCCCTTCACGTCCACGGAAGACTCTCGGGGTGACTGACTGACCATTGCCCTTCTGTTTGCCTTTGAAGTCAAAAGATGCCAAGGCCCTGCGCTCCCGCCTTTGAATTCATCTTGTCTGGTCTGTGTTGTGGCCTCAGGTGCCCCTCTCCCATGGTGTCTGCTGGGAAGTTTGAAGGAGGACCCCTGCAGTGTATTGATTTCTCAATAAATGTAAGATTTGGACACGTGACTCCAGGGGGTCAGAGGAGGATGAGGGAGAGGTAAAGCCACCCACCTCTGTCTGCTTTGTCCCTTCTCCCACTGTCCAAACCACACACACACACACACACACACACACACCCGTTCCTGGGATGCTGCGGGGGCCCCACTGCAGCAGGCCCTCCAGACTGGCCAGGCGGCACCTCAGAGGGCCGGAGCTGCCGGCCCTGTGGTAATCCTTATGCCCACAGCACACGCCAGGGCGTGGCAGAGCCGAGCTTTTATTTTGATGCCTGAAGGTTCACATGATTTGGATGAGAAAAGGAGGGATCAAACTCTAGCAGAAGCAGCTGTGTGAGAAACAGGATTAGCGCCGCAATGGGGGCCGCAAAGGAACCCGGCTCTTCGTTCCCACGAAGGGGGAATCCAGAGAGCTCGCGCTCCTGGGGAGGAAGTGCCAGAAGCGTGCAAAGTGTGAGCGACTGAATTCCCAGATCAGAACTTCCCTCCGCTTGCTAACACTTCGGTGAGGGTTTCTCATCAATACAGAAACGCGGGCTTAGCAGCCTGAGGGTTAATATTTCCCAAATGTGAGGAACCTCAGAGGAAATCTTCTTATTGCAGCTCCTGGCAGATCAGACGGTTCAGGCATCAATTAGGCAGAGCTTTGGCCTAATTCCACGGCACACATTCCGTGTGGTGTGCCTCCTCCGTCCCTCCGTCCTGCCTTTTCTTTCCTCTCATTTCCCAAACTTCCCGCTCCTCCTGTTTCGGGGCAGGGAGGATGTGGGTGTCTCCTGGTGGTGCAGCCCTGGGGCCCGGGGGATGTGGTTTTAACGCCACCCTCAGGTCTGCGACCCCGCCGGTCTCACCCCACGGGGCCGTTCCTCGCTCTGAAGGGCCTGAGCCCTGGAGGAACCGAGTCTGTCCGTCCGGCTGACGCAATTGGAGCGGCATCTTAGAGCCAAGCAAACGCGAGAAGGGCCGTTGGACAAAGGCCGTGCATTCCTTCAGATTTCCTTCTCGCTGTGGTGGAGGGGGCGAGATCGGGGGCGAGGGGAGTCCACGAGGACTCTAAGGCAGCCCGTTCCGGACTGCCGGAGGCCTTGCTGCAGCGCTTCAGTCCCCGGACGGAGGCTTTTCCACGGGAGCCGGCGCCCGCAGGAAAGGCCGCGTCACTCATCTCCATGGACATCACCTTGTCTGCCGTTTGTCCCACGTAGGACACTCCAGAGTGGGGGCCGAGGGGCGCCCTTCAGATCAGCTCAACTATTCCCCGCAGCCTCACTCACACCAAGGCTCCCACCCCTGCTGCCCCTCCTGGCTGGGAGTCTAGGCTTATGCGGGGGTGGGGGGGAGGGTCATGGGAGGGGGCAGAGGGAAGGCTTCGGGGCCTCTTCCTGTCCCGCCTGCTGGGAGGAGTGGGACGATCACACCTTTTTCTCTTTTAAATGCGGGTTCGCCCAGCCCCGGGGCCGGAACTGCCGGCTCCACCTGAGGCCGAGATGGTTGCCGGGGGATGCGCAGGGCCATTTAAAACACCGTGATGGGAACTTGTCGGGAGGCTTGTTCTTCATTAGTGCGAGGCAGGCGCCCCCGCGGAACAAGGACAATTACACGGCGCGGGGTCCGGGCGCGGGCCGGGAGTCGGAGGCCGCCGCCCCCACTCGCGCACAAGGAGGAGCACACGGTGCGCGCCGTCCTCTGATAGATTTTTAATATGATTTTAGAGAGTTTTGTTTGGTCTCATTCTTATTCAATGAGATTAATCTGGAGCACTTATCCCCTGGGCCTCAGTCTGCCCGCGCGCCCCGGCGGGGTTGTCGCGGGGTTTGTTTGCACGGGGCTCTGAGAGACTCCTTTCCCACTTCATTAACCGGCCCGCGGTCCCCGTCCCCGCGCCGCCACCCCAGCCGGGGATTTGCCGCCCCCATTCACATGCAAACCACCCCGAAGCCGGCCCCTCGACTTAATTAGCTGCTGTGCACTTTGCAGAGTGAGAATAATACCCTCTCCATCCCGAACGGGAGCCGGGTGTGCGGGGAGTTGTGGGGGGGACGGGTTAGGGAGTCATCGTAGTGGGCCGGGGCGGGTGTGGTGTAAGCTGCCCCCCCTCCACCTCCAGGCAGCCCTCCGGACACCACCGTGCCACCAAAGGAAGGGGCTCAGGTCATCGAGCCCCCAAACCTCCCGCCCTGGCTGTGTCTCCGGTCTCGGGCGTGTGAGCTGCAGGTGGTGGGGGGCGGGGGAGCACCTGCCCCGCCTCCCCACCTCCCGGAGCGGGAAAGACCTCAGGAGGTGACCTTGCCCTCTGGCCCTGAGCTGGAGGCCTGGAGTGAGGCTGAGATGTAAGCCCTTTCCCCCCCCCCCCCCCCGGATCCCCTCTGCGGCTCATCCCCCACTTACTCTTACTCCGGGCGCAGAGGGAGGGAGGCAGTGCGGAAGTGGGGGTACCCGCTGGGCGTCAGGTTCCCAGCGAAAGCTCTTGGGGTCCCACCCTCCGGGGACCGGAGCCGCCCGGGCGTGGGGCGGAGGGCGGGGGCGGGGGGGACCCGCCTCGGAGCCCATCTGTCAGGCCCGCGCCCGGCGGGCCGGTCACCAGCTGCCGGCGCCCGTGTCGCGGCCAGATGAGCCGGCTCAGCGAGGGCACCGGGGCCCAGCCCGGCCGCAGCGCCGGCCGCTGACCCACCGGCCCCCGGGACAGGCTGGGGCGGCGGGCCAGATGGAGGGGAGGCGGAGGCGGGGGTGGGGGTGAGCTCTCGCCCGGAAGAGAGGGAGACCGAGGCCAGGAAACCCGCCCGGGCAGCACCGGGAAGCGGGGGGTGAGGGTGGAGGGAGCGGGGTCTCGGGAGGGGACGCTCAGAGGGGCCACGGGGTGAAGAAGCTGCGCGCACAGGCGCCGTCCTTTGTACGAAGTTTATTTCACATTTAAAAAAGCGAGAGCCGAGCGCCGGTGGGGCTGGGTCAGGACTGGGCAGGCCCCGGCCCCTTCCTGCCCCGCCTGCAGGGGGCAGCTCGGGGCACAGGGCACGGACTCACGGACACGGTCACGGCTCAGGTCACGAATAAATAACCTCATATACACTTTGCACACCGTATGTACAGGCGGCCGCCCCTCCACGGCCGCGTGCGGGTGGGCTGGGTGCTGGCGGGAGCGCAGGGGGCAGAGCACCTCTGGGGGCGCCCCGGCCGCCTCTGGGAGGGACAACGGGGTGACCCTGGCGCTGCAGGGGTGCCGTGTATGTACATCGGCGGGTGGCAGTGCTCCCGTGGGCTGGCCGAGAGCGAGGGCCCCGGGAGGCTGGGGTCCGGGGTCCGGGTCCGGCTGCAGGAGACTTGGCACCTGGCCCTCGGGGACGCGCGGCCGGAGAGCCAGGGGGCCGGGCGCTCACCGGGGCTGCGCGGCGCGGGGCAGCACGCCGGCCAGCGGGGGCAGCGGCGGGGGCTCGGCGCCCTGCAGGCCGTGCAGCAGCAGGCGGGGCACCAGGGGCCGCTGCAGGGCGGGCGGCGGCGCGCTCGGGCCTCGGTACAGGTACAGCGCGGCGCCCGGGTCCAGGTTGGAGACCAGGCTCTGCGGGTAGAAGTACGGCGACGGGAACATCCGCTGCAGCGCCGAGTAGTTGCCCGCCTCCGCCAGCAGCTCCAGCCCCACGGCCGTCTGCCGCTTCCACTTGGTCCTGGGGGCCGAAATCAACGCCGGTGGTCAGGGCCGAGGCCAGACAGCTCCGCGGCCCCGACACCCCGCGGCCCAGCCCCCCGCCCCTGGGTGCGGGGCCCATGGTCCTGCGGGAGGCCCTGGGGACCACCAAGGCGCCAGAAAGGGAGCGCCGGGCTCCGCTTGCCCGGGTTACACGAATCAGCTCCTTCCAACGGCCCGGCCTCTCACGGCCACTCATCCCCGTTCGCAGAGAAACAAACGGAGGTGCAGGCATTTCCCCAGATGGCCCACCCGGCAGAGCCCCGCTCCGGCCTCTAACCTCTCATCTGCTCCAGGGAGGCACAGCTGTCCCTCCCAACTTCCCGTGCACCCGCTCCCCACACCCCCAGGCAAGATGGCCGGAAAGAGGACAGGGAACCTGGGTTTGCTACCACCTGTGGGCGAGGCTGCACCCCGAGGAGCCCAGGCAGCCGCTTCTGCAGAAGGCGCCCCCGCCCCGCCCCGCCCCGCACACCCTCTCCGGCACCCAGGTCCGGGGCTGGGGTACCCTCAGCCCCGAGGCCGCTGAAGAGGGGGGGCGGCCAGGAGGTTGGGGCGCGGACCCTGAGTGTCCCCGGACCGGGGCTGGGCAGCCCCCTGAAGTCCCACAGAGGCGGCTCCCACACCGGCCGTCCCCTCCCTGAATTATTCATCGTCGTCATAATTGTGTAATTACTGTAACGGGCCTTAATTATTGATGCCCGGAGCAGGGATGGTATTCATTATTCATGGCGGATGCATCCGGAGGCTTGTTTATGGAGAGCGCCGGCCGGCCACTGCCGTGTGCGAGGGGCGTGGGGCTGCGTGTTCCGTGTGACGGTGAGTTATGTTGTGTGTGTGTGTGCCTGTGTGTGTTCTGTATGAGGCTGAGTTATGTTGTGTGTGTGTGTGTGTGTGTGTTCTGTGTGAGGGTGAGTTATGTTGTGTGTGTGTGTGTGCCTGTGTGTGTGTTCTGTGTGAGGGTGAGTTATGTGTGTGTGAGGGTGAGTTATGTGTGTGTGTGCCTGTGTGTGTGTGCCTGTGTGTGTGTGTGTTCTGTGTGAGGGTGAATTATGTGTGTGTGTGTGTGCCTGTGTGTGTGTGTGTTTTGTGTGACAGTGAATTATGTTGATGTGTGTGTGTGTGCCTGTGTGTGTGTGTTCTGTGTGAGGGTGAGTTATGTGTGTGTGTGTGTGTGCCTGTGTGTGTGTGTTCTGTGTGACAGTGAATTATGTTGATGTGTGTGTGTGTGCCTATGTGTGTGTGTTCTGTGTGAGGGTGAGTTATGTTGTGTGTGTGTGTGTGCCTGTGTGTGTGTTCTGTGTGAGGGTGAGTTATGTGTGTGTGAGGGTGAGTTATGTGTGTGTGTGCCTGTGTGTGTGTGTGCCTGTGTGTGTGTGCCTGTGTGTGTGTGTGTGTTCTGTGTGAGGGTGAATTATGTGTGTGTGTGTGTGTGTGTGCGCGCCTGTGTGTGTGTGTTCTGTGTGACAGTGAATTATGTTGATGTGTGTGTGTGTGCCTGTGTGTGTGTGAGACCATGGGTTGAGTGTGTGTATGTGCGTGTGTGTTGATATATGTGGATCTTTGTCCCTGAGTGTGGTAGGGAGGGAGATTAGAAAACACCAGTTTCCCAGTCCCTGGAGGAGCTGGGGCGGCCCTTCCCTGCCCCGTTTCAGCACCAGAAATACCAAGGAGGCCAGAGAGGCCGGTAGAACCCAGAGCCCTTCCCGACCCCACCCCCCAACAGCCCCTGCCCCCTACATCCCTACCATCCCCCCCCCTGCCACCCCCAGAGACCCGCCTATTGATCCTCCCAGAAAAATACTCTGGACACAGACCACCACCTGCTCTGGCCTGAGGCTCCCCTGGGAGGACTCAGGGCCCTAAGTCTGAGTTCAGGCGGCAGGTGGGACCTGACTGTGGCCCCTGGTCTGTCTGCCCACCGCCCGGGGGGAGGCCTGGGCGCTGGAGGCCGGCCCATGCCCGTCTCTGTGATGCGGGCAGGGTTTGGGCAAGGCCTTCTCTCCTGGGTCCCGGTGTCCCTGCGTTCACAGAACGGGGAAGCCCAGGGCCTCCTATGGTCAGGCCTTGGACATGCTCCGTGGAGGGGGTAGGAAAGGCGAGGGAGCCCCTCCCGTCCTCCCCCCTCCCCCCCGCACCCCTCCGCCCACAGCCGCACCCCACAGCCGGCCTCACCTGCGGTTCTGGTACCAGGTCTTGACCTGCGTGTCGGTGAGGTTGAGCGAGGCGGCCAGCTCCATGCGGTCCTGCACGCTCAGGTACTTCTGCCGCTCGAAGCTGCGCTCCAGCTGCGCCAGCTGATGGTCGGTGAAGGCGGTGCGCGCCTTGCGCGGCTTCTTCAGGCGCACCGGGGGGCTGTCCCGCGAGCTGGAGATCTCCCGGTCGCCCTCCTCCTTCACTGCGGGCACAGGGGCGCGTCAGGCCCGCCTGGCCCCGCGCCCGCTCTCCCGGCCTCGCCTGCGCCCGCTCCCCGGGCTGGCGCGGTCGCTCCGGTAACCGGGGCTCCCAGGCAGCAGTGGCCCCGGCTGCTGCGGCAAAGCCACTGGGAACTGGGACCACAGCCCCGATGGAGGGCTGACCCCCGGGGAGAGGTGGCCCAACCCCCTCTCCCTGCACTCCCCGAGGGATGAGCCCAGCGACTGGCAGGACGCCGCCGGGGGAGGGGCACAGGGCCCGCCGGTGGCTGCCGGGTGCTCTGGCTGCAGGGCGGCCGGGGAGGGAGGAAGCTGAGGGCCGGAGTCTGGGGAGAAAAACCCGCTTGGAGGGACAGAACGCTGTGCGCCCGGAGCAAACCCTGGTCCGGACGGTAAATGGTACCCACACCTCCCCGGCCCCTCGGAGGGTGGTCCGCCAGGTCCTAAGCGGCAGCAGCGCCCGGTGCCCGAGGCTGAGCTCGGGGCGAAGCGCAGGCGCCTGGTCTTGGAAAATTAAGCGGCGGGTTTGTGCAGAGTCCGTTCCCCGGTCCGCACTGCGCCCACTGTGGCTCCCAACTAGCTCTGCATTGTGTGTGTGTGTGGGGGGGGGTTCCGCCCCTGGGGGGACCCCCCAGCAGAGTTCTCATGCCTGAAGCCCAACGACAGGACCTGACAAGGGGCTTATTCTTCCCAAACACCACGGTCGGCTCTCGACCCGGGTGACCGCACGGAAGCGCACACTGGCCAGGCGAACTCGGTCTCCCTCCTTCTCCCGCTAACGCGAGGGTGTAACAGAGAGACCACTTCCCCCAGAGGGGGGTCCGGCTGGGCCCCCCCCTATTCTCTCCGCCTCTCCTTCACGGTGAGCCTCATTGTGCCTGGTGTGTGTAGTGACAAGGTTCAGCTGAATGCGAGTTGATTCCTCTCTGCAGGAAACAATAATCCGGTTAATTGAGCCACCAGGGAGGGAGCGTCTCAACCGGAAAGGCCTGGGTTTGCAGCGGGAGGTGCGGGCGCCGTGTGCACCGAGGCGGCTGGCGGGGCGGGAGAGCCTCCAGGGAGGAAAGGCCACCTCCGGCCCAGCGGCCACCCTGCCCTCCCTCCCGGCCACGCAGGGCCGGCCGCCCCGCAGGGCACTGGGAGCCGGCTCCGCAGGCAAAGTTTAACAAAGTGCACGGAGACAACAGTCCGAACTCCAACGTGAAATCGCGGAAACCTGGCTTCTTGGCCTAATTGCCCGCCGGACTGTTTGTGAAAACCCCGCTTCTGGGGCTGAGGCTGAGGCTGAGGCTGAGGCTGAGGGCTGAGGGCTGAGGGCTGAGGCTGAGGCTGAGGCTGAGGCTGAAGCTGAGGCTGAGGCTGAGGCTGAGGGCTGAGGCTGAGGCTGAGGCTGGGGCTGAGGCTGAGGCTGAGGCTGAGGGCTGAGGCTGAGGCTGAGGCTGGGGCTGAGGCTGAGGCTGAGGCTGAGCTGGGGGAGGGGAGTTGGTGGTGGGGAGATCAGCTTTTCTCTAATCCTCCCGGCGCGGGCGGGAGCCTTTGGAGACCGCCTCTGTGCCAGCCGGAACCCGCCCGCCCCCTGCAGCCTCCGCTCCCATCCTGGGGGCCACACCTCAACGCCCCGGAGTTTTTGAGAACCCTCCCTCCGCCCCCGCCCGGGGGGGGGGGGCGCGGTTGGAGCAGAGTGCCCGCTCGGTTTCTTGGCAGACAGACGGACAGATGGACAGACGGACAGACGTTGGCTCCAGCAGCTCGAGTCATGGCAGACCTCCCTCCCTGGAAGCCTGGCCTAGCTCCTGCCAAACAGCACTCTGGACTTTCGTTCTCTTCGGAGCCTTTGAAGACTGACCGCCCCCCCCCAGGCCCTCCGTGGAGCAAAGGACGCCGCTCGGGAAGTGGGTGGGATGAGGCCCCGGGGCTGCTCTGTGTCTCCCCACCAGCCTCTTCCCTCGCCCCGAAAAAGCAGCCTGCGCCGCTCTGGGCTCGGCGGCCCCGCGCCCTTTCACCCCGGGCTTTGTAGGCGCGAAGGCGGCACCACCTCGGGGTGGGGTGGGAAGACCATCCGCCCTCCTCCTCTCCGACCGGAAAGATACACAGACAGCGGCCCTCCCGCTCCCGATTAGACATCTTCTCGGACCCGGGGACACTGATAGTCCCAGGATCTTAAACGAAACCTCTCCTCAAAATCCCGAATAAAAGGAGTCAGGAGCCCGATTCTCTCCGCCCCGGCCCGCCGTTGGCCATTCCTGCCCCTCACTCTGCCACAAAGCGGGGTGCTGCTGAGAATTCCGAACAACAAAACACGGTTATAAAGAGCCGATCCTGCCGCTCCTCCGCCTTCCCTGCCCTCCCGGCACCCGTCCTCCCCCGGCAGGTTTGCTTTGCCACGGGAAGCAGCCCTGGGGCGAAGCCGGGGTTCCGGGCCCCAAGCCTGAGGCCTCCCCGAGTGCTCGCTCCACCTGCCCGCTTCCTGGCGGCCGGGAAGCCGAGGACAGCGAGATGGGGCGTGGGGCCCCGCGCGGTGTGGGTCTGAGGTCAGGGCCTGTCCACAAACGAATTCTCGGCCGGAAGGAGAGTGTTTTTGTGGAGATGGGTACAAACAGGGGCCAGAGGTGCAGGCCCCGAGGCGGCAGAGCAGCTGCCCCCTCAGGGAAGTTCTGTTTGAGGAAAAGGGCTCGGGAATTAATTCTGAGCTGACAGAGCTCCGAAGGGCCTCGGCCAGCCCGGCTTCCGCGCAGGGGGACACGGCTCTGTCGCCGAAGCCCTGACTCTCCCCCTCCCCCCCCCACCCCCGCCTGACTCCCACTTCTTGTGGGGAGAGAACTGGTCAAAGAGCTGAGGTCCAGGCAGGGGCCGGCCACGCGGGCGACTATAAAATTAGGGTTCTCCTTTTTCCGATTCCCTTCCTTCTTCCTTCTTTTCCCCTCCCTTCCCCCCTCCTCTTCGTCTTGGTCTCAGGTCCCTGGTTAAGGCGAGATGAAAGGGAACAAGGAAAGGTTCACAGAGGTGAGAGGCAAGCGAAGGGCCAGTGACCCCCAGGTAAGGGGACGGGAGCTGGCCACTCGGAAATCGCTCGATTCTCTTAAAAATCAAATTCAGCGAGAACCGCTGGGTGGGTGCAGGGCTCCCCTCTGGACCAGCCCTCGGACCCGCTCCCCGCCGGCCTCCCAGCCCCGCCTGCTGCTGCTGCTCCTTTGAAGTGAGCATTCCTTTTGCATAATTCCCGGACCAGAGCGCCGCTGGGCCCATGGGGAGGCGAAGCCCGGTTTCTCTCCCCGGAAACCCAGATGAAAGGGCGGAGAGGCTGACTGTTCTTCGAATTCACTCCTCTGAGGAGGGCGCTCAGCGGAGCCCTGGGGTCTGGTGGTTTTGCGGTCTTTTCTCGGCTCTGGCCAGAGGGGCGCCTGCTCCTGCCCTCCAGCCCCCCTGGCAGGGCAGACTCAGCGGAAGTTTGGAAAGTTTGCTCTGTGCATTTGGGGGTCTCTCCTGGGGCGCATAGAGTCCCCTTCCCCGAGGTCTCCACCAGATCTTAGTTGCTCAGAGGCATAGCCACGGGCAGCGGGAGGTTCAGACAGGCCGGCTGCTCCTGCTCCGCGGGCCAACCCAGGGCGGGGGAGGGGGCGCTCCAAGCCGGCCGGCCGTGCTGTGCCCTCCGTGTGCACGAAGTTTCCCTGCCGGCTTTTAGAAACACAGCCTCCCCCGGCTCCCGCCTCCCGCTGCCGTCTTACCTTTGTACTCGGAGTCGGACGAGGCGTTGCTGCCCCCTTTGTCCAGCTTGTCCCTGAAGTCCTCCCCGGCCTTGGGTGCGAGGCGGCCCCCCGGCTCGGGGGCGGCCGGCGGCCCGCTGCTAGAATAGGGCGCGCAGGCCGCCAGGGGTTTGCAGTCGGCGAGGATGTCCCTGATCAGGAAGGAGGAGGTCACCGTGCGTGACTGGGCTGGGGCCGAGAGCTGCCCCGGCTGCAGGTGCGAGTCCAGACCCGGGCCCGGCGCCCCGCCAGGGCCAGGCCTCGGGGCGCCCGCCTCCAGGCAGTCCCTTGCCGGCGAGGCCGGTGAGGAGCACTCGCTGCTGCTGCTCTCCGAGCGAGGACTCAGCTCCAGGGGTGAGCGGCAGTCCCCAAGCAGGGGGTCCCCCTTGGGGAGGGCGGGGCTGCCCGCCCGGTGGGAGAGGATGGAGTCGATCCCAAAGCCATTGGAGCCTTCCATAGCCAAGCGTCCGCCTGTCCCCTCCGGCAGCTCCCCACCCACCCCAGCCCGGCCGCGCTGTCCTCGCCCCTAGCTGCGGGCTGGCATGGGGAAGGCGGGCAGGGAGCCTGCGGGCACCTTGGATGGAGTTCAGCCTCGGGGGAGCCCGGCAGCTCTGGGCCAACCTCCTCTGCGCATTAGATCCGAGAGGGCTCAGCGCGTCTTCTGCGGCATCGCGCCTCGCCGCCGAGCCGAGGGGGGGTGGTGGGAGTGTCAGGGAGGGATGGGAGGGAGGGCGCGCCAAGTTGGGGAGCGCAAAGGGGGAGACGGACGGCCCGGGCGCTCCTCTGGCGCAGGAGAGGCGCGAGGGTGTTGGAATCTAGAGAGAACGGCGTTTGGAAATCCACGCCGCGCGCTTCCTCCGGGCGACGTGGCCGCAGGCGGCGGGCCGCACCGCCGGGGGCCGCGGGCTACGGGCCGGCGTGGCGGCGCGCACCCGGCGGCGTCAGCACCGCGGACAGCGGCGGCGGCCCCGGGCGCATGGCTCTGCGGCCGCAGGGCCTCCCCGCGCCCCGCGCCCCGCGCCCGGCCGTCAGCACCGCGGACAGCGCCCGGCCCCGCGCTCCCCGGTCCGCGCTCCGCCGCCCCCGCCGCACAGGATGAACAAGGGTCACTACTTTGGGGCCGGGTTTTGTTCCTCTTTTCCCTCGGTATGTGGTGTGAGTGTGAGTGTGAGTGTGAGTGAGAGTGAGTGAGTGTGAGTGAGTGTGAATGAGTGTGTATGTGTGAGTGTATGTGTGTGTGTGTGTGTGTGTGTGTGTGTGTGTGTGTTTTAAAGGGGGCCAGCCCACGTGTCCCCGGAGTGACGCCGCTGATTGGCTGCGGCCGGTTTTGGGGGTGATGTCACGGCTCGGCGGTCGCGGCCCGATTCCCTTTCCGTTTGATTAAAAGAGACACCGAATTAATTACCGCCCGGCCCCCACTGTGTGCGGCGGTTCCGCGCGGTTTGCCGTCATTAGGCCGCGATGGGGCCCCTAACGGGGTGATTAGCGGGGGGGGGGGAAGGGGAGAGGGGGGAGGGGGGAAGGGGGGAGGGGTCCGAGCCCGCGGCGCCCCGAGGCTCGGGATGCGAGTTGTTTTCGTTTTTTAAGTTCTCACCGACCCTTTCCGGCCGTTATTCAAGCGATTCGCCCCGGGGCTGTCCCAGGGCCCTGTTCTCTGCCCCCCCCCCCGCCACCCTCCTTCCTCCGCCGCGGAGAGGGGCCCACCGGCGCCGGAGCGGGTGTGTGCGGAGGGCCCCGTCCTGGGGCCATTTCCGGGGTGCTGGGTGTTTCCGGAGTCCTGGGTGTCTCGCCTGGGGCGCTTTGTGGCCCTTCTCTGCCCTCGTGGAGCCCTGCGGCCTGGCGGCGGGAGAGCGGGTGTGCGCCCGGGAGGGCGGAAGCGGCTTCCCTGGGGTGGGGGGTGGGGGGTGGAGAGGGTGGGAAGGTGGGGAGTCGTGTCCGCGACGCTGGGAGCCCCTAGGAATCCGGGCGGCCCCGGGGAGGCGGCAGGGCCCCATTCAGCGGGACCTGCGGCGGCCCGGCCCCCCGATCCGTGTCTCTGCGCCTCTGAACGGGCAGCGCGAGGGCCTTCGGGGCGAGGGCAGCCGCCGCCGCCGTTTTCCGGGCGTTTCCACCCCCGCGCCCCTGCCTTTCAGGGTGCGCCCTGCCTTTCGGGGTGCGCCCTGCCTTTCGGGGTGCGCCCTGCCTTTCGGGGTGCCCGGTGCGGCCCGCGCGGGGGCGGATCGGAAGCGTTTCCAGGGACTTTCCCAGCGGCTCGGGGACCGGGACCGGGTCTGCGGTCCAAGACGAAGGGAGTCTCGCCCGCGGCTGCCGTGGGGCCTCCGAGGCCGGTCCGCGCGCCCTGCCTCCGCCCCCGGCCCCGCGCCGGCTCCGCGCCTCCCGCGCTGGGACCAGCCCCGACCCGCTCCGGCGGCGGGAACTTCTCCTCCCGGGCCCGGCCCCCGCCCCCCGCGCCGCCGGCAGATTGGAAGCGGCCCCGCCGCCGGCCGAGCGGGGCGAGGACCGGCTCCCCGGGGACCGCGCGCCCGGCTCGGCTGCAAGCTGTCGGAGGCGGAGCGGGCGCCGGGGCGGAGGGCCGGGCCCGCCCTGCGCCGCCCGCGGGGCCGCCGGCCGCCGGGCTCCGCTCAGCGGGAGGAGAAGGGCTTCAGCCCCGGGCCCTTCCGCCACCCGGGCCTGGGCCCGGTCCTGCCGGCGGCTCCGGGGACCCGCGCCCAGCTCCGCTGTCACCCCACTCTGCGCCCGCGTGTCCCGGGGCACCTCCTGGCCGGTTAGGGCCCGCGGCCGCCTTGGCGGCTGCGCTGGGACCTCGGGCGGTGAAGGGAGGCCCGGGGCGCCGGCGGGCCCTGCGGGGCGCTGCGGGGAGGCTGCGGCGGGCGGGAACGGTGCGGGGTGTGGGAGTGAAAACCAGCCTCCTGAACCCGGACCCCTGCAGCCCCTGCTTTCCCCAGCCTCTCCTCCCGCCCCCCCCAACCTCTCCTCCCCCCCCCCAGCCTCTCCTCCCGCTCCCCCGCCTCTCCTCCCCCTCCCCCCGCCTCTCCTCCTGCCCCCCCCCGCCTCTCCTCCCCCTTCCCCCGCCTCTCCTCCCGCCCCCCCGCCTCTCCTCCCGCCCCCCAGCCTCTCCTCCCGCCCCCCAGCCTCTCCTCCCGCTCCCCCCGCCTGTCCTCCCGCCCCCCCCGCCTCTCCTCCCGCCCCCCAGCCTCTCCTCCCCCCCAGCCTCTCCTCCCGCTCTCCCCGCCTCTCCTCCCGCCCCCCCCCCAGCCTCTCGGAGCTCAGGGGGTTCAGAGGCTGCAGGACACCTGGGTGCAGCATGGCCGCCTCAGGACATCACTTCACTCCTGGTCGGCCTCCCAGCTCCACCCCCACCTGCTCCCTCCCTCCCCATGGCCGTCCTCCCTGCACCTCCGAGAGCCCACACCTGCACCGCTCTGCTGAGGCATCGGGGTCCTGGGTGGGCGGCCCATCCTCCCTTGGAGAGAGGAGCCTGGTGGTCCCGAGGGTAAGAGGGCCTCGGGGCTGGGTGTGAACCCGGGTGAGCAGGAGGCAGGCCCTGCCCTGGCTGACCCCCGCCCCCAGAGGAAGCGCAGGGGAGGGGAATCAGGAGACCAGCATTCCCAGGACCTCCGCCAGGACTGGGCCTGAGCCCAGGGCCCAGAATGGGCAGCCAGCGCCCAGCCCTCTTCAGGGCTCCCACCCCTCCTCCCTGCCTCCCCTCCCCTTCCACCTCCGGCTGCAAGTCCTAGTCCTCGCCCATCATCCACTGAGATTGCTTTTCATCCTTCAGCTTCTCATGGCCCTGAGGCCCTAGGACCCCCCCTCCCCCCGCACTGCCCCCAGACAGAGCAGCCCCTTTCCCAGAGCAGGGAGGGCGCTGCCCAGCGCCCTGTCCCCTCTCCACACCCCGACCTCCGGTCCCGACCTCTGCCTTTCCGTCCGGGGCCCCAGGGGCGTGGAGGAGGCAGCCTGGCTGCAGATCACACCCCTGCACCGGGCTCTTTTGGTGTGGGTTTGGCTATGGCCTGGGAGCCAGGGTTCACACCTGGCTCCCAGCCCCCCTACCTCCCCAGAGGCCGGCCAGCCCGGAGCAGATGAGGTTGCCTTGAGGAAGGTTGCACCTTCCGGAGCCGCAGAGCCGGGGGGAGCTGTGCCGTGGGCTCTGGGAGGACCCACGTCCTTGCTCAGGAGTGACCTGCGGCTCCATCCACCCTTCCCACCCCGAGCAGCCAGACCAGAGGCCAGTGCCTCGAGGCCTCAGGCTGCGTGTGGCTCCAGAAGCTGCCGGACGGGACGGGGAGCGGACCTGGCTCAGAACCCAGGCCAGAGGTCGTAATTGAAACGGTTCCTATTTAAAACTTTGGTTGACAAAATATACCGTTTGTCTCGGTGGCTGAGTTTCGGAGCAACCCCGTCAACTGTACCTTAGGCCAGGGCCTGACCGCCACCTTCCCGCCCCACCGTGGGACCCCAGCAAACACTTCCTGAGCCGCGTCCTCACCTGCTGGCCGTGAGGACAGGTGGGCCGGGAGAGGCAGCGCTGATGGCCCAGCACGGCCCCGGATGCCAATGGCAGACCTGCTCCCTGGCAGCTTGGAGCGCCAGGCTGGTCTCCCTACCCGTCCCCCACCCACCCACCCATCCTCCCCTCCCCCCAGACACACCCCAGAGGTCAGCTCCCCCTTTGCCCAGGGCCTCCAACCAAATCCAGTTTTCTGCGAGGAGGGAAAGGGTGGGCGAACAGGCCAGCCGGGTGCGGTGGCGCTTTCTGCAGACAGATGGGTGGGACGAGGGCTTGGAGGGTTTGTGGGCCTCAAGGTCAGGCTGTTCTCAGCCATTTTGTTGATTTGGCCCCAAACCCCACAGAGCTCCTGAAACCAGATTGAGGTTATTCTTTCTCCCCGTCCCTCCGTCCTCTCTCACAAAAGCAGCCCCTCTCCCCACCCCCCCCACCCCCGCACGCACACCCAGCGCGCACACTGGCTGCCGGCCCTGCCAGCGTGGAGCTTGCAGGGCACCCGGTGCCCACCCATCCCCGTCCCCTCACGAAGGACTTCCCCCCTGTGCCCTCCGGGTACCACCCCCCTGCATTCCGTTCCGGGAACCGGGGTGAAAAGCCAACCTAGCTTTTGTTTTCTTTTTAAAATATATATACTTTTACTGATTTCAGAGAGGAAGAGAGGGAGGGAGAGACAGAAACATCAATGATGAGAGTCATTGATCGGCTGCCTCCTGCCGCCCCCAATGGGGATCAAGCCTGCCACCCAGGCGAGTGCCCTGACCGGGAATTGCACTGTGACTTCCTGGTTCCTAGGTTGACGCTCAACCCCTGAGCCAGCAGGGCTTGTTTACATTCTGTAATGAGTTCAAGCATCAGAGGTTTTCAAAGTAAAAAGGGAGGAAGGAAAAGGCAGTCTGTCTCCAGGAGGGAAACGCAGGAGAAGGCGCGTGATGGGGGGCGTAGGCCGGGCTGGCTGAAGGCAGGCCCCGGGGCCACTGGTCCACCTGCTGTCATGGAGACATGCTTCCCCTGAACCCCGAACCTGTGGTCTCTAACCAGCACCAGTTGGGGAGCTGGGACGGGTGCGCCCAAACGCCAGGCCTTCGCTCTGGTCTGGGGTCTCCCGGCCCATGAGCCATGCTCTCTCGTCAGGCCCGCCAGTCGCAGGCACCGCCTCTGCCTGGTTCTTGCTGCCATCGCTGCTAAAACCCTGCACAGCAGCCAGATTCCGGACCCCACCCCCTCGCTGTCTTCTTAGCAGGGAAATTATTAATTATCTGGTTGAGAGAGAGAGGCAGTGAGAGAATGAATGAGGTTTGGGCTTTGGTAGAATGATCTGGAAATAGACCAGAGTCAGGGGGGAGAGTCGGTGTGAAAAGAAAGCTGACCTCCCAGCCGAGGTCTGCTCTGCCTCGAGGGCTGCTAAGCACCTGGGCCCTTCCTCTCTTGGGACTGGCATCTCCCCAAGTCCCTGCCGAAGGCTCCCTGCACGGTCCTCCCCCCCACCCCCCACCAGCGTGGGCACTCCTCCCTCCCGCTGCAGGGGGCACTTCCAAGAACTCCAGGCTGCCAGGGGAAGGTCCAGACCAGCCCCCTCCCCCTGTGGCCCCCACCTGGGCTCGGTTCAGTCTCTGACGGGCTGTTGCCAGGAAACCCAACCAGGAGGTAAAATATCCGCAAATGCCAATCAGCTGGGGAATGAGCAGAGACGGGTGCGTGCCACACGCCGGGCACGGCCGCCCCACATAGCACTGGCCGCGGCTTGACTGGACGGAGAGCTAGGCTTAGGCTGGGCTCTCCCCGGGTCCACAGTCTGGTCACAGGCCAGGAAGGGCCAGCAGAGGGACCCCTCGGCCCGGTCGCACCGGCAGGTGCGCCAGGACACCTAAGAAGGTGGGTGAGATGGAACCCGACCTGGGGCCTGGTGCGGGTGCAAATAATTAATGAGGGACGAGCCACGGGGGAGGGGAGGGCTGGGCGCTTCCGCGGCCGTGGGCTCGGGCCTGCCAGCGGGTGGCGCTGTAGGACAAGAGCTGAGGGCCCCTCGGAGGAGAGCCGCTTCCGTCCAGGCGACCCAGAGCGGGATCCAGGAGGGGACGGAGGGCGCTGCCCCTGGGTGACCGGGTGACCGGCACAGCCCAGCAAGTCCCACAGCGCTGCCCGCCATCTGCGGGGCGGGAAGGGATGAACAGGTGTGTGAGAGGTTGCCGCAGCCTTTTCTGGCCCAGCCCACACTTTCCTCTTGGCACAGCCAGCCTGACAGGGCTGGGGGGGGCACTGCCCTGGGCATCTGCCTCGTTGGCGTAGCAAGCGGGCCGCCCCTTCCCTTCGAGTGAGGGGTTCAGGCACAGGGGTGCTGGTAAACACCTTTCCCCTCTCGATGCACCGGGACCCACAGGCTGTTCCGGAGCCTCCTCTCTCGCCCTCGGGGCGCTTTATGGTAAGAAAGTGGTAACGCACACGTGTTGGGGCTCCGGCTAAGCTGCCGGCACCTTCTTTCCTGCAGTCGTTGTCCGGCGTGGCCTGTGCCGGGGCTTTGTCTCACGGTGAGGCACAGAGAGGCTCGGGCACTGGCCGAAGGTCACACGGACATGACCGGGTGGAGCTGGGCTTTGCGCCTTGACCGAGGGGCTGGCTGCGGGGTTCGGGGGCCAGGCCTCTCGCCGGGGGTGGGCAGGCTTCGGGTGCTTTAGCCGAGAGGAGGGGGTGTTTTGCTCCTGTGGGCGGGGTGGGGTCCGGGAAGGCCTGCTGAGCCCCAGTCCTGAGGGGGTCGTGCGCACGGCTTTCTTGTGGACTCTGTGCCTGCACCCAGGCGGCTGCCAGGGGAACTCAGATCTCCAACCACCAGGCTGGTTGTCCCTGCCAGGCCCGGCCTGGCCTGTAGGGGGCGAGAGTCACCGGGAACATTCACGCTGAGGTCATTTCACAGAGATCAGGGGCCACTGCGCACGGGCCAGGCCCCTCCCAGGCGGGCCCTTGGCTCTGGGTCTGGGCCTGAGCCTCCTGACCCCACGCCACCTCCTTTCTGAGAAGCCAGGCCCCACAGGGTCACTGTGTCCGGAGCATGAAGCAGGAGCCGGTCAGGGCAGGCCCTGTGAGGGGGACCCAGGTGCCTGCGGGGAAGCACGCAGGTTCCTGTGGCAGGAGGTACAGGAGGAGTGAGGGCGGGGGGGGGGGGCCTGTGGGCAGGGGGTGGTGCCAGAGGGATGGCCCAGCTCTCACCCGGGGTCCCACCCGGCCTGGGCAGGAGTGTGGGTGGAGGGACACCACCCAGTGCTGAGGGCTGCGCCGTGGTGATGGGGTGAGGGGAGCGGGAGGGGGTTCAGGGATCCACTGATGTTCCCCAGGGAAGAGAGGCCGGAGAGAAGGGGCGGGTCAGGAGGGGCTTGGAAGTGACCGGGGCTGGATGGGTGAGGTGTCAGGGGTGAGGGACACACTTGGCCCCAACAGTGGGGTTGGAGGAGGCCCCGTGCATGCTAGGGGGACGCGGAGGGAGCAGCAGGTTGGCGGGAAGGTCAGGATTCTGTCCCAAGTTGGACACACGAGCTGGCGTCCGGGGAGGAGTGCTCAGGCCGGGGGCGGGGGGGGGGGAGGAGTGCTCAGACCAGGGGTGGGGGTGGGGGGAAGGAGTGCTCGGGTTTGGGAAGCCGGGCCAGCTCCCCTGGGGGAGGCCGGGGAGCTAACGGCCCTCGGGCGTCCTCTGCAGCTGCAGTGGGATCGCAGAGTCCGGGGCTGCTCCCGCGCCCGCTCTCACTGCGCGGCTTGCAATAGAGACACAGGAGGCTGACAGCGCGTTTTAATTAAAATAGGTCAGATCTGTGCGGGGAGAAGCCGGGGGTGGGGGCCGGAGCCGCGGGGTTGGCTGAGAACTCCTTCCTCTGTGCCCTCCAGCTCGCTCTTTCTGAGGTCCACCTTCAGGGTCGGCTGGGGGGAAGCCCGGGGGAGCCGGCCCTGAGGAGTGAGGGTCCCCCTGCCGCCGGGCGGAGGGCGGCAGGCACCCGGACCCGCAGCTGAACTCGTGTTTGTGAGGGCTTTGCGAGCACGTGTCCCCGAGGCCCACAGCTGCGGACTCGGCTGTGGCTGGGCCGGTGCCGTGGGTGAGGGTGAGAGAGGGCGGGCGGCCTGCCAGAGGGCGGGTGGGAGGGGCCCCCGGTCGAGGGGCGCTGGGCCAAGGCGAGCGAGTGTTGCCTAACTAAAGGGGCGGGGGGGCTCTTAGCAAAAATAACTAACGGAAGACCTGCCTCCGAGGTCCCTGCAGCAGCAGAGCCCACGAGAAAACAGGGCGGGGCGAGACCGTAGTCCTTCCGGAGCTTTCCTCCGCGGGCGGCTAGGGGTGCGTGTAGTTGCCCAACCGCAGGGTCCCCCGGCGCACGGCGACCTCCTCCCGGTGCGCCTTGAAGGCTCTCCGGCGGTCGGCCTCGGAGGGGAAGGTGTCCAGCTGCCGGCCCACCTGTGGAGGGAGGGAGATGGTGGGCGGGCGTGGAGGCTGGGGCGCCCCTCACCTGCCACCCCAGCTGGGCTTCATGTCGGAGAAACAATGAAGCAGCCGGCAGAGGCGCAGCCGTCGGGGGGGCGGCCGGACAGCGGCAGACGCGTGGTGACGGTGCCCGTGATGATGTCAGTCACTGAACATCCTTCCCAGCCCTTCCCCGCCGCCCGCCCCCCACCAGCCGTCCCCTCCCAGGGCCCCCTGGCCCTCACGCCCCCCTTGGTCTGGAGGTGGCCACGTGGGAGTCCCGGCCCCACACACACACCAGACCAGTGTCCAGGGACCGTCAGTCCAGGGGCCGGGCTCTCCGTCAGGGGAGAGCGGGCCCGATGGAATCCAACTCGCCATCCCCATTTTACAGATGGGGAAACTGAGGCTCAGAGGGGTTTGGTCCAGGGTTGGCTCCACAGGGAATCAGAGGCAGACAAGCTCTGTTTTAGCACCACTCCCTAAGCTCTAGGCACTATGTTCCAGATTCTTTCTAGAATATTCTGCCCATGCTGAGGTTGGTTAGTTATTCCAGGACATAAAACCACAGTCTTTGTCTCAGCGGGGTGTGTGTGTGTGTGTGTGTGTGTGTGTGTGTGTGGAGATGGCGTAGACCCTGTCGAGACTCTACAGACAGCCACGGACTCTCTCCTCGGGAAGGAAACATACCCCCACGTCCTAACGACGGAGCAGTGCAGGACGCCTTGGGGGTCTGTGGTCCCCTGTCCCCCCCACGAGCCCCCTGTCCCCCCGAGGGCCCCCTGTCCCCCCGCGGGCCCCCTGTCCCCCCGCGGGCCCCCTGTCCCTCCATGGGCCCCCTGCCCCCCCCGTGGATCCCCTGTCCCTCCCTGAGCCCCCTGTCCCTCCCTGAGCCCCCTCCCCCCCCGCGGGCCCCCTGTCCCTCCATGGGCCCCCTGCCCCCCCCGCGGACCCCCTGTCCCTCCCTGAGCCCCCTGTCCCTCCCTGAGCCCCCTGTCCCTCCCTGAGCCCCCTGTCCCCCCGTGGGCCCCCCCCCGCAGGCCCCCTGTCCCTCCCTGAGCCCCCTGTCCCCCCGTGGGCCTCCCCCGCAGGCGCCCTGTCCCTCCCTGAGCCCCCCGTCCCCCCACAGGCCTCCTGGGCCCTGGGTGGCGGTGTTTCGGGAGCCGTCGGGCCCAGCCGCAGGTCTCAGGTTTCTTGGCTCCTGTAACCGTCACCTGATGCCCTCCTGACCCAGGCTCGGCACCTGGCGTTGAAGGCATTTGGTGGAACCACAATCCTGTCCCCACCCTAATCTCCAGTTTCAGAGAAATCCCCCCGAGACCTCAGAGAGGTGACTGAGCAGAGAGGGGAAGAGCCGGGAACAGAGGCCTCCACACCGCGGTGTCGCCTCTGGCGAGGGACGCAGATTCCGACACGGAGACACCATCTCCCGGAGGCAGCTGGAGGTGCTCCGTGCAGCAGGCGCGGCCGGTCTCCGGGGCCCCGCGGGCACCCTGCCTGCTTCACGTGCCCAGTGGGACTTGCTGGAGCCTCAGGGCACCCGGATGTGTCTGCATCGTGCAGATGGGGAGTCAGGGGCCTGCAGACGGCGGAGTCCCGTGCCCTGGTCACCTGGGGTGACCCCAGGTCCTCGTGGCGGCACTCCACCCCGCTGTGAAACACTTAGTCCCTACCAGGAGCTCCCTCTCTCCTCCCGCCCAGCGGGTCTGCCAGCGACAAGGGTCCTCATTACCAGCCAGGCTCACCCCTTTGGGCCCCCGAGGGGAAGCAGGAGCACCATGGAGCGCGAGGTTCCTTCAGAGACGCTTCTAAATTGAGCCGTCCGCAGGCTGCCCGCGCCAGGAGCCGGGGCTGGGCCGGCTTCGGCAGGAGACAGCTGTGCTGATGGAGCGGAGTTGCTGAGGTCAAGGCAGGTATACAAGAGGGGCACCAGGCAGCCAGCGGTCTCCACTTCGCCCAGGACCTTGGCTTTTGGGCTCCGTTTCCCAGTCACTCAGAAGCAGCGCCCTCCCAGTGAGCAGCTTCCTTTGGCTGGTCCTCTTGGTTACCAGACGCCCTCGTCATTTCGCCCGCTTTGCTCTTGACTTGGTTCGCTCCTCCTCTGAGGTTTATGTAGCACCACCGGCCCGGTGCACAGATTCGTGCACATTGGAAGGGAATTCATTAGAAGGTGGCCTGTGAGGCAGGAGCGGGCGAGACGGGCCGGACACACCCTGGAGCCAACCTCCCATGGCCCCTCCCTGGCCAGCGGCTCCCGGGGTGGCACCGTGGCTCAAAGGGCATCTGCAAAGTCGGCAGAGTCCCTCTGGCAAGTGTGGTCCCTCGGCCTGGCCTGCGGGGATCGGGCCGGAACTGGCTCTCTGACATCCCCCCGAGGGGTCCCGGAGTGCAAGTGGGCACTCTGCAAAGTTGCTGTGGTACAGGGTATGGAACACAAACACAAGAGTGCAGTAAACCAGATTCGGGCCAACAGTGGCCCAGCAACACAACCCACGGCCGAAAGGGGAGTCTTGGGGCCCCGTGAGGAATCGGGCCCCCTTCTCTCTGATTCCGGGGTGCATCGCCGGAGAACCGCCGCTGCCAAGTCACTGCAGCTCCGCAGCTCCTGTGTCGAGCGTCTGCCCCTGGTGGTCAGTGCACGTCATAGCGACCAGTGGATGGACACAGCGTATCAGCCTTTTATATACATAGATGGTATTGGCAACTATGCTGCCCTCTGCATTTTCTCTTATCTCACCTCACACTATTAAGTATGTTTATTTTTTGCTCAGTTCTCTTCTCACTTCACGCCTACTGAGTTTCTGTTTGGATTTCTTCTCTGGCTTTTCAGTTATTTATAAATATGCTTTAAAACTCCCAGGCAAGCTCCGTAGTTACGTTTTGTGATGGATTTCTAATGTAAAATCTTTGGTGCCAAAGCGATAGGTGTGACTCAGATGCCTTGTCAGTATTTGTTGAGTTTTCGGTGTGTGTCCTGTATGGAAAGCCCTGTGGCGAGGACTCAGGGGGCCTCGTCTGGCAGAACGAGGGAAATGGCGATAAAACACAGTTACAGTCCTAGCCGGGGTGGCCCAGTGGAAAGAGAGTCAGGCAAGGGTGTGTGCCTCAGTTGCAGGTTCGATCCCTGGCCCTGGTCAGGGCGTGAGTGGGAGGCAACCAGTCCATGCGTCTCTCTCACATCGATGTTTCTCTCTGTGTCTCTCCACCTCCCCTCCCCTCTCTCTAAAAATCAATGGGAAAAATGTCCTCCAGTGAGGATTAACAAGAAATTAAATTTAAAAAGGAAGCGTCCAGGACCCAGAGGCGAGATGCTGGTCATGTCCTCTGCCGGTGGCCATGGCCTTGGCCCCGGAGGGGCAGCTTGGCCCACATGCTGAGCAGGGAGTGGCCTGTGCCTCCTCCTCCCTCTGCCCTGGCTCCTTCTCCCGGCAGCAGGAGCTTCGGCCAAGCAGGGACACTGAGGCAGCCCCAGCCCCGGGCTCTGGACAGTGTGTGCGGGCACCAGTCGGGAAGGACCCTCCGCGGCCCAGGCTCAGGCGGGTGGCTTCCCGTGTGCCTGACACGTCCTCCGTGGAACCGTGGGGCCAGCCGCCCAGCCCCCCGCCCCGCCCCAGGACGGTCCCCCCAGAGGACAAGTCTCGGCCAGGCCTGGGGGCTGAGAAATCAAAAGGCAGGATTTGAGAAAAAATAGCCAGATTTAAAAAAGTAAAAAAAAAAATAACCTGCCAAACAGAAAAAAGAAAAGAAAAATGACAGCTATAGAGATTTTAGTTTAGGGTTGTTTTTTTCTAAGTGACAAGTGCTCAGGTGACGGGGAGCGAGGTTTTCTTGAGAAGATTGAGGGGCTGTCTGCTCTAATGAGGGCGCTCGGAGATTATGGATCAGTCCCAGGTCAGTAATTCCTGTCAAGCCGGGCGGCCGGGGGTCAGAGGCCCCCAGAACACGGCCCGTGCGGGCGTCGCCGGCCAGCGCTGCGTCCCGGCTCCGCCGGGGCAGGCCCGGGAGGGGAGCTAATTAGCGAGGCCGCCGGGCTCTCCCGGGACATCTGGTCTCCGAAACCGCCCTCTGCTCCCAGCTCTCTCCTCTGTGAGCCGAAAATAGACCGAGCAAGGACACAGGCCGGCTCACGCTGAGTCTCTGAGCACAGCCAAGCTCGGCGCGGAAAGCCAGGCTCCTGCTCCGCACAGCTCTGCCGGAGGGTCCCGGGCCGGGCGGGTGAGCGGGCAGAGCGAGGGCCCCTGGGGCAGGGGGCAGGCTCACCCAGCGGGAGGGGAGGCTGAAGCTCGGGGTGGTGGAGACCCTGGCCCACGGACACCCAGCTGCTGAGCGGGATGCCTGACCAGGGTCCAGGTCTGTGCTCCGCGGACCGGAGGGCTCCTGAAACCTGCTGGCCCCAAAGTCTCTGAAAACGGGAACCGAGCTGCTGTTCCCAGAAGCCACACCAACGTTTCTCGGTCATTTCCCAGGACCAGGGAGGCTGGGCAGCAGCAGTGGAGATCCGAATGGAGCAACGAGTCTGTCCACCAGATGCCGGGGGAGGGGGGGAGGGGAAGGGCAGGGTGACTGAACTCCCCGAAGACCTGCTTGTGCTTCTTCAGCCTCCGAGTGGAACAGGGTTCAGGCGAGAGGGAGCCACAGCACATCCTGCGGGAAACCGAGGACACTTCCCCTCCCGCGTCGTCCGAGGCCATTTTGCCCGCCATCGCCCTCTTCCGGGCTCCAAAGGCTGAACCCAGGTGCTGAGCATGAACCTGACTCACGTGGGCTATTTTTTTTTTTTCTTCAAGTGGCCTAAATCTTCTTTTTTTAAAAAACAGCTCTATCTATATATATAAAAGGCTAATATGCCAAGGTTCCCCTTGGAGTTCAACCAGGAGATTGGGAGCTTGATCGCTGACCACAAGGGGGCAGCACGGAATGAAGGAGGTCCCGGGCTGGCACCTGGCAGCCGGGGAAGGAAGGCCCTGATCGGCCCTGATTGCCGGCCAGGCCTA